TAGTGACCGAGATTGTCACTGATTATGTTTCAATGTCTCAGAGAGAAGACCTACGCTGAGTGGTTTGTGACTGAATTTGTTCCAATGTCTCAGAAAGAAGGCATACGGTGAGCATATCTTCACTGAATCTATTTCAATGTCTCAGTAAGAAGACATATGGTGAGCAGATTGTCACTGAATTTGTTTCAATGTCCCAGAAGAAGACATACGGTGATTTGATTGTTACTTAACTTTGCTTCGATGTCTCAGAAATAAGACATGGCGAGCGGATAGTCACTAAATTGCTGACAATATCCTAGAAATAAGGCATACAGTGAGCAAATTGTTGCTGGATTTATTTGTTGCCTTGGAAATAAGACAAACGGTAAGCGGATGCCACTGAGTCATTTCATCTCTTGGAAGAATTCCATTTCTATGTTCTCTTACCAGAACTCCTTTCAGGTGGAGCTGGCAACTTGAAGCTTCTCACAGCAGGAGTGGATGGAATGCTAGCGGTGTCAAACATTGGAATTGCAGATGCAGGAAGGAAGGTTCATCAGTCCTGAGATGCTCTCCCACCTGCCTGCTCAGTACAATTCCCTCCAGGTGGAGCTGACATCAGGCGGCAAGCTTCTCATAGCAGGAGTGGGTGGAGTGCCAGCAGTGGAGGTGGACAAGGAGAGGCAGGAAGGGAGGATGATTAGATGTCGGTGCATGCAGCAGTGGTGGTGGGGTGTGATGAGGACAAGGATGTGGCAGTGCTGCTGATCGATGCCCCTCGGGAGTCCCTGCACCCAGTCACCATTGGATCGTCCTCGGATCTCATGGTCGGACAACGGGTCTTCGCCATCGGCAACCCCGTGAGTCACACACCCACTCCCCCTCACTCACTACCCACACCACACTTCCCATGTTTGGCACCATCCCTGGTCCCATTTACCTATTTGACTCCATACACATGCACACATACACACATATACACACACACACACATACACACACATACACACACACACACACATGCATACACATACACACAAAACACTATGGTTATCCAAGATTCTCACCCCGTTGTGCTTGACCCTTGTATTTGTCTTCTTTTCCACAATTTGGGCTGGACCACACTCTGACATCAGGCGACTTTTGAGGCGTCTCGAATAACGTACTACTTTCCCCCCTTCCACCCCTCGACGGGTGAACGTGGCCAGGTGGCGGCCCGTCCGGGTACACGTGCAGTGGGTCACACGCTGACCTCCAGGAGTGAACTGGTCAACCCACACGTCCTGGAGGTCAGCTCCACTCACCAAGTTCGTAGAGAACGAGGGGAGGTGAAGACCCGACAGTGAGCCAGACGGGGCCGCCGGACACGGCAGAACCGTGGAGGAGTGCGCAAGGACTGGGCCCCAAGAGGGGTCCGCCAGGGAGACTGCAACCGGCCGACTGAGCGGCGTGAGTGTGGTGCTGTCGCGAAAGAATGAGCGGGAAGCACCTGAGTCTAGCGTGAAGGTGTGCAAGGCCTCAGCAGGCGCAGTACCAGAGAGAGCAGACTCACCAACACCTAGAGAGGCAGACTGACAAGCACCTAGAGCAGCAGCCTCTATACCTGGGTCGGGCGGCACACACAGGTAACAGTCACCCTCAACACGTCTCTGAGACGCCCAACGCTGAGCAAACGACTCACGAAGCTGCTGGGGCATAAGGGTCTCACGTGGACGCCGCTGCAGCTGCACCGGGCCACCTCCAGAAACTCCCAACGGAGTAGCTGCACCGCGACTGCCACTACGGCCACTACGCTGAGACGCCCAACGCTGAGCAAACCACTCACGAAGCTGCTAGGGTGTAAGGGTCTCACGCGGACGCCACTACAGCTGCATTTGGCCACCGCCAGAAACTTCCCACCGAACAGCTCCACAGCGACTGCTACGACGGCCGCCACCACTCCCACTGCTGCCACCACCGTCGCCACCACTCCCAACGCTGCCGTGAAGAGAAATCATGCGACCAGCAGGGCAGCACGTAGGTAAGGAAGGGCGGCAAGGAGGCACTAGGGTAGGTCGGGGCGGTGCACGGTCAGGGAAGGGCGGCGCGTGGCAAGAGTAGGGCGACGCGCGACCAGAGCAGGGCTGCGCGCGGCCAGTAGCAGGCAGTAGCTCCTAGGGCAGCAGCACCAAGGGGTTTTTTTTTTTTTTTTATTAATTTATTTATTCATTTTAGGGTTCAGCAGGGCGCACAGGGCGCTGTAGAGGCGGCTCGGGCAGGGCAGGGCAGGGCGCCAGCGCGCGCAGGGCAGGTTGCTGGCGCGTTGGCAGGGCAGGGCGCTGGCGCGGGCAGCAGCGCGCACGGGCAGGGCGGCGCTGGGCAGCGGGTGCAGGCCCGCGGCGGGCGCAAAACGCAGGCACGGCGGGCGCAAGGGGCAAGCCCGCGGCGGGCGTAGCGGACAGGTGCGGGAGGGGCGAACGGGCGGGTCCGTGACGGGCTGAACGGGTAGGCGCGGCGGCGCGAAGGCAGTGCCCGCGGCGGGCCTAACGGGCGGCCGCGTCAGCGGGCGTAACTGGCAGGCGCGGCGGCGCGAAGGGAGGGCCCGCGGCGGCCTAACGGGCAGGCGGTAGGGCGCGACGCGCATGGCAGCAGGGCGCTACGCGCGGGCTGCAGCAGAGCGCGACGCGCGGGGCAGCAGGGCGGGCGCTTACCAGGGGCAGGTGCAGGGCAGGGCCGCAACGGGGCGGTTGTAGGGCAGGGCCGCGACGGGCGGTCAGGTCAGGGCCGCAACTAGGCGGCGGCAGAGCAAGGCCGCGACCGGGCGGCAGCAGGGCAGGGCCGCGACAAGGCGGCTGCAGGACAGGGCCGCGACGGGGCGGCGGTAGAGCAGGGCCGCGACGGGGGGCGACAGAGCAGGGCCGCGACGGGCGGCTAGGTCAGGCCGCGACGGGCGGCGAGGTCAGGCCGCGACGGGCGGCGACAGGGCAGGGCCGCGACGGGCGGCTAGGTCAGGGCCGCGACGGGCCGTTAGGGCAAGGCCGCGACGGGCCGGGAGGGCAGGGCCGCTACGGGCGGCAGTAGGGCAGGGCGCGCGACGGCGCAGGTGAGGCAAGCGCGAGGCGCGCTTCGGGCAGGGCAGGAAAAAAAATTATCGTGGTGGGCCCTAAAAAAAAAACGTTCCCACTAGGGAACCTGCTCTGAAACCATGTCATAAAGTATGAATGAGGAATGACTAGAATGACAGTAGTACAGGGTTTGTATAGCAAAACCTAATTGGGTTGTACCCCATAAGGAGTGCCCCACTACAGCCTAGAGCATAGTTCTGACACTTGTCTTGTACCCCACATTTTGGGTTGGACCACACTTTGACATCAGGTGTTATCAGATCAGTGTAACGATGATCAGGTGGGTCTATATGGGGATGCAATGCAAGCCTCGTACGCACACCGTAAATACGAAAATATCAGCTAGTTTTTTTCACCTATAACGAAATATTATTTGTATTATCCCCTTCATCTCGAAACACATTATTTTTCTCCCTTTTCACCCCAAGATTACCTTTTTTCCCGTCCCTTCCTCCATATCCTTTGCTCTCCACCATCTCACCAGTGATTTAAGGAGAGAGATTTAATCAGCAGCAACAGGGCGGCCAATACAGGGAGTGATACAAACGGATGCTGCTATAAACCCGGGCAACAGCGGTGGGCCTCTTTGGACTCTAGTGGCAGTCTGAACGGCATCAACACAGCGATCTACTCACCCTCCGGTGCTTCTTCCGGTGTTGGATTCGCCATTCCTGCTGACAGTGTGAGTCATGCTGACGGTGCTTATATTGAGATATGCTTGTTTAGGGTGGAGCCTTGAACACTGCTTTCAACTTTGGTTGATAACGTTCTTTTTACGACTCAAAAGTCACCCCTGTGACGTGTCGTCTCCCCCGTGCTCCCTCATCCCAACCCATCAGATCAACAGCATCGTGTAGCAGATGATCGAGAATTGGAGGTGGTGCCGGCTCTTCAGGGGTTGACTTTCACCTCTGCTTAGAAATGCATTTTTTTATTGCCCCCCTCTTCCTCTCTCACCCCAATCTCGCAGATCAGCGGCATCGTGGAGCAGATTATAGAGAACGGCAGGATGGTGCGGCATGTGCTGGGGATGAATTTTGAACAGACTGAAAAGGCCACCCTCGTGCTCCCTCACCCCACCAACCCTGCAGATCAGCGGCATCGTGGAGCAGATAATAGAGAACGGGAGGGTAGTGCGGCCTGTGCTGGGCATCTGATTTGCGCCCGAGGAGGCGGTGGAGAAGCTGGGCGTCGATGGGGTGCTTGTTCTTGACGCCACGCCCTCGGGGCCCGCTGGCAAAGCCGTGAGTTTGTGTGCACTGTGATTGTAGCTTATACTACATCACCTTTTGTTTGCTGTTGGGCATCTTCTTTGCGCCCGAGGAGGCAGTGGAGCAGCTGGGCGTCGATTGGGTGCTCGTGTTTGACAGCCCACCTTCTGGTCCCGCAGGCACAGCTGTGAGTGCTTGTGTACAGTGATTTTAGCTTATGCTTTATCATATTTGTTTGCTGCTGGGCATCTCCTTTGCGCCTGAGGAGGCGGTGGAGAAGCTGGGCGTCGATGGGGTGCTCGTGCTTGACGCCCCTCCCTCCGGGCCCTCAGGCAAAGCCGTGAGTGTATTGTAATCATCGTGAACTGTGGCTGATGCATAAAAGATATGGCAGTGTTCACCAAATTCTTTCCAGTTTCTCTTGCACATACTGGCAAGTTTCCCTGGTTTGCCTCTCAATCATTTTTATTTTCATCCCTATCAGGGTCTCCGGCCAACGTCTAGGGACAATTATGGTCGGCTGGTATTGGGGGACATTATAACTGCCATAGACAACCATAAAGTGCGAAGCGGAACGGATCTTTATCAGGCACTTGATGATTGCCAAGTGGGAGACACGGTAAGCTCACATGCAACCTTTGATGTGTTGCATTTTTACACGCATGCACTTTTCACTGAAGTATGTGATGCTATCACTTGTGTGCAGGTTGCTGTCACAGTACTGAGGGGGGATCAGGAGGTGAAATTGAATGTAGTTCTAGAGGCAAAGGACTAGATGTCCGCGTTGTGACACCTTGTTGCCATATGTATATTAGTGTTAGCAGCTAGCAAAAATATAGCTTATACTATTGGGCAGTATGAGTAATCTATTCACTGTACACCTACGAGAACTTTGCGGTGATGTGTTTTGTGCTTTGGTGATGTCCAAAATCGTTCCGCCTGTTCTTCCAGAACGTGCTCAGCCGCATCTGTGATCATGTTCTAGGTTGTGGTGAGGGCTAGGCATAGCCTCCAATCGATACAAGCGCTGGTTGAGCAGAATACGCACAACTGCACTAGTCCCCCCAGTGGCCGAGGAATTTATTCTGTCACATATTCGTCACTAACTCTGGGAAAATATTTCCACCGGCCTAGGATAAGCGCCCTGAAAGTGGCATTTCACTTTGCGTGTTCGGCGGCATCATCGTGCGTTTACGCAAACCGACGCGGCTCGAAATGCGGCGCTGGGCCCTTGAATTCCACATTTTGCATAAATTTGACATTTCAGCCTCGAAAGAAACATTCCGCAGCACACAGCCATCATTGAGCAGCTCGAACACACAATCAATCCATTCGCCAGCCCACTCAAGTCTTCAGCTTTTCTACTGAAGCCAGAAACGGGCCGCTATGGCTCAGAAAATCGCCATCTTCGTCGTCACGTTGGCATGCCTTGCCGCAGTCGGTACGTCATCGAGCAAGATTTCAGATTACAAACACATTTTTTACGTGGATGCACTGTGAATGCATCAGACAGCGATGCTGTGAAATCTGTCATAACGCAGAAGCTGACGCGTTCTTGAACGTGTTTGCAGGATTCGCGCGTCCGCCGGCGAGCGTTCGCGCCGGGCTGCAGAAGATCGAGAAAAATGACGTGTTCATGGGAGTTTACCAGGGATCGCTCTATGCTGAGCTGGACCACGTGGACGGCGCCGACAAGATGTCCGACGGCTATGCCTACATGGCCATCTACAAGTAAGACTGCTATATCAAATATATCAGAAATAACTGCCTACCGCACAAATAAAACAAAATCATTAATCCCTAGCATATGTTTTTTTTATAGTAACACTTATACATTGCGCATCGTTTTCTCGATACTGATCCGCACCCTGTCGTGTTTCAATGGTTTTCCAGGAAGGGCGACGATTACAACATCCGATTCGGCGCGGAGGCCGAATCCAAGGAGCCCGGGGAACCCACCGCGTTCACAGTCAACAGCGCGGCCGACAATAGCCTGGTTATCGACCTGGGCGCGGGTCAGACGTACAAGAACACCACGTACGAGCTCCGCGTGTTCAAGTTCCTGCAGAAGTTCGTTCCGTACTCCTACAGGTTCAAGGGCAAGTGGACCCCGGCCAGCGCTGTTACCGTCGCCGCTGGCCCGCTCAAGGACACCGTGGACGCCATGATCCAGAACCCTAAGAACTACTACGCGATTTTCAACACCGCGACGAACCCTGCTGGTTGCGCCAAGGGCGAGTTTGGTTTCATCCAGCCGTGGTGGAAGCGCCTGTAAGCACTAGGAGTGGCAGAGGAGCCGTTTGAGAATTTGGGGATTGACAATTGATGGAACTTGATGTGTAGAGCCCAGGTACACATCTCCAAGGTGTTTGTTCACTCACTCAGTGAACATTTCTTTCCATTTGCTAGAATTTTGCCTATTGTGGTGGATTGTTCTAGTGGAAGTCTCATACATGATTTCGAGCTTTTATACAATTCTGGAAGGCTTCATAACACAGAAATATAGAGAAACTATTTGATTTTGAAAGCTGAAGTCTCAGGGAATCGGTACTTGTGTGTTCCTTGGTGGTTCGTTATTTGCAATGTGAAACGGAAGTTTGGGTCGTTTTTCATAAAGGGTATATTTGTGCGAAATGACGAGATGAGGCAAGAAAACACGTGGTGCAGATTCACATCAGGGCACGTCATCAAACCCTGATTCCAGCATGTAATTTTGGGATGTGGAATTTGTCGAAGCAACCCGATGAGGGTAGCGATGGTAAGGAATATGATGGAATATTCAAGCATAATCCAGTATAGTAGTTTTAAGTCATCTGTGTTTGGAATTATAGAAGCATAAGCTGTCCAAGTCGTAAAGTTTGTGGATATTATGCCATTCATAACCTTGTGCCACAAAGAACTGGGATAAGATTTACTCCAAAGTGGGTACTGAGCTACCAACAAACAAGACTGTTTATACACAATATTTATACTGATGTAGTATAATAAAAGCCTAATAAATATTTTTGGACCGAAAAGAGCAACAGGCTTCGGAAATTCTCGCCATTTCTGTGCACAGAAGGATACTCCGCCGAAAAAACTTCTGGAAGGGCGGAAATTCCAATTTCCAGATCCGAGGCTGATTCAAGGTTGCTTGCCATACATTCAGGCCATCTTCACACTTCCCTTCACCGTCGCGTGTAACTGAGGACGACTTCGGAATCCCGAATCCGTTTCGTGCGGTGATTTCTCTCTTCTGCTGTGCTTAGCCCTTACTGCGCAGAGCTATTCAGGCCCTCGCGTCAAGATGGCTTCTGTGCTGCTGCCTACGTCCGTGAAGCCTAAGAAGTATGTGGTCCATCTGGAGCCGAATCTGGAAACCTTCAAGTTCAAGGGCATCGTGACTGTAGATTTGGACGTGGTTGAGCCGACGAATGAGATTCGGTTCCACGCGCAGGAGCTGGAGTTGCATAAGGTAGGCGAATATCAACTGAACTGGTTTCGATGTCCTTACGGAAATGTGCGGAAACGCTCACGTCGAAGTTGAGTGAATTTTTGGTACGTATTTCAGATGAAAATCCATTTCGAAATATTTATTGACCGATTATGTTTCAGTGTCAGAAAGAAGACATAGGGGGAGCCGATTGTCGCTGAATCTGTTTCATTGTTCGAAGAGATACGGTGAGCTATTTGTTACTGAACCTGTATTAATGTCCCAGAAAGAAGACGTAGGTGACCGGATTGTCACTTATTCTGTTTCAATGTCTCTGAGAGAAGCATACGGTGACCGGATTGTCACTGAATTAATTTCGATGGCTCAGAAAGAAGACATACGTTGAGCGGTTTGTCGCGGAATTTGTTTCAATGTCTCAGAGAGAGAAGGCATACGGTGACCAGTTTGTCACTGATTTTTTTTCGATGGCTTAGAAAGAAGGCATACGGTGAGCAAATCTTCACTGAATCTGTTTCATTGTCTCAGTAAGAAGACATAAGGTGAGCAATCTGTGACTGGATCTGTTTTAATGTCCCAGAAAGAAGCCACACAGTGATTAGATTGTTACTGAATTTTGGCGAGCGTATAGTCACTGAATCTGTTTCGATATCCTAGAAATAAGGCATACGGTGAGCAAATTGTTGCTGATTTTTCATTTTTTTATGTCTTGGATTGAAGGCAAACGGTAAGCGGATGCCACTGAGTATTTTTTATCTTCTGAACAATTTCGTTTCTATGCTTATGCTTTCTTACAACTCCTTTCAGGTGGAGCTAACAACAGGAGGCTTCTCACAGCTGGAGCGGATGGATTGCCAGCGGTGTCAAACATTGGAATTAAAGCTGCAGGAAGAAAGGTTCATCAGTCCTGAGATGCTCTTTCTCCTACCGTGCCTGCTCAACTCAATCTCTTCCAGGTGGAGCTGACAACAGGTGGTAAGCTTCTCACAGTAGGAGCGGATGGGGTGCCGGCGGTGGAGCTGGATAAGAAGAGGCAGGAAGTGAGGATTATCAGTTGTCGCATGCGCTCTACCACCCTTCCTGCTGCTCACTATAATCTCTTTCAGGTGGAACTGACAACAGGCGACAAGCTCTTCACAGCAGGTGCAGATGGAGTACCGACAGTGGAGCTGGACAAGGAGAGGCAGGAAGGGAGGATTATCAGTTGCTGTATGTATGCTCTTTCACCCTGACTGCTGACAACTATCCCTCCAGGTGGAGCTGACAACAGGCGACAAGCTCTTCACAGCAGGTGCAGATGGAGTGCCGGAGGTGGAGCTGGATAAGGAGAGTCAGGAAGGGAAGTTGGTGCTGGGGGAAGGGCAGACGTTGAGCACGGGGCCTGCGAAGCTGAGGATTGAGTACACTGGGATTCACAACGACAACATGGTCGGCTTCTACCGTAAGTGCTGTTTTGGGTACATAGTGTGACGGCCAGAAACAGTAAGGAGAGTCAGGAAGGGAAGTTGGTGCTGGGGGGAAGGCAGACGCTGACTACCGGGCCTGCGAAGCTCAGGATCGAATACACGGGCATTCACAATGACAACATGGTCGGCTTCTACCGTAAGTGTCAATCTGAGTGGCTTGAGTAGTGTTTGTGTACGGATTGATGCTGAGTGCCAAGCCTGCGAAGCTCAGGATCGAGTACACTGGGATTCACATCGACAACATGGTCGGCTTCTACCGTAAGTGTCGATTTGAGTAAGTAGGAAAGTAAATTTCAGGTTGAGGTGCATTCAGAAGCAGTGGATGGTGCCCTTTCAATCCGAGGTAGTAGCAACGTGCCCCATCCGTTTGTTGCCGGGACAATCTGAAGAAAAGACCTCTCCCTGCCCCGCATGTCCCTTTTTTTCCCCTTTCAGGTGCATCCTACACTCGAGACGGGCAGAAGCAGTGGATGGTGACGACCCAGTTCGAGCCAGTAGGAGCGCGCCAATCCCTTCCCTGCTGGGACGAACTGATAACCCGCCCATCCTCCTTCTCCTCTCTCTTTTTTTTACCCCATTGTAGGCGCCTCTTATACCCGAGACGGCCAGAAGAAGTGGATGGTCACAACGCAGTTCGAGCCAGTAGGAGCGCGCCAATCCCTTCCCTGCTGGGACGAACTGATAACCCCAGCCCCTGTCACGCCCGTCCCCCTTCCCTTCCCCCAGGTGCATCCTACACCCGAGACGGCCAGAAGAAGTGGATGGTCACAACGCAGTTCGAGCCAGTAGGAGCGCGCCAATCCCTGCCCTGCTGGGACGAACCTGCAGCAAAAGCCACGTTCGAGGTGTCACTGCGCGTGCCGGCCGGGTTGCAAGGCTTGTCCAACATGGACGAGGTTGGGCGGGAGAAGCAGGCGGACGGGTCAGAGGTGGTTCGGTTTGCAGAGAGTCCGGTGATGAGCACTTACCTGCTGGCGTTCGTGGTGGGGGAGGTGGAGTGTGTATCGGACAAGACCAGCAATGGCACTCTGGTGAGAATGGGCTAGGGGCGGGGATTAACGGTTGGATAGGGTGTGGTGTGGTTGTGGTTCGGTTTGCGGAGAGCCCGGTTATGAGCACGTACCTGCTGGCGTTCGTGGTGGGGGAGGTGGAGTGTGTATCGGACAAGACCAGCAATGGCACTCTGGTGAGATTGGCATGGCGGTCAGGAGGAATGTGATTGAATGGGGTGTGATTGTATGTGAGTGAGCAAGGGATCAGGGGTGTGGATGAATTGGTGTGATTTTGGTTCGGTTTGCAGAGAGCCCGGTTATGAGCACGTACCTGCTGGCGTTCGTGGTGGGGGAGGTGGAGTGTGTATCGGACAAGACCAGCAACGGCACTCTGGTGAGAGTGGGATGAGGGATGTGTATTTACATGCGAATGGAACATGAATCAGGAATGTGTTAGTCACCAGTGGGATTGTGGTGACTGTATATAAGTGGACAAGGGATTATGTGCTTGTACATGCAGCTAAGCTTTTACCTTCATGCTGGACTGTTACTGTCATGTTTTGTGTGTGCAGGTGAACATTTATACGACGCCTGGGAGGAAGGAGCAAGGGAGGTTCGCCCTGTCGGTGGCGTGCAAGGTGATCACCTTCTTTGAGGACTACTTCGGAATCAAGTACCCTCTGCCCAAGGCCGACCTCATTGGTGAGTCCGAGAACACTCACAAGCACCCTGCAACACGAACCACCAATTCCTCCCCAAGGCACATTCCATTGGTGAGTGTTGAGGCGAGTCAAAGAGCTGTCGGTGGCATGCAAGGTGATCACGTTCTTCGAGGATTACTTCGGAATCAAGTACCCCCTGCCCAAGGCCGACCTCATTGGTGAGTTCGTTCAAGATTACCCCAATGCACCCTGCAGCACCGAGTAGAATCCACTGCTGCCCAAGGTAGACCCAATTGGTGAGCCAGTGTTGCGGTGCGTCAAAGAGCGGTCGGTGGCGTGCAAGGCAAGGTGATCACCTTTTTTTAGGACTACTTCGGAATCAAGTACCCCCTGCCCAAGGCCGACCTCATTGGTGCGTTTTCTCCGTGACTCCACACCCTTCCTTACTGGACTCCCTTCACACATGCCATGTGCATGCAGCCAATCCTGAACTTCGCCATGGGAGCCATGAAGAACTGGAGCCTCATCACGTTCAGTGATACAGCAGCGTTATCATTTCTCCGTTATTCCTCCAGCACGCACGTCCCCTTCCATCCCTCCCATGTGCATGCAGCCATCCCGGACTTCGCCATGGGAGCCATGGAGAACTGGGGCCTCATCACGTTCAGGGAGACTGCTCTGCTGGTGGATGAGAACAGCGCACCTGCTGCCACCAAGCAGCGCGTGGCGTACGTCATCTCTCATGAGCTGGCCCACCAGGTATGGTTTCTGCGATGCTGAGGGTGAGCACAAAGTGGCTGCACTGCTGGTGGATGAGAACAGCGCTCCCGCTGCCGCCAAGCAGCGCGTGGCGTACGTCATCTCTCATGAGCTGGCCCACCAGGTATGGTTTCTGCGATGCTGAGGGTGAGCACAAAGTGGCTGCACTGCTGGTGGATGAGAACAGCGCTCCCGCTGCCGCCAAGCAGCGCGTGGCATACGTCATCTCGCATGAGCTGGCCCACCAGGTATGGTATCTGCGATGCTGAGGGTGAGCACAAAGTGGCTGCACTGCTGGTGGATGAGAACAGCGCTCCCGCTGCCGCCAAGCAGCGCGTGGCATACGTCATCTCGCATGAGCTGGCCCACCAGGTATGGCTTCTGAGTAGACTCACATAGGGAGGCTGGCTGGGCTGCTTGTGTGCTGGTACTGCGGGTGAGCACCAAGCGACGGCGCTGCTGGTGGATGAGAACAGCGCGCCTGCTGCCACCAAGCAGCGAGTGGCATATGTCATCTCCCACGAGCTGGCGCACCAGGTTAGGCTAGATGAAGGGCCTTGGTGAGCGTTGAAGTGCCTCTGGTGGACGGGGGGGGGACGGGCTGCTGGTGGACGAGGGCAGTTCTCCGGCTGCCACCAAGCAGTGTGTGGCGTATGTCATCTCTCACGAGCTGGCCCACCAGGTGAGCCTAAAGAGGGGCTTTTGTGAGCGTTTTAGTGCTACTGGTGGACACAAGGGGACGGCGCTGCTGGTGGACACAAGGGAACAGCGCTCCTGCTGCCACCAAGCAGCGCGTGGCCTACGTTATCTCGCACGAGCTTGCGCACCAGGTAAGACTGGCGGTGACTCATTGTATGCCCGGTGCCACATTTGAGCACAGAGAGATAGTGTTGCGCGTGGATGACGGGAGACAGCTCTGCTGGTGGACGAGAACAGCGCACCCGCTGCCACGAAGCAGCAAGTGGCGTATGTCATTTTGCACGAGCTGGCGCACCAGGTAAGAGTTCTTTGGTTGACTCAACTCAATAATAGAGCATGGGCAGCTTGTGTGCTGGTGCTGCTGCCACCAAGCAGCGTGTGGCGTATGTCATTTCGCACGAGTTGGCGCACCAGGTGAGCCTAAAGAGGGTCCTTTGTGAGCGTTTGAAGTGCTTTTGGTGGACGAAGGGAGACAGTGCTGCTGGTGAACGAGGGCAGTGTGCTTTTGAGAATTCTCAAAAACACCCTCCTGCTGCCACCAAGCAGCGTGTGGCTTATGACATCTCACACGAGTGGGCCCACCAGGTGAGCCTAGATGAGGGATTCATATTCCATGGGAGAACAAACGACACCTTTGCCCGTGCATTTCCAATTCTTGCCACTTCCCTGCCTGCCTCTCCCCGCTCTTCTCTTCCTCTCCCGTCCTTGCTTCTCCCATAACCTGGCCTCCGCACCCCTTTCCCCTCCCCCCCTCTCTTCCCCACCCCCCTCCCTTCACCTCATCCGAATCCCTTCCACACCGCAGTGGTTTGGTAACCTGGTAACCATGAAATGGTGGAACGACCTGTGGCTGAACGAGGGCTTCGCCACGTGGGTGGGGTGGCTGGGAGTGGACTACATCTTCCCCGAGTGGGACGTGTGGACGCAGTTCGCCTGCAATGACATGGACACATGCCTGCACACTGACGCCCTGCTGGGCTCTCACCCCGTTGAAGTGCCCATCAATGACCCCAAGGAGATCGAGCAGGTGTGTGTGGGGATTGGGAGCGGTGGGATGCGGTGGGATGCGGTGGAATGCGGTGAGATAGGGTGAACGAGTGGGACGTGTGGACGCAGTTCGCCTGCAATGACATGGACACATGCCTGCACACTGACGCCCTGCTGGGCTCTCACCCCGTTGAAGTGCCAATCAACGACCCCAAGGAGATCGAGCAGGTGAATGCATGGGGGTTGGGAGGGGTGGCCGTGGGATGCGGTGAGACTGGGTGGGTGGGGGAGATGAGCCCTGGGAGACCGAGTATCTGTGCATGGGGATTGGGAGGGGTGAGATGTGATAACATTGGCCTGTATGGGACGGGGTAAGACGGGACAGGACGGGATGGGGTAAAACTGGACTGGACAGCGTTTAACTATTCTAATTCTTATCTTTACCGTTTTCCACCCCACGCCCATCCCGCCAGGTGTTTGACGCACTCAGCTACTCCAAGGGCGCGTGTGTCATTCGGCAGCTGGAGGCTGCCATTGGGGCCGATGCCTTCAAGAAGGTGAGTGCGTGCGCGCGTGCCTCACTGGGGGAGATGCACAGGGGGGATTGCACTGGTGGTGCAGGTCACATGCGCTAGCTCCCTCAGCTACTCCAAGGGCGCGTGTGTCATTCGCCAGCTGGAGGCCGCCATTGGGGCCGACGCTTTCAAGAAGGTCAGTATGTGCGCGCACAATGCGTCTCGCGTGGGGGGTCAAGTGCAGGGGGGTCGCTCAAGGGGGAGTTTCACAGGGGGAGTTTCACAGGGGGAGTTTCACAGGGGGAGTTTCACAGTGAGCCCTCCCATTTCCCTTTCCTTTTTCTGTGTGTCTCTCCGCCTTTCCACTTTCCCTTCTGCCCTTTCACCTTTCACCTTTCCTCTTTCCTCCACAGGGCCTACACTTGTACCTATTCAAGCACGCCTACGCCAACACCGTCACCAACGACCTCTGGAACTCCCTAGCCGAAGCCTTGGGCAAGCCTGTTCTCTATCCAGCAACCTTACCTCTCCTTTCCCCTTGTATTTTTCCTCCTTTCCTCTCTCCCTTCCTGTTGCCCAGGGTCTACACTCGTACCTATCCAAGCATGCCTACGCCAACACCGTCACCAACGACCTCTGGAACTCCCTCGCCGAGGCCTCGGGCAAGCCTGTCCGTGAGATGATGGTCAGCTGGACGGCTCAGATGGGCTATCCGCTCATCTCCATCCTGCCTCCCAGCCCGGGCAAGCAGGGAGTGCGTCTCAGACAGACGCGTTTCCTCTCCAAGGGACCTCCCAGCGAAGCAGAGGACAAGCAGCTGTGGTGGGTGCCTGTGACTGCAACGGCAGGGAGAGTGGGTGGAGGGGAGGGGAAGAAGCTTGATACGGTGGTTCTGTCAGAAAAGGAAGGGGAGGCGGAGGGGTTTGTGGTACCGGAAGGGGAGGGCGCGTGGCTGAGGGTGAACGCGGGGCAGACGGGGATTTTCCGGGTGAATTACACGGAGGAGCAGTGGAAGGGGATCTCGGCTGCTGTGGAGGCGCTGCAGTTGCCTGTCATCGACCGGCTGGGTGAGTGGGTGTGGGAGGGAGAGTGAGGGACTGACAGGCTCTGTAGTGGACTTTCCGGGTGAATTACACGGAGGAGCAGTGGAAGGGGATCTCGGCTGCTGTGGAGGCGCTGCAGTTGCCTGTCATCGACCGGCTGGGTGAGTGGGTGTGGGAGGGAGAGTGAGGGACTGACAGGCTCTGTAGTGGACTTTCCGGGTGAATTACACGGAGGAGCAGTGGAAGGGGATCTCGGCTGCTGTGGAGCCGCTGCAGTTGCCTGTCATCGACCGGCTGGGTGAGTGGGTGTGGGAGGGAGAGTGAGGGACTGACAGGCTCTGTAGTGGACTTTCCGGGTGAATTACACGGAGGAGCAGTGGAAGGGGATCTCGGCTGCTGTGGAGCCGCTGCAGTTACCTGTCATGGACCGACTGGGTGAGCGCATGCGTGAGGGACTGAATTGTTCTATGGTGTATTTCTGAGGCTGGGATATGAGGCGACTGCATTTATCGGCTCATATATTGGCAGCACCTCTTGTATCGGCTGCTGTGGAGGCGTTGCAGTTGCCTGTTATCGACCGACTGGGTGAGTGGGTGTGTTGTTGGAATGCCCTTTTGCATGCATGTATGCATCACCTGTCAGTCATCCCTCACCATATGCCGATCACCTGTTGCAATACCGCGTCATCACCGTGCGTCCCCCTTGCATATTCTCTCGCCTTCAACTCCTCTCCCTTTCGAGATTTCTCACACTGACTGATCTATGCTCTCTGCGCTATGCTCTCTGCTCTATGCTCTCTGCTCTATGCTCTCTGCTCTCTGCTCTCTCTCTCCTTCCCTCCTTCTCTCACACCCCACCCTCTCCTCCATCGTTTCACCATCAGGCTCTGTCATGGACGCCTTTGCACTGGCCAAGGCGGGCATTATCAAGACCAGTAGGGGCCAAGCGGTATTTGAGCTTTCTTCTTTTCGCTCACTCCCGTCGCTCTCCTCCATCCCGCCTTGCAGGCTCTGTCATGGACGCCTTTGCACTGGCCAAGGCGGGCATTATCAAGACAAGCCAGGCTCTGCAGCTGGCATGGGCATTCAAGAACGAAACGGAGTAAGTTTTTTGTGTGTGTTATCGTGCCCTTTCATCTGGCGTAGTGGGGAGTGCGTCCTTACTTCGAATAGGGAAGAGAGGGGAGCAAAAGGGGAGTGTGAGTTGGTTACCCTGAGACCAGAAAGGCCCTGCAGCTGGAGTGGCCACTTAAGAATACTCTAAGACATAGAGTAGGGGGGGTTGATAGGTGAGGTGAGGCGACTCAGGGAGCTGATGAGACACGAGGTGAACAGGGAGTGAGACAAGAAAGTGTTCTGATGTGAGTAAGTCATTCTCAAGCGTTTTAAGTTATTTCCATTTGTCTCCTCCTCCACACGTCCAGATACACTGCATCTGGAGATCCTCATACTTACCGCATGTATTCTGCCTCCATGTGCTCTTTCAAATGTCTCCAGGTACACTGTATGGGCGCAGATAGCAGGGGACATAGGCGAGCTGGAGATCCTCTTAGAAGCTACATGCATTGTGCTTCCAATCCATGTGCTCCCCCCCACGCGTCCAGATACACTGTATGGGCGCAGATAGCAGGGGACATAGGCGAGCTGGAGATCCTGATCGGCGCGCTGCAGCAAAAGCCCCTGCTGGAGGCGGTGGGCATGCAGCTCTTCACGCCCATCGCTGACAAGCTGGGCTGGGAACCCAAAGCGGTGAGTCGTCAGGCCCGTGGATACCCAGGCCTGTGCTTGAAATGGCAGAGAGACTAGGGTTTGGGCTGGGGATCCTGATCGGCGTGCTGAAGCAGAAGCCTCTTCTGGAGGTGGTGGGCATGCAGCTCTTCACCCCCATCGCCGACAAGCTGGGCTGGGAGCCCAAAGCGGTGAGTTGCCAGGGAGACGTGGGTGCGAGCAGGAAGTTATCTTTCTCTAGGTGGCTCTAGGTGGCTCTTGGCGCGCTGCAGCAGAAGCTTCTTCTGGAGGCGGTGGGCATGCAGCTCTTCACCCCCATCGCCGACAAGTACCTTTTCCTTTCTGTGCACCCTGTGTCCCCCCTCTCATGATGGCAGGCCGCGTCACATATCGACGCCATGCTCCGCTCCGCCCCCTGGTGCTGGGCAAGCTGGGCAGCTACCAGCATGCGCCCACCATCGCCAAGTGTCCACTTCGCCTTTTTCCTTTCCCATCGTGTGTCCCACCTCCCCCACCCTCCACCTTCCCTGTGTTCCACCTCCCTGCGTTCCACCACTCACTACTGCAGGGCGAGTCTCATCTGGACTCCATGCTGCGCCCTCTAGTGCTGGGCAAGCTGGGCAGCTACCAGCACGCCCCCACCCAATGCCAAGTCTCTCCTTGACCTTCTCTGCGTTCCACCTCTTGCACCCTCTACCTCTCATGATTGTAGGGCGAGTCTCATCTGGACTCCATGCTGAGGCCCCTGGTGCTGGGCAAGCTGGGCAGTTACCAGCACGCCCCCACCATCGCCAAGTGCCAGGAGCTCTTCAAGCAGCTCACTGCTGACGTCTCGTGAGTGAATGGCCATGGCCCATGACAGGCTTGGCGAGAAACTTGATATTCACGCCTCAGCATGTGTGCATGCGTGCATCCCACTCGCTTATCGCCTTGCCTCGCCCCCACCCACCATCGCCAAGTGCCAGGAGCTCTTCAAGCAGCTCGCGGCTGACGTCTCGTGAGTCTGCTGATGCCTCGTGTCGTGTGTGGATGGTGTGAAGGGTATCGTGCACGCCATTTAGCCAAAGCCTTTGCAGCCGTCCCGCCAAATGCCTGGCACGCCCCCACCATCGCCAAGTGCCAGGAGCTCTTTAAGCAGCTCACGGCTGACGTCTCGTGAGTGAATGGTGTGAAAGGGTTAGTGTACACGCCTCAAAACTTTCCTCCGAGTAGCATGTGCGCACGTGCCCTCTCGGTGATTGCCTTGGCACGCCCCCACCATCGCCAAGTGCCAGGAGCTCTTCAAGCAGCTCACTGCTGACCTCTCGTGAGTGAATTGTGTGATGTGAAAGGGGTCAAGAGCACACCTCATTCAATTCAGGGCTTCGCAGAGTGCGCATCCCACTGGCAGTTTGCCTTGGCACGCCCCCACCATCGCCAAGTGCCAGGAGCTCTTTAAGCAGCTCACTGCTGACGTCTCGTGAGTGAATGGCAATGAGCAGGGCTAGCGTGCATGGCCCATCTATGCTACGGAGAACGTGTGGCACACATGTTCATGCATGCGGTGGTCAATCTTTCGTATGAATGAACATGTGTGCATGCCTCATTCCTCTTGTATTTGAACGTGTTCTACTATGTCTCCCTTCTGTATCGCCCCTGTCACACCAGCTTGGTTAACCCAGACTGACCTGCGTCGCCTGGTGATGTCCGTTGCTGTGAAGTACGGAGGCAAGGAGGAGATGGAGGCAACAAGTGTAACCGTCTCTCCCTTCTCCTTTGCGCTTGTCTCATGCTTTCTTTCTGCGCCACGCCAGCTTGGTGAGCCCTGACCTGCGTCGGCTGGTCATGTCCATGGCTGTCAAGTACGGAGGAAAGGAGGAGCTGGAGGCCACTAAGAAGCTCTACATGGAGGAGCTGGAGGCACAGGTTTCATTAACCTTTCTCCCCTGCCGCCCCTGTCCTACTTGATCCACACCACGCCAGCTCGGTCAACCCTGACCTGCGTCACGTGGTCATGTCTGTGGCGGTGAAGTATGGAGGCAAGGAGGAGATGGAGGCCCTTTGAGGGGCCTCAACAATGCAGTACGGAGGCCAGGCCACTCACTATCTGTAACTGCTCTTTCCCTTTCCACCTCTGTCACCCTCCAGCTCGGTCAACCCTGACCTGAGTCACCTGGTGATGTCCGTTGCTGTGAAGTACGGAGGCAAGGAGGAGATGGAGGCCAGCCAGGTCACTCACTACCTGTAACTGCTCCCTTCCTTCTCTTCCTGTCTGCCACTCTTCAGCTCGGTCAACCCTGACCTGCGTCGGCTGGTCATGTCTGTGGCGGTGAAGTATGGTGGCAAGGAGGAGATGGAGGCCAGGCCATTGACTGTCTGCAACTGCTCGTTCCCTTCCCTCACCTGTCTGTCTGTCACCCTTCAGCTCTGTCAACCCTGACCTGCGTCGGCTGGTCATGTCCGTTGCCATGAAGTATGGAGGCAAGGAGGAGACGGAGGCCAGCCAGACCACTCACTACCTGTATCCGCTCTCTCCCTCTCCCCTCTCTCTGTCCCTCTTCAGCTCGGTCAACCCTGACCTGCGTCGCCTGGTCATGTCTGTGGCGGTCAAGTACGGAGGAAAGGAGGAGCTGGAGGCCACTAAGAAGCTCTACAGGGAGGCAGCTGCGCCTGACTTCAAGATCCACTGCCTCGTTGGTACGTGCTTCTGGGAGTAACCTGAAGTACCAATCTTAGAGGCACTTGAGAAATAGGTGTTTGAGAGTGACACAGGATGTCACCTGAGCTGCCTGAGCCGTTCTCGTGATGCGTGCAATGCTAGCAAGCTCTACAGGGAGGCAGCTGCGCCCGACTTCAAGGTGACTTTTGAGTCGACTCAAAAGTCAGCTGGAGGCCACTAAGAAGCTTTACAGGGAGGCTGCTGCGCCTGACTTCAAGATCCACTGCCTCGTTGGTACGTGCTTCTGGCCGTGACTCAAGTCAAGCGACCCATTTTTTAGGCGCCTAAAAAATAGGCTTCTGGGCGTGACTCAAGAGACCACCTCGGCCGCCGCAGCCGCTCTTTTGATGTGTGCAATGCTAGCAAGCTCTACAGATAGGCAGCTGCGCCTGACGTCAGGATCCACTGCCTCGTGGGTATGAAGCTTTCTGCTCTCCGACGCGCCTCACTTGTCCTTCTGAGCCGCCTCACAAGCCCCGTATGATGCCCATTCTAGAGCCGTTTCTTTCACTCGCTTACACTCTTCGACCTCCGTTTTCTCTCCATTTCATCTCGTCTCTCGCTCTTCCCATCCACCTCATCATTCCATCTTTCGTCCACCACCTATGATCTCTTTTCTGCAGCGCTCTCCTCTGTGAAGGACCGGGAGCTGTACAAGGATTTCCTCGCCTTCTAAACGCTATGTTCAATTTGCCTTACGTTTGACCCTCCCATCCTATCTGCTTCCCTTTTCACCAAACCCTATAACCTATGTGCAGCGCTCTCCTCTGTGAAGGACCGGGAGCTGTACAAGGATTTCCTGGCCTTCGCACTTGACGAGACTGAAGTGAAGGCGCAGGACCAATAGTAAGTCTCTCATAAGCTCCGCACTGTCCGCCTACAGCTCTGCACTGTCCCTATACTTTTTCCATGGAGTGTGTCACCTTCGATTTTCAAATTTCTGATGCTCAAGGATCATCCATGCTGGTTATTGTACTTGCTGCGTACTCACCCCTTCAGATTTTTTCCCCCACTTCCTCATACAACCATCCACGGCATTGTCCGAAGCGTTGGCAGGCAACTTCTGAGAAATTTCAACATTTGTTCCGCTTCCCCAACCACTCCCACACATCTCTGTTCACGACCATGGCAGGCAACTTCTGAGTCAATTCGAAATCCACCCCGGTTCCCCATTCACCCCCTGCAGCATTGTCTTTATGACCATGGCAGGCAATGCAGCCGATCGGAAATTCACATGGGAGTATTTCAAGGAGCATTCTGTCGGGTTCATCACCCTGCTTCCCCCCCCCTCCCCCCCTCTCTCTTGCAGCATTGTCTTTATGACCATGGCAGGCAACGCAGCCAATCGCGAGTTCGCATGGGAGTATTTCAAGGAGCACTATGACACAATCCACGCTCGCTTCGCCTCTGCCGCTGCCCTTTTCAAGGTGAGCCACTCTATTAACCAAGTCTGTATACACCCCATCCCCTCCCCCCTCCTCTTCCCCCCCTTCCTCCGTGGCCGCTCCCCCATGCCTTGCAAACCCACACAGCATTGTCTTCATGACCATGGCTGGGAATGCTGACAACCGCGAGTACGCATGGGAGTATTTCAAGGAGCATTTCGATGCCATTCATGCTCGCTTCGCCTCTGCTGCTGCCTTATTTGCGGTGAGGCCTTTTTTTCCTGCAGTGAAATCTGTGAGGTTTTGTTTTTGTTTTCTGTTGTCGTCTTCTCAGTTTGGTCAACATCTCATTGTCTTGTGGTTTGTGCATTATAAGGTCAGGTCAATACCTTGCCGGATAGCTTATATAGTCACTTTGTGACGTCATTTATGTTTCTGTTCTGGTATCCCCCTCTCAATCACACAGCCGGCGTAGCCACAGAGAACAGGCCTGCTGAGGAATTTGTTGCAATTTCAACACTCAAGCCATCTCTATTTCTTGTATCTTGCCAACACGTGAATCTGTTGCTTGCAGCGCATACCAGCTCTGCCCCTCAAGGGGTTTGCCACTGAGGACAAGGCTCGTGATGCGGAGGCTTTCTTCGCCGCCCACCCGGTCCCGGCCGCGGCTATGGAATTGGATCGGACACTGGAGACGATCAGGGCTCGTGCAGCATGGCTGGCACGAGATGGGGATGATATCGTTGCTTGGCTCAAATCCAAGGCATCTTAGACAAATCTAATACCTTTTGCATCAAGGACAATCAGGATTGATGCCGTCAGTAGTAGGGGTAATGGAAAGCCTGGATAAAGGAGCGGGCGCAAGTTAGGCACATGCACTTGAGCACTGCCACTCCACGGTTATAGGCGCAGTGTGAAAGTTCCTTCACAGGCGCATAAAAGCATTTTTAGCTCCCTTTATTCCTTTATAACAATGAGGAAGGAACACTTCAACCTCCAAAACGCAAGCAAACACACGCCAATGGTTTCTCCAATGCGGCTAAGTCGATGTTCCTGACTAGGGGCGTGTCGTAATTGCACGATTGAAATGTGGTTGAGTAAGGGCGTGTACCATTTTTTTTTTTTTTTTAGCGTTTTATTTTGAAACAGACGGTCCAACTAACGAACAGAACCGTCCGTTTTGACATTTCGGTACTTTGCCGAACGGATGGTCCACGGTACTTTGAAAATCCGAAACCAGTAACCATTTCGTCGACCGGACGGTCCACGGTTCGAACTGTCGGGGGCAAAATGGTTACACGCCCTAAGTTCCGCTGCGTTTCAGACTCCCGTCTTTTGTACTCGAAGCTTGCAGCTTGAAGCATTTCCCAGATTCGTACGAGTTACATTTCGTGAGAAGCTATTTGCTCCTCTGCGTAGCTTGTACACGTGAAGCGACCTCTACAAATGGCCACCATTACACGATCGCGGTGTTCTCATTCACAGCATCCACGCGCCTTGCTTCCACACAGACTTCAGCGTTTCGCATTCCAAATTTCGTGACTTTCTAGGGAACGAGAACGAGGCTCGGCGTTGTGTATTGTCCTGCCATCTCGCTGCATATCAATAATGGCTTCCAAAGTCCTACGGCCGCAGGTTAGCTCTTCCCAATAACATTACTAAGTTTCTTCTTTCGCATTTCAGGGTGCATTACAATTTGCTTGGAGAATATTCTGCTATGGTTCACGCAACTCGTATAAATTTCCGGTCAGTATCGTGTTGTGACAATTACACATCCCAGCTGTATTCAGAAATTGATGTCATGCTCGCAGGATGGATACAATAATTCCCGGCTAATCGCAATGTTGATACAATGGGATGATTCTGTTTTCAAACAATCTTACCATTACTCTTCCTATCCGATTTATATTGCGGCAGGGATACGAGATGATGCTCCAGTAGCAGCGCTTCGCAAGCCTTGTCACGTCTAAGACACGTCTTATGCTCACCATCACACCCTTCCTTTCCGGTCCATCTCGCCGCAGGGAGACGATTTTTGAGTCGACTCAAAAATCGACCCAGTAGCAGCGCTTTGCAAGCCTTGACACGCCTAAGACACGTCTTATGCTCACCACACCACACCCTTCCTTTCCGGTCCATCTCGCCGCAGGGAGACGAGACGATGCACTGGGAAAGGCGCGCCACACGAATCACAATGCGTTCAAGCTCTGATGCGTCTCAAATGCCATTCTCACAAATTCCTTCTGATCCCTTCTGATCTCATCCATTTCGCGGCAGGGCGACGCGACAAAGAACCAATCAGACGCGTCGCAAGGGCCGCCAGACGGCGTGCAAATCGTCAGTGAGGGCACGCTGACGTACGATGGCCGCTACAGACGCTACAGCATCTCCGGAATCAACTTCGAGGTCCCCGTGCGCTACGTCCCGCTCTTCCCCCTTGGCCGAGGAGCCTATGGTGTTGTTTGGTGAGTCATGGGTATTAGAATGAAGCGTGACGCCAGCGCGACTATGCGAACTAAAGGAATGTTGAGTCAGCGGTATGACTAGAATCACTGGGAGCTATAAGAAAGCGATATTCTAGTCGTCATCACTAGCTTTCATTTGAATCACATTCTTGACTCGTTACTGTTAGAATCTATATATTATAGCATGCGAACACTTGTGACTGTACACCAAGAGTGGTGTACAGTTGGGTTGGTTCAGGCTCTAGTTTTGGGTGTACTGCGGGTAGACACCCTAATTGGGGTGAACCCAAATATTCTAGCTTAGACTTGGCTCCAACCTTGTTGGCCAAGTGGGGCAACCAACTTTGGTTGGTTGGCCACCATCCCACTAGGGTTGGTAAGATGGTCCTTCCTCTCACTAGCCTACTTGGTCTTGGTGTCTTATGTGCTAGGTTTCGTGTTCCTCTCCAACCTTCTCTTCCTTGTATAACCTTGTGCTCTCTTGAGCTAATGTTAACAATTCTTCCTCAACTTTCTATAGCTCATACTCCTTGCTTGCCGGACTTGAGTATTGATCTCAACCAATTCCGTTCACTTCTTCCCTCTCTTTACGATCGACCTATACTGAGCTCTGAGCGAATTTCGTATAAATGTCATTTTTTGAAATTTCACCTTTTCCTCGCTTTTGGAAGGGCCTGGACAACTTGGAAGGAGATATATGGTTGTTTTTGCGATTTGTTTTTTTTTTTTTTTTTCCTGTCCATCAGCTCTGCGCGAGATGAGACGACCGGGGAGGAGGTGGCGATCAAGAAGATTGGCAACGTGTTCAATGACCGCACAGACGCCAAGCGGACTCTCCGCGAGATTCTAATCCTCCGCAACATGAATCACCCCAATGTGAGCAGACGCTGTGGTTAGGTGAGCACTCTCACACTATTGGAAACTTAGATTGTGCTCCTCCGCAACAGTACATGTAAATTGTGTATGAGCTCATGCCTGCGTTGCCCTCCCACGCCCATCCCACTCCCCTCCCATTCACCGCCCCCTCCCCCCCAGGTGGTCGCCATTAAGGACGTCATACGCCCGCCCAACCCTCAGAGCTTCCAGGACGTGTCCATCGTGTACGAGCTCATGCCTCCGTTGCTCTCCTCTTCTCCACGCCTCCCTCCTTCTGCTCATCCTCCCTTCCCCCCCTCTCTTCCCCCCTCTGTTCTCCCTCTCCCTCCTCTCCTCCACCAGGTGATCGCCATCAAGGACGTCATCCGTCCGCCCAACCCTCAGAGCTTCCAGGACGTGTACATCGTGTACGAGCTCATGCCCGAGGACCTGCATGGGGTCATTCGGTCAGGGCAGGACATGGACGAACGGCACTACACGGTGCGTGTGTGTGGGAGGCAGTTCAAGGTATTAACAATAGAACGTGAGCTGTGGGAATACAAGGTATGACAGCAGTTGTGGGGGTGCAATGGTGTATGAGCTCATGCCCGAGGACCTGCATGGGGTCATTCGGTCAGGGCAGGACATGGATGAACGGCACTACACGGTGTGTGTGTGTGGGTGGGTGGCAGTGCAAGGTGTGTGTGTGGCTGTGTGTGCCCCCTTCCCCTCCTCTCCCCAGCTCATCCTCTTCCAGCTGCTTCGAGGCACTAAGTACATCCACTCAGCCAACATCCGTCGTCTCTTTCCCCTGCTTTGCTCATGTATTCTCTGTCTCTCCCCTGTCTCTCCCCTGGCTCTCCCCTCCCCTGTCTTCTCTCAGCTCATCCTCTTCCAGCTGCTTCGAGGCACTAAGTACATCCACTCCGCCAACATCCCTCTTCTCCTTCCCCTGCTTTGCTCATGTATGGCTCTTCACCCTGTCTCTCCCCTGGCTCCCCCCTCCCCTGTCTCCCCCCAGCTCATCCTGTTCCCGCTGCTGCGAGGCGCCAAGAACATCCACTCAGCCAACATCCACTCAGCCAACATCCACTCAGCCAACATCCTTCACCGCTTCACATCTTATAGCCTGACATCGCTGTTCGCCTTCCTTCTATCCTCCCCCACTCCCCTGTCTCCCCCCAGCTCATCCTGTTCCCGCTGCTCAGAGGCGCCAAGAACATCCACTCGGCCAACATCCCTCCTTCCCTTACACTTCGTCCAACGCTTCGCCTCTTTTCTGCATTCGCTCCCCCTCCCCTCGCCCCCTCCCCTTTCCCCCTCCCCTTTCCCCCTCCCTTTCCCCCTCAACTCTCCCCCTTCCCCCCCCAGCGCATCCTGTTCCCACTCAGCCAGCATCCCTCTTTCCCATTCCCCTTCCCGTTTCCCCTGTGCAAACCATCATTCTTCTGCCCCTCTCTCGCTTATCCCTCCCCATTCTCTCCCCAGCGCATCCTTTTCCAGTTACTGAAGGGAGTCAAGTATATCCACTCAGCCAACATCCCTCTTTTCCCTTCCCTTTTTCGTTCTCTCAGCACAAAAGTGCCATGCTTCTACCCCTATCTCTTCCCCCTCCCCCTTCTCTCCCCAGCGCATCCTTTTCCAGTTACTGAAGGGAGTCAAGTACATCCACTCAGCCAACATCCTGCACCGTGACTTAAAGCCCCCCAACATTCTCATTGACGGGCGCTGCAACATCAAGATCACCGATTTCGGCCTCGCGCGAACCCGTGTGGAAACCACCGACCACCTGACAAAATATGTGGTTACCAGATACTACCGCGCTCCCGAGCTGCTGGTGAAAAACCAGCAGTACAGTGCGTCTATTGACGTGTGGTCGGTGGCTCTGATCTACCTGGAGTTGGTGCTGGGGCACATTGTGCTCAAAGGGGATAACTACGTCGACCAGCTCCGCAAGACCTGCGAGGTGCGTCTCAAGGAGAGGGTAGGAGTGATAGTAGGGGAGGGAGAGTAGGGAAGGGAGAGCAGGGGAGGGAGAGTAGGGGAGGGAGAGTAGGGGAGGGAGAGTAGGGGAGGGAGAGCAGGGGCTGCTGGTAGCACTGATTTACCTGGAGCTGGTGCTGGGACACATTTTGCTCAAAGCGGATAATTACGTAGACCAGCTCCGCACGACCTGCGAGGTGCATCCATAGCAAAGGGGAAGGGGAGGGAGAGCAGGGAAGGGAGAGCTGGGAAGGGAGAGCAGAAGGGTGAGGGTAGTAGTGAGAGTAGGGGAGTGATCGCAAGGCATTTCCCCTTTTTGTGCGTCACCTCTCCCCCTCCCGCTCCAACTCACCAGCTGATCGGGTCCCCCTCTGCAGAGGACGCGTCCTTCATAGTCAACGATGCCGCCCGCACCTTCCTGCTCTCAGAGCTGCAGGGCTTCCCCTCCCTTCCCCCACTCCTGTGCCTCATTCTTCCCTGTTCTTCTTCGTGTGCTTCATTCCCCTCTCTGGTACTCCAGCTCATAGGATCTCCATCCGCTGAAGACGCCTCTTTTATAGTCAACGATGCCGCCCGCACCTTCCTGCTCTCAGAGCTGCAGGGCTTCCCTGCAAGGAACATCAGGGACGTGTTCCCAAAGCTGTCGGAACCCGCGGCTGACTTGGTGCAGCGCATGCTGGTCTTTGACCCGAGAAAGCGAATCACAGGTGCGCTGCTCTCCCATCTCCTCTACAATGCCTCTCTGCGTGTCTCGAGAGTGATTAGCAGCGTCAGGCAGGGCTCTCCTGCCAGAAACATCAGGAAGGTGTTCCCCAAGCACTCAGAGCTCGGGGCGGACTTGGTGCAGCACATGCTCATGTTTGACCCGAGAAAACGAATCTCAGGTGGGCTGCTCACTCAAAATGTCTTCGTCTCAAGACAAATTCATAGAGTGAACTCCAGATCTGCAAGGAGCTCTTGGGAAGTGTTCTCCAAACTCTCTGACCCAGGGCTTATCCCCGTGCCCTCTTCCCCAACCGCAGTGGACGAGGCATTGGCCCACCCCTGCCTGGTGCCGCACTACCACAAGGCCAGCCAAGACCCTCTTTGTCCCTCGTTCCCCCATTTCTCCCCCCCCCCCGTACGCCCGTGCCTCGTCTCCTCTCCTGCAGTGGACGAGGCGTTGGCGCACCCGTACCTGGCGCACTACCACAAGGCCAGCCAGGGCTCGCCCCACCCAAGCTCCCAATGTTCACTTAGTGATACGAGCCTTCTATTCTTCTGTTTGCCCACTCCTCCTCTCCCACAGTGGACGAGGCATTGGCGCACCCGTACCTGGCACACTACCACAAGGCCAACCAGGACCCTCCTCACTCTTCAGCCCCCCCTCTCCCCCTCCTTTTCCCGTACCCAACCGCAGTGGATGAGGCATTGGCGCACCCGTACCTGGCACACTACCACAAGGCCAACCAGGACCCGCCGCACCCAAGCTCCCAATGTTCACTTAGTGATACGAGCCTTCTATTCCTCTGTTTGCCCACTCCCTCCTCTCCCACAGTGGACGAGGCATTGGCCCACCCGTACCTGGCGCACTACCACAAGGCCAACCAGGACCCTCCTCACTCATCCCCCTTTCCCCCTCCTTTTCCCGTACCCAACCGCAGTGGACGAGGCATTGGCGCACCCGTACCTGGCGCACTACCACAAGGCCAACCAGGACCCGCCGCACCCAAACCCCTTTCAGTACGACCTGAGCTTCGAGCAGGAGGAGTATGACATCCCCCGCATCCGCCAGCTCATCTACGAGCAAGCCTGCGCCTTCAACCCCCTATAAACCCCGCGATTAGCCCTCGGTACACCCCGATTCGGGTCACCCGAGTTACTGGTGTCGGTTGAGGGGGAAAGGGTGGGAGGAGGGGGGGGCGTGTGACATGCTGTACTTGCGAGTGGCGTACTGTACTATACCATGATTTCTGCGGGCAACAAGTTACAAAAAGAGCGATATGGTTTGAGCAGCACACACAGGTATGGTATGGAAGGTACCTGTAACCTCACACAGGTATAGCAGCACACACAGGTATGGTATGGAAGGTACCTGTAACCTCACACAGGTATAGCAGCACACACAGGTATGGTATGGAAGGTACCTGTAACCTCACACAGGTATAGCAGCACACACAGGTATGGTATGGAAGGTACCTGTAACCTCACACAGGTATAGCAGCACACACAGGTATGGTTTGAGCGATATTGCTTTGCTTTTGCATGTTTTTTAGGGTCTATCAGGTATAACAGCACAGGTTTCAAACTTATGTAGTATTAGGAAGAGTGTGCAAGCATTTTGTTCTATCTGTACCAGGCTTTATTAGTAAACATGCAAGTTTCTGCGGGTTTATGTCTGAAACAGAAAGTGAAACCAATAATCAATGTCAGGGCGTATCCCTGGGTAGTGGCAGGGCCACTGTAGATGGCAGCCGGGAAATGCGCATGCCACGAATCTGTATATCGCGGGGTTGGTGTCAGAAAATTGTGGTTGGTTGAGCGAAAATGTGAAATTGTGGACCGGGTAACATGACGCAGTCAGTTGGTGCTGGTTCCTCAAATCAAATGGGGTGTAACTGCCTACGCGACGAGAGTGATTTCGAGTCTGTGCTGTGATTGGTGGCTTCAATTCGGGTGGGTTTGTCGCCAAATGTGTTTCGATTGCCACCAACTGCGAATCGCGCGCGACTCGGGCCAAAAGTTGATGGCATGCGGGAAACCCGCATGCCATCAACAGTGCCAGCTACAGTAGCCCTGCCACCACCCAGGGATACGCCCTCAAATGACTGACTAAAACGAACTACAATCGATGCATGTTATAGCTTTGGCAAAATGTCATGCCAGCTACATAAATCAACAACGAATCCATTTGAAGAATGGACTCCGAGAATACCTACTGATGCACTCTCTGCTTTAGGGGTTATAATTTGTCATCCTAATTGCCAGGCACCTTGCCCTTGTTCCTCTCCTCCCACTGCTTGCGGTGGCCGGGCGGAAGCACAGTTGCGCCAGTGCCCTTGCGGAGCTGCCCGCGCACGGCGCCCGCGGTGAACGCGGGGGTCGACACAACCACGTAGAACTTCTCGGGGTTAACCATCACTTTCGCGAACGCCGTCGAAAGCGCTTCGCCAGAGGCCGTTTTAATGTTGGCGACGTCTTCCCACACGCCGGTCGTCGCATAGCTGAGGTAGTTCTCCGTCGACGCCGCAGCGCCGCTCCGCGTGCTAATGCCCGTGGTGTTCACCCATTTCGCTCCCGCGAAGCTGATCACCGCCGGCCCCGTCGCGTCGCTGGCGGCCATGTTGATCGTCGCGCCGGTGGGCAGTCCCGCGGTGGACAGTTTCCGCACGGAGACGATATACTTGATGTTCACCACCGGGCCGTTCTTATACACCGTCATGATCGCGTTGCCCGCCGCATTCGCGTCGCCGGGCGCGGCGCCAACGACGGACGACCCGCGGAGAACGGTGCCCACCTGCATCACCTCGCGCCCCAACGGCTTCCCCTTGTGCTCCGCCCCCCCGGGGACTGGCGCGGGGTGCGCCTTGGGCGCTCCGCGGAGTGCGCCTGCGCCGCCTGCTGCGCCGGGGCCCTCCTGCTTTCCGCCGGCGGGAGCGACCTGACCGCCGGGGGCCTTTCCCTTGGGGGTGGGCGCGGTCGTCGTGGGCACTACGGGGCTGCTCGCCTTCGCGTTCGGCGCGGCGGAGATGCTGGCGATCTTCGCGGTGGACGCGGAGGTTGTGCGGAGGGGAGTGTCTTCCACCGTCTGCGGCTCCACCGCGGGCACGGCGGGGTTCGCTTCTTGGAGGTTTCGGGCGTCTGCTGCTAGGCCTGAAAGGTGGAGGGATGGAAGGGGAGCAGCTTTAGATTAGCTTAAGGGAAGGGAATACTTGTCGAATCTGGATGGGGATACTGCTGAAAGAATTGACAGAGGCAAAAATGCGACAGATCTTCAGATGTTTACGGGGAGTAAAGACTTACATGAGATGGCGAGAATCGCCAGAAGCGCCGTCAGGAAGCGAGTAGTCGACATTGCTTCAGGAAGTGGTTTGTGAACACTAGTGCTTGACTGAATTTTACTTGACTACTCTGATTCGGAGTGAGAGGAAACCGTATTCGAGGAATGACGATGAAGTGTTGAAGGCCGCGAATTCGAGAGAGAAACGATGATTTGGGGATAGGTGTGAGTGTGGGCGCTTTTATGCGGATTTCTGCTGGTGCTTGGGTGCTGTGGCATGTGATTGCCTGGAGAGGAGTTTTTTTTCACGAACCGCGACATTTGAATATTGGGAAATGCGGTTCGTTTGAGTGTGTAGCGGGATTCGGTGATTGAGCGCTCAAGATTCAAAAACGAGTTACCGCCGCGGTGTAAACACTTGTGAAATTCCCCCCTTGCCAAAGTTGTCAGAAGCTGACGGGAACTCTTGGTGCTCCCGCTCGCTCTACTTTTCACACGGACACCAAAAGGCAAGGGCTCAGCTCAGCTTGTGTGCAGATGGAGATTGACGGAAATTTTGTCGTCAGACCCTCCAACGGGTCCATCCATAGCAGTCAATTTTTCCGGCCAACGTTTTGTAGTCAACGGAAACTGTTTCAGAACAAACCTGTGGGAGGGAGGTTTGATCAAACGTTTCCCCGTGGGGCTGGACGACGGTAGCCGTTCAGGTTACTCGCCAGCACAGACTGATTCGCTTTCGTCACAATTAGCTCAGCAGCAAAATGGACGGTGCGAAAAGAGACGTCAAACGAAATACCAGTCACCTTGCCCAATGTTGCTCAGTCGGTGACAAAAAAAAATCCCGCACAAATAACTGCCCGGGACGGGAGCCCAGGAGACCATCGACCGACCCCAGTTACCCGCTCTCTCGTCCCAGCGATTCCCGTAGATCGGTCAGTTTGCTTTACTTGCGTGGACTCTGTCGAGCCGCATTTCTCGACCTCCCAATGTCGCGGCTTGGCTCCAAAATTTTCCCTCCCCAACATTGGTACACGAGTTGAGTCGAGATGCACAACTACAAAACCCACCACCTTCCTCATCATTCTCACTCACCATTCACTCCGCTTCCTTCCGACAAGTTCAATCTACATTGTTCCTCAATTACATTCACTACAACTCTATAACTCCACAACTCTACAACCTGCTGGCTCGAAGTTCTCCAGTTACGAGCATTCCATTCTCCTTCTCAACCACTTGACGCGATGTCGACAACTCGCTTCCTCTCCGCGCTCTTGGCGATCCTTGCCTTGTCATGTAAGCCTTCTCTCCCAACATTTCTCGTTTCAAGTTCCTCTCTCGCTTCATTCAAACACTGTTTGAGTGTGTAATATTCCATCTAACCCCCGTGTGCCTCCTATTCCCTCTTCCTCAACCCTTTTTCGGTCCTTCAGGCCTAGCAGCAGACGCCCGAAAACTCCAAGAAGCGAACCCCGCAGTCCCCGCGGTAGAGCCGCAGACGGTGGAAACCACACCCCTCCCCGGAACTCCCAAGCTCGCGAGCATCGCCGTCGCGCCGAACGCGAAAGCGACCAGCCCCGTAGTGCCCACGACGACCGCGCCCACCCCCAAGGGCAAGGCCCCCGGCGGTAAGGTCGCTCCCGCCGGCGGAAAGCAGCAGGGCCCTGGCGCGCCCAAGCAGGGCGCAGCAGGAGGAGCGCCCAAGGCTCACCCCGCGCCGGTCCCCGGGGGGGCGGAGCACAAGGGGAAGCCGCTGGGGCGCGAGGTGATGCAGGTGGGCACCGTTCTCCGCGGGTCGTCCGTCGTCGGCGCCGCGCCCGGCGACGCGAACGCGGCGGGCAACGCGATCATGACGGTGTATAAGAACGGCCCGGTGGTGTACATCAAGTACATCGTCTCCGTGCGCAAGCTGTCCACCGCGGGACTGCCCACCGGCGCGACGATCAACATGGCCGCCAGCGACGCGACGGGGCCGGCGGTGATCAGCTTCGCGGGAGCGAAATGGGTGAACACCACGGGCATCAGCACGCGGAGCGGCGCTGCGCCGTCGACGGACAACTACCTCAGCTATGCGACGACCGGCGTGTGGGAAGACGTCGCCAACATTAAAACGGCGTCCGGCATAGCGCTTTCGACGGCGTAGTGATGGTTCTACGTGGTTGTGTCGACCCCCGCGTTCCCCACGGGCGCCGTGCGCGGACAGCTCCGCAAGGGCACTGGCGCAACTGTGCTTCCGCCCGGCCACCGCAAGCAGTGGGAGGAGAAGAACAAGACCAAGGCGCCTGGCAGTTAGGATGACACAAATGATAACCCTCAAGCAGACGTCGCGGAAAATACCTCCTTAACTTGAGGCACGCTAGGTAGCCATTCGGCTTCAGGCGTGTTCCCTTGATTTGATTTGATAGAATCTGGATTTGGATGTGTGTGGCTAAAATAGATGGCATGCCATTTTGCCAATATCCGTGTCATGATTCGTTAATAGTTTGACGACTGCATTATTTGGGTGCTTTCATGTTACCACCCCATCACGCTATTGGTCAGAGTGTTTCATCGCAGAGCTTTCTGCTCTGGCAACAGCAGGAGGTGAGCGCATGCTCAAGATATTCATGCATCTCATGAGCCCGTAAACCTAATGCTGCATGCCAAGAAGCGGCTCACAACAAAGTAAGACAGAAAAATACCCACATACAATTTATAAGCTTGATAATGTAACCGAATTAATGTTCCGTTCTGTACTTGCACTGAATGAAGTGAATATCTGCGCTGCTGGTATGTCCGGTATAGGCTCAATCATGAAGGGGAAAGTATGTTGGTCATAGCCACTGTAGTTTTTAAAATGCGTGTATTCCAAAATCACAAGGAAATCGCACCGAGAACATTCTCAAGGTTCGATTCATTGGCCCCTTTCTCATGCCAGTCGCTCTCCTTTCGTGGCCATCGAGATTCACGAATCTTCAGTTGACGACGACAGGCAAGGTAACTGACAGTGCGACGCAGAGATTTCCCGACTTGAAATCAGCAGCGCGCAAAGCTTACGAATCTCTCCGCGAATCACGGCCTCGCGGCGCCGAGAATGGTGCTTGCGCTTCCGCGCCACATCTCCGCGGCCCCTCACCTCCACGTCCCCATTCGACGCGCTGCCACGTCTCACGCGCCTCGCGTTTCTCGCCAAGTCGTTTCCCCTACGGCCTCTCTCGTCGTAAAGGTTCCCGCAGATCGCGCTCCCGCTGCAGCCGCCGGATTTAGCGTTACAGTCGGATTCGCAGCGTCGCGAGTTTTCGGGTTACCCGATTCGCGCGCTCTGCTCGCGTCACCGTGCGCGACAGCCGGGAACTGCGCTACAGCTGGAGCAAGCTCGCGCACCGCGGGGCGTGGCGGCGCGTTGGGGGTGAGAATGGTGCTCACCGAGTCACAACCGCTCGCGTTAGGCACCCGAGCGCCGGATTTCACGGTAAATGACCATCTTTAAAGAGTCAATCACTGTTCTTTGAGTACTTATAATCACGTTTTTTTTGTTACATAACAGTGTAGAGACATGTCTGCGATGCTGTTTTGTATTTGATGTAGATCGAAGCAGCATCCTGTAGATTGTAATTGACTGAGAATTCTCAAAAGTGCTAAGGAGGCAGCTTGGGCATGCGACATACGTGTCCAGATTTGAGACGTCTCAAAACTCGCTTTTGAGAATTCTCAAAAGTGCAAAAGAGGCAGCTTACTAGGCATGCGACATACGTGTCCAGATGACTGGCGCGTTTGTGCACTCAGCTCTTTGCGTTTGTTCGTATCTTACTCGAGCGAGTGCTTGCCGTTTCAAGGGACTATCTGTGTGCAATCAGCTCTTGACACTCGTTGCGACTGTACGTGCGCGCGAGTATGCACATGGGTGTGATTGTACATTCATGTGTACTGTACGTGCATGCAATGTGCAAATGAACTTTAGTGTGATTATACATGTGTGTGTACTGTACCAGCTAGTGGAGCCTCGGACGGGCAAGACATGGTCTCTCTCCGACTTACATGCGTGTGTGATTGTACCCCCCGTGTGGCTGTAAACATGTGTGACAATACATATGTGTGTACTGTACATGCATGTGTACTGTACCAGCTGGTGGAGCCTCTGACGGGCAAGACATGGTCACTTTCCGACTTTGATGGCCACCCGGCTCTCCTTGTAAGTCCTCTCCCTTTCCTCTCTCCTCTTCTTCCCCCTCTCTCCCACCTCCCCTCCTTCTCTCTCCCACCCCTCTCCCTCCTCCGACTTTGAAGGCCACCCGCCTCTCCTTGTAAGTCCTCTTCCTTCTCACTCCTACTTCGCAAGCCCGTTCACATGAGACGTCACAAAGCTCTCTGCCTTGTGACCCCGCCTCCCCCGAGTTACCACACACCTCTCCCTCCTCTCACTTGACGGTCGCCCAACTCTTCTTGTAAGTTCACCTCCTTGTGAGCCTGCGTTCTCCCCTCTCACTCCTCTTTCACCTCCTTGTGAGCCTGCGTTCTCCCCTCTCACTCCTCTTTCACCTCCTTGTGAGCCTGCATTCTTCCCTCTCACTCCTTCTTCACCTGCACCGCACCTCTCATCATCGCGCGCGAAGTCATTTCATTTCATCTGTAACCAATACCCCTTTGTGGTTCATACGGACTCATTTCCTTATCCCCCAAGGTCTTCCGACCATCCTTACCCCTCCCCACCCCTCCAAATAATGTCAAGTCATTTCATCTGTAATCATTTCCCCTTCTTGGTCCATAGGGACTCACCTCCTATCCTCGTCCCCCCTTATCCCTCACCGTTATCCACCCCTCCTTCTACCACCCCCTCCCTCCCCGCTTCCTGTTCCCTCCACGTCACAGGTCATGTTCACCTGCAATCGTTGTCCCTTCATGGCTCACGCAGACTTCCCCCCTCCTCGCCACCCCCTCTCTCCCCTCCTCGCCACCCCCTCTCTCCCCTCCGCTTCCCTTCCCTCAATGCCAGGTCATGTTCATTTGCAATCACTGCCCATTCGTGGTTCACATCAAGTCGCAACTCGTTGCTCTTGGCAACGAGTACATCTCCAAGGTACACTTCAAGTTACACTTCGAAGTAACATGTGCAGCTCCAAGTTACATTTTCAATTTACTACTTGAACAACATCTCCAATGTACATTTCTAAGTTACTTCTACAAGGCAGTACATTCTTAAGCTACATCTTAGAGTAACTTTTCGAAATTCTAGTCGTCCTCCCCCTTTGTGTCTGCAGCATGGCTGGCAGGGGTTGCCAGCTTGGCCTGTCCAGCCACCACCACCACATCCATCCATCCTCATGTCATGGCCCACCCAACACCCATCCACCCAACCACCCACTCACCCACCCAACCACCCACCCAACCACCCACCCACCACCCACGCACCCACCGACCCATCCATCCACCCACCCACTCTCAATCACGACACGAGGTGCCCACTCAATCACCCATCTCAACCACTCGCTTTTCCTCAGTCCGTCCTTTTCCCCCTCTCCTCTCCCCACTCCCCATTCTTCCTCACCGCAGTGGTTGCAATCTCGTTCAACTCGGTCCACTGTGGAGCCACTTTTGAGTGGACCTCTGTTTGGCTCAAACAACATCGCCGCTAATTCCTTGCCCCCGTCTTGCTGCCCCTGCTCCCCATTCTTCTTCCATGCAGCATGGGCTGGCAGTGGTTGCGATCTCGTTCAACTCCGTCCTCACCTCCACTCGGCCGCTCCTCCCCTTGCTTGCTCCCCGCTCCCCCCCCTGCTCCCCATTCTTCTTCCATGCAGCATGGGCTGGCAGTGGTTGCCATCTCGTCCAACTCGGCCCTCACCCACCCTCAGGTATGTTGCGTTGTGCATAGTGTCTGTAAGCTATAGTGAACGGTAGTATATCTAGTGTATAATGATCTTGGATGAAGAAAACTATTGTGCATCGTACTACATCCACACTCATTTGCCCGTTCCTCGTATTACCGTAAATCAGGTCTTTTTTTTTTTTTCTCTCAACTACCTCTCTCATACTCCCCAATCTCCCCTCTCTGCATTCTACTCAACAACAGGATGGACCAGATAAAATGGCAGAGGAAGCCAAGCAGTTCAGCTTCCCCTTCCCCTACCTCTATGATGAGGTGCGTCTCTCGAATTCCCATCGAGGGTCTTCAAAACTGTACTGCAATTCTCCATGTGAAAGCTCTATGTATTGATTTTTTTTTTAGGTTGATTTTTAGAAAAGAAAAAGGAAAATCAACTATATATATGTTACGAGTGCAATTGAACGAGCGAGTGAGAATTGCACTATCGAAACAATCAATACAGTTGAGCGAAAAGCATGAGCGAAGTTATATAGCGAAGCTAGCGTGGTAACGGTAATGCGGGAAATTGGGGTGCGCTACGGGCCTAGCGCCGAGGTTGGGAATTGTCGAGGCGGAGGTCCGGAGCGCGGGTTACCAACCGAACCGTGAGGTTGGGTCGCATCGTGAACAGTGGCGGGAGTCGTGGTCGAGGCGAATGTCGCGAGCGGGTAACGTTCACGGATGGGTGCCGATGGCGGGAACGGGCATGTACGCGGTAAGCAGGGACGCGAAGTAAGGAAAAGGATTTTTCCTTACACTACCCCCCTCCCCAAGGAGGCCCCTCTTACGAGAGCGCGTGTGCATCTCGGAAGTTTCGACTGCGCAGATACTCAGTGAGAACAGGGTGATTCTCAATTCTATCCAAGGGGACCCGGTTGTCTTCGGTGGGCGTGCGGTCTTTCCAGCGGATCAGGAATTCGATTCTGCGGGCTCCCCGTGGGTCACGTACTCGATGACTCAGTATTTTCTCAGGCGTGATGATTGGCTCAGTCGGCGGTCGTGTCATGCTGGCGGGGCGGTTGCGAGGCAGTTGGCTGGTGGATGGCACGTATGGGCGAAGCAGGCTGATGTGGAATGACGGGCTGACGTACCAGTCAGCAGGGAGGAGGAGATGGGCGGTGACGGGTGTGATCATGTGGCTGATGCGAAATGGCCCGCAATATCGGGGGCGGAGTTTTGGGGTGATGGGCAGGCGGAGGTTTTGAGTGTCGAGTAGAACTAGGTCGTCTGGCTGGTAAGTGACAGGTCGGCGGTGGCGGTCAGCGTTGCGTTTAGCGATGATGTTTGGTTTTTTTATTGCTTCGGCTGCTCGGGTCCGTGCTGCTTGCAGTATTTCTGCGAACTGTTGCGCGCGTGGGACTGGGTTGTCGGGATTCGGGGTCATGGGTACTGTGGGGTCTTGTCCGTAGTTCAGGTAAAACGGTGACTGTTGGGTCGTGGCGGATGGCGAGTTGTTGTATGCGAATTCGATGAGTGGCAGTTGCTGTTCCTACGTGGTCGGGTCGTCGCACGTGGCCCGGATGAGCTGTTCCATGGTCTGATTTGTCCGTTCTGTCTGTCCGTCGGTTTCGGGGTGATATGATGAGCTGAACTGCAGTCGCGTGCCGAACTGCTGCCACAGGTTCCGCCAGAAGTTGCTGGTGAATTTCGTGTCGCGGTCGCTGATGATCGCTGCTGGTATCCCGTGTAATCGAACGATGGTGGCGATGAAGAGGCGAGCTGTTTCTTCGGCTGTGATTGATTTCTTGCATGCTGCGAAGTGTGCCATTTTCGTCAGCCGATCGACGACGACCAAGATCGCGTCGTTCCCACTTGCTCCAGCCGGTAACCCCGTGACGAAGTCCATCGTCACCTGCTGCCAAGCACGCTCTGGGGGTGGTATCGGCTGCAACTGTCCTGCCGGTCGTTGTCGTGACGACTTCATGAGCTGGCAGGTGGGACACGATGCCACGTGTCGTTGCACGTCGGTCAGCTTCTCGGGCCAATAGTAATACCGCTGCAGCTGCTGCCGTGTTTTCTCCACCCCGAAATGTCCTGAGGTAACCCCATCGTGTGCTTCCTGTAGTAACAGCTCCCTCAGTAAAGTGTAGCCCGGTACCCAGATGCGGTCGGTGCCGGCTTTTACGTATTAAACTCCTTTTGCTGCTGCGAACTGCTGCGAGTTTCCTCCTGTGAAGAACGGGTCTGTCTGGTATCCGTGGGTAAATAGGCCTGTCAGCAGTGGGCTGGTCTTGACAAGTAGTATCGCGTGGAGTTGGGCAGTAGGGCGGGTCAGTGCGTCGGCAATGTTTGATGCTCCCTTTTTATAGGTGACCGTGTAGTGGAAGTTTGACTCGAGAAAATCGAGCCAGCGGATCTGTCGTGGGTTGAGGTGGGGCTGTGCGCGAAGGTACTGTAGGGATCGGTGGTCTGTCCGTACTGTCACGTCTGCGCCAGTCAAGTAACAGCGCCAGACTTTGAACGCATGCACGATCGCGAGCATTTCGCGGTCGTGTATCGGGTATTTTTTCTCGGGCGGATGCAGCTTTCGTGACTCGTATGCGATGGGCTGTAGGCCGTTGCCGAAATCCTGTAGCAGTACGGCTCCAATAGCAATGTCGCTTGCGTCTGTTACTACTTCGAAGGGGCGGTGTGGGTCAGCGATGCGCAGTACGGGCGGTGAACAGAGAACAGTTTTCAGGGCAGAGAAGGCAGCATGCTCCTTCTCCCCCCACGTAAAAGCGACCCCCTTCCGCAGCAGATCCGTCAGTGGGGCTGTTAACCGTGCCATGTCGGGGACGAACCGACGCACGTAATTAACGAACCCTAAAAAACTCTGCAGTTCCGTGATATTTGTCGGGGGGTGCCATGCTTTTACCGTGTCCAGCTTCTTTGGGTCGATTTCAACCCCATCCTCCGAAATAACGTGTTCTAAAAATTCTAACCTATCCTGGAAGAACTCGCACTTGGAACCCTTGGTCAGTAGGCGGTGCTCGTCTAAAACCTTAAAAACTGCTTCCAGATCTGCTAAGTGCTGCTGCTTATCCCTGCTGTAGACTAGGATGTCGTCGAGGTAAACTATCACGCATTTATCTAAGAGTGGCCTAAACGCCTCGTTCATGGTCATCTGGAATGTCGCCGGTGCGTTGGTCAACCCGAATGGCATCACGGTGTACTCGAATGACCCGTACCTAGTCCTAAATGCTGTCTTGGCGCAGTCGGATGGTTCGACCCGAATCTGATGGTAACCTCCCCGTAAATCTATTTTCGAAAAAACCCGTGCTGTTCGCAGCTGGTCGATCAGTTCGTCAGCGCGGGGAATGGGGTATCGCGACTTGACTGTTACCCGGTTCAGTGCTCTGTAATCGATGCACATGCGAAACCCTCCGTCTTTTTTCGGTGTGAACAGTATCGGTGCGGCGAACGGTGACGAGCTCGGTCGGATGAATTTTTTTCTCTAACAGGTAGTCTAACTGCTTCCTCGGGCTGTGTCAGTCGGAACTGTCGCTTTACGGTTGGCTGTGCCCCCGGTTCTAACTCTATTCGGTGGTCATGTGCCCGCTGAGGTGGCAGTCCCTCCGGTAAGTCGTCTGGAAAAATCCCCGGGTATCGTTTCAACAGTTCTTGTAGTTCGGGCGGTACTGCTGCCAACAGTTTCTGAAAATCACTCGGCTGCTCTGCTTCTCCTATCAACGCTATATTCACTGCGTACACGTCAGCTCCAGCGACGACAGCCCGTTTCATCGTGATGGCGTTGACGTGGACCGTTGAAGACTCGGGCGACTGCCAGCGTGGTAGCGACACCCAGTTACCGCTACTTCGCACTGTGCAGCTACCCGTCGTCCAGTCAATTCGCGGGTTATACCGTCGCAACCAATCACGTCCCAGTAAAATGTCGTGCCCATCCAGTGTCGTCGCGAGCATTTCCTGTGTAAAACCGAAGTCCCCCCCGCAGCGGACCTTTACTCTCTCCACTTTTTCCCGTATGGCCAGTGGTGTGCCGTCAACTAAGCGTGCGTCTATCTCCGGTAAACACCGACTTAGTGTCAGTTGTAGTTTTCGTGCGGTCGCGGTATTAACTAAGCTGTGACTTGCGCCCCCGTCGATAAAAATCTTCACTGCTGCTCCCTGTATTTTCCCGTGGATCAGTACTGGGCAATCCGTCGCTGTACCCTCCTTATTCATCCGAGCCCGATCGATAGCATGAATCGGTACTGTGACTCGGTGAGGGTCGGTGATGTTGGGCGAGCAGGCAGTCTCGTCAGTAGTTGGCCCGATTCCTACTGACTGCTGGCGTTTCCCTGCCTTGGAGACTCCCTCCCTTGCTCTGCTCCGCGGCGCCTCAGCTCCTCTGGGCATTCACTCTTGCGATGGCCCGGCCTATTGCAAGCAAAGCAGCGCCCCTTAAACGGCGCGGCAGCTGCATTTGTCGCAACAGCATGTACAGTGGCGTGCTCGATCGGTCCCCGAGGGTGATGTCCGTAGTAGGACCCCGGTCTCGGTCGGCGTAAAATGTCGATTTTCTCGGCGAGCGCGAGAATCTCGTTGAAATTCGAGAGTCCGCGTAGCATGATTTCGTGCGAGATGTCCGGCTTCAGCCCTCCGACGTAACGGTCCACCCGCTCCGCTTCGTGCATGTAGCCGACTTGCTCGCATAATGCGAGAAAACCACTCGTGTAGTCTTGAACCGACCCGAGCTGCCGCCAAGTACGCAGTCTCTGACGCGCCGAAATAGAAGCCGCGATCTGCTCGAAGCGCGCCCGAAGCCCTGCGCACCACGCATCCCACGTGCTGTATTGGGCTGTTTCGCATAATGAACTCCAGGTGACAGCTGGGCCCTTGGGCCCTTCCTCTTGCGACGGTGGCTCGTAGGCGCGTGGCGACGTCACGATGACTCGCCACCAGTCCATGGCGGGGCCTCTCAGCAGCGAGACGGCGTATCTGATCTTCGCTGCGTCCGACTCGACGTAGTTCGCGTCGAAGAAGATGTTCATCGTGAAGACCCACGACTGAACCGTCGGACCTCCACGTTGGCTCGGGTCGAAGCAGGGCGGGCGCTGCGGCTTGAGTGGCATTGGTGCCATGCTGGCGTGGTCGCCACTTGTCGCCGCAAATTCCACGTGCCGACGGGCTTCACGAGGCTCCCGCGGGCTTGGTGCGACCCTGTTCCTCTCCATGCCAGGCATCGAGTGAGCGGCGCCATCACTGGCTGCGCCTGAGCGCTGTCCCACGCTGTCGTTCTGTGTTGGTGTGCCTGATGAAATGACGATCGGCTCCTCCGATTGTGCGGGTACATTTGCAGGTGCGTGTGGTGGTGCTGGAGTATTCACCGTGGATTGCTGACGCGCGGAGTCACGTTCCGCCGTGAGCGTCGCAATTTCGAGCGCCGAATCTTCGACTTGGCGCACGAGACGGTCGAGTTGCTCCTGCGTCAGTGTCGCGAGAGTGAATTCGGCCATGGCGGGGGTGTCGGGCAAGCTCAGCGAGAGCCTCTGTCGTGGCCGTGCGTGCTTACGAGAGAGCACTACGAGCGGCGGTGCTTGTTCGCTGAGAGATGTCTACCCCCCCCAAAATTTGAGATAGTGGGGAAGCGAAGGTGTGGGTGCGGTCCGAGAGGAGATCGTAGGCTCTGAATACCAAGTGTTACGAGTGCAATTGAACGAGCGAGTGAGAATTGCACTATCGAAGCAATCAATACAGTTGAGCGAAAAGCATGAGCGAAGTTATATAGCGAAGCTAGCGTGGTAACGGTAATGCGGGAAATTGGGGTGCGCTACGGGCCTAGCGCCGAGGTTGGGAATTGTCGAGGCGGAGGTCCGGAGCGCGGGTTACCAACCGAACCGTGAGGTTGGGTCGCATCGTGAACAGTGGCGGGAGTCGTGGTCGAGGCGAATGTCGCGAGCGGGTAACGTTCACGGATGGGTGCCGATGGCGGGAACGGGCATGTACGCGGTAAGCAGGGACGCGAAGTAAGGAAAAGGAATTTTCCTTACAATATATAAAAGAAAAAATCATGTGGAAAACGAAAAGCGGTACACAGTGTTGATGAGTGTCTTGACTTTTGATGTACCTTGCAGAAGGTGAAATAAAAAACCAAAACAACAACTAACATGGATACATAGCACAATGAGAATTCAAGCTCACTCCTTCATTGTTGATCGCGATCAGCACATGTTCTCGCATCACCCCAGGTTGAGGATCCCTGAGCATTGTATCGTTGAAATACACATTCTTAACCAACAATTTGTGTTAGTCACACTACAACGAAATTGTACGTACATCACAGCGATTGTGTGTGACTGTTTGTACATCATCCCATACATGCATTTCAGTCGAAGTCAACCTAACTTGATCCAAAAAATATGTTTTTACGAAGCTTGGGTGCCTTTCCATTCAAGGGTTCGGTTTTATTCGATACAATGCTCAGAGATCCTCAACCTGGGGTGATGCAAGAACATGTGCTGATCGCGATCAACAATGAAGCAGTGAATTTGAATTCTCATTGTGCTACGTACGAATATTAGTGGTTGTTTTGTAATCCCCTGCGTGTTACGTCAAGAGTCAAGACACTCATCAACACTGTGTACCGATTGCATGCACCAACACACAACAAATTGTTTTCGTTTTTCATTGTGTAATTTCCCCACATTTGCAATCCTCCATGATTCACCCACTTTGGCCCCCTCCCCCTATCCCTATGGCGAGGTATGTCCCTCAATCCGTTTCGCAATTTGCTCGGTGTGCCTCACAGTCGGGCGTGCAGAGGTGGCAAAGCCGTGTCACGCTGCCAGTACGCCCAGCTTCTTCCTCTTCAAGAAGGACGGCCGCCGTCCCTTCGAGCTCGCATACCACGGCCACACCTCATAGCCCTCTCTGCCCCATGCCCTCCCCACCTCCCGTATCTCTTGCCCACCTATCAGACGCAAGAGGTGGCTAAGGCCTACCATGCTGCATGCACACCGGACTTCTTTCTCTTCAAAAAGGACGGCCGCCGCCCCTTTGAGCTCGCATACCACGGCCAGCTGGACGACTCCCGCCCCAACAACGACCGCCCAGTCACAGGGAAAGACTTGCGTGCAGCACTAGACTGCGTGCTCTCTGCACGACCCGTCCCCAGTGCCCAGAGGCCCAGGTAAGCTTGCCTTCACAAGCCCCTTTGAGTTTGCATAAGCCCCTTTGAGCTTGCAAATGTCCCTTTGAGCTCGCATACCACGGCCAGCTGGACGACTCCCGCCCCAACAACGGCCGCCCGGTCTCCAGCAAAGACTTGCGTGCCGCCTTAGACTGCGTGCTCTCTGCGCGACCCGTTCCCAGTGCCCAGAGGCCCAGGTGAGTTTCGCTTTACCCACCTACACGATGGGGGGTCGTCCTCTGGTTCTCTCGGTCACTGACCGCCCAGTGACCGGCAAGGACCTGCGTGCTGCCCTAGACTGCGTTCTGTCGGCAAGACCCGTTCCCAGCGCCCAGAGGCCCAGGTGAGCTTGCCTTCACAAGGCCTTTCGAGCTCGCAAATGCCCGTTCGAGCTTGCATACCACGGCCAGCTGGACGACTCCCGCCCCAACAACGGCCGCCCGGTTACCGGGAAGGACTTGCGTGCCGCCTTAGACTGTGTGCTCTCGGCTCGACCCGTTCCCAGTGCCCAGAGGCCCATGTGAGGTTCCTGTTGGCAATATGAAGCCAAGGCAATTCAGTTGTCACTGGCAAGGACCTTTGCACTGCTCTAAAGTGCAAGATTCCTGTTCCATTTATCTGCGTTTCCATATTGCGTTCCCCTGACAACCCTACCCTTTATCCCCCTTTTGTTGCAGCATTGGCTGCAACATAAAGTGGGCGCCCGGCAATGAGCCTGACTATTTCGGATAGAATCATTGTTCTCTCACTGTGAAAGTAACTATAAGGCTCACGTGCAAGATGGAGCAGAGCTTTTACTCGCTGGCTTGGCAATGCTCTGTATCAGTAGCACTGACAAAACGGTCTGTAGGATGCTTTGCCTGTCTTGACTGTATTGCAAAATCCTGCATGGGCCTGGTGCTAACTTGCGAAAGCACCTCAGCTTACAGAGGTACAAATCACTACACAGTCATTGGTTTGCCATCCTTATCTCATGCCTCGAATGTGTTTCCCTTAATCGAAATACGAGGAAGCTGATGATTCCTGGACTGGAAGGAACATGACGTGAGAGTCGACTCAAATTTGTCCCATCGCGAAGATGTTAGACGTCGTTTCAGGCGCTGCATCTTTGATCATTCAGGGTGGCGGGTCATTTTTGCGTCGGCTCGTAGGTAGGGCAGGCAACTCCAACGGGACCCGGAAGCCATTACTTGTCGAAAGTGGAAGGAGGGAGCGGCCACTGTCGTCTAAAGCAATGCACTCGTGCCACTGCTGCCATGTAGTCTGAGGATCTGTACGGAATGGGGTGGGTGAGGAAAGAGAAGAGGAAAGGTGAAAGGAGAGGTGAAAGCTACTCGAGCGGTGAGAGGGTGGGAGTGGCCACTGTCGTCTCAAGCAATGCACCCGCGCCACTGCTGCCATGTAGTCTGACGATCTGTGTGGGACGGGGTGAGGGAAGAAGATGAGCAGAGGCGCAGGAGGGAGGAAGGGTAGAGCAGGTTTGCCACTGTCGTCTCAAGCAATGCACCCGCGCCACTGCTGCCATGTAGTCTGACGATCTGAGTAGAATGGAATGGAGTAGGGAGGGGGAGGGGAGGGGGAGGTGGGAAGGGGGAGAGGGAGGGGGGAGAGTGGGGCACCATTCTTGCAGGGTGCTCGTGCCGCTGTCATGTTCTACTGGAGATAGAATTGTGGCGCGAGTGGTGCCACTGTAATGTTCGTGATAAAACCGTCATTTATGGAGCTGGAAGATTGGTGTGGAATGGGGTGAACGGAGACAAGGGCGAGGGGAGGCTAATGGGAGCGAGGGAAGGAAGGGGAAGGAGGATTTAGAAAGGTCTCGAGAGCAAAGCAAGGAAGAGTGAGCACGTATTGAGTGACACAATGGTTACCTGCATGCATATTCGGTTGCAGCTGCAGATTGGATGTACTTCCTACTCGTGGCCTCATCGCCCTGGCAGGCCAGTGGGGGAACGAAGGGAGGAAGAGAGCACATGGACACATGGAGGTCTCGAGTGGGTAGGTGAGTAAGTGAATGAGTGAGGGAGGGGCGGAGAGAAGGAGAGGCATTGTATCAACTATCGGGCTAAGACACATGGGCTCATCAACACATCAACCCATGGCCACATCAACACACAGAAGTTTGCCACGAAGGGAGAACCTTTACGTCAACTGGACACGTCAACACATCAGAACATAAACATATCAACAATGTTAGTCAGATTGATGTGAAAGAAACACAAGAAGGCACTACCATGATCTCAAAGAAGAGGCCGACGTATAACCGAGCATAGAAGGCTGATGACCCCCCCTCGTCATCCCCTGCTGCTGCCAACACCTGCAAATTCATGCCATACCATGAAATGCCATGTCACGCCATGTCATGCCATGCCATGCCATGCCATGCCATGCCATGCCATGCCATGTCATCTCATGTCATGTCATGTCATGACCCATCCCATGCCATGTCATGCCCCATATCATGTATGATTGAATGGATGAGCACCAGTCCTAAGAACGTTGTTCAGTGGCATGCCATCGGGTATCTATCTTCCACTTGAACTGACCAGAAATGGAGCAGAGATGCACGAGTGAGGTGAGAGGGAGGGATGAGAGAGCGCAGATGCAAGGGATGAGATTAGCTGCAACGGGCTTACCAACAAGGGGTCAGCACCCGTCTTAAACATGTCGTATGCTGCTCGTAGCACCTTGCCTGGGTCCCGAGGAACCTGAGGGAAGAAGAGAAGGGAGCAGGGGAGCGAAAGACAGAGAAGGGGGAAACACTTCAACCAACCACGTGGAATGAGCGCGACGTCTGAGAAACAGAGTGGTTGAGGGGTTTCAAGACACTGAAATAAAACAAACTGCAAGTGAAGCAAGAGCACAGGAAGTCTCAAAGCGCTTTCACAGGTATCCTTCAGTTGAGTTCGAAACAAACGGGGATACCCACCTCTGGCATGCTCTCCCAGGCCGATTCCGCGCCACTGAGGGAGAAACACTTAGATAAACAGAGAAACATTTATGCGTGGGACCCACAGGACACGCACCTCTGGCATGCTTTCTCGGGCTTCTGAGACAAAACACCAGATGGACTGGCAAGAAGGGCAACGAAAGAGAACAGCCTTGAGACAAAGCACGGCCTTTTGCAGAGAACAAAGCACCCTACATCTCAAACACAAAGCACCAGACATCATACGAGACAGATCACCATACGGACTGGCACGAAGGGAACTGAGACTTTGCAAAGGTGGAAAGTGAGGTAAGGCAGAAGGGGAGAGGAAGCGATTGATAACGATGGGACGCAGGAGGCGGGGGACAGGGTTGCAAGGGGCGCCATATGACAGAGAGAGCCATGACGCATTGCATGGCATGGTAGCATTGGCATTGGCATGGGCATGGGCATGGGCATGGGCATGGGGCATGGGTGGAGGCATGGGAAATTGGATGAGTATGTGCATTATTGAGTCAGTCCTCACTTCTTCAGCATCTCTTGAGTTTGCTGCAATGCATGCACGAAACTGCTGTGATGCTTCTGCGAATCTGAGACACCAAGGCAGGGGAAGATGGGAACGTCAAAGGCATGTGAGGGAGCATGGTTCAAAGAGAAAGAGATGTAGTCTAGTGGATCAATGAGCCACAAAGGGACATGTAGGCAGGGCCTAAACATGGATAACCAGTCAAACATGCCAGTGCACGCAGCACAGCACACTTCAACCCGACACAGGAAGTCCAACAGACCTGTTGAGGTAGAAGAGTGAAAGTCCTCTCTGCCATAAATCAGGTCGACAGTGGATGGCATGGCATGAACAACTGTGTCTACATGAGAGTGCGTGCAGCACATGGCAGTGCGTGCATGCAACACATGGCAGTGCGTGCATGCAACACATGGCAGTGCGTGCATGCAACACATGGCAGTGCGTGCGTGCAACACATGGCAGTGCGTGCGTGCAGCACATGCCAGCACACGGCAGTCACACACGGGCTAGTAGGACAGACCTGTTGAGGTAGAAGAGTGAAAGCCCTCTCTGCCATAAATCTGGTCGGCAGTGGATGGCACAGAAAGGGGAAAGCTGTGCCTTATCAGTACACGAAATACACAAGAGAGCCTCATCTTCATCAACCTTTTTAGACGTCTCAAAGTCAAATGGTATAATACGTGAAGTGAGGATTATTATCTCTGCTCATGAAGCCTGGGGGCTTCGCAGAAGCTGCTTACAGGGAATCTGAAAGGGGACGAGATCCAATGCGGGATTAAATTCAGCTGAGTGACGCTTCAGTCGACTCAAAAGCCAGAACGCTTTTCAGGGGACGCTCGCTTACAGGGAATCTGAGCGGGGTCGAGCTCCAATGCGGCCTCGAATTCAGCTAGTGACGCCTCCACCTCGTTCTGCACGCATGTTATGTGATACCATGCCATGCATTAAGTCGGCTAAAAATTCGACTCAATGTGATGTCCTTACAGGGGATCTGGGAGGGGTCGAGCTCCAGTGCGGCCTCGAATTCAGCTAGTGACGCCTCCACCTCGTTCTGCACTCATGTTATGTGATACCATGCCATGCCATGTTGTACCATGCCATGCCATGCCATGTTGTACCATGTCGAGTGGTATTGTATCATGTCATGCCACGTTGTACCATACCATGCAGTGCCATGATAGTTATGACTTGCCATGCCATGTTATAGCATGCCATGCAATTCCATGTTATATGAAGCCATGTCATACCACGTTGTATCATGCCATGCCGTACCACGAAAGAACAAGATTGAGCCAAGCATTGCGATGCCATGATGCAGAATCAATAGAGGGAGGATAAGAAAGGGAGATTGGAATCCAGATGGACATGAGGAACGGACAAAAATTGGATCTCCGAAGAGAACAATTCGCTACCTCGATAAACAGCTGCATGCCACGTCGGATCGCGTCGCGTCCTGCCTTCTCCCTCCCTGTTCCAGACGCCACGTCAGCATTGGCCGTCGCTGCAGGAACAATCCCAGCACCTCGTCTCCGTCGCGCACCTCCGGCTAACTCCTGAGTTATTCCTGGCAGTTGGATGGCACCTCCTGTGAACTCGCAATAATTTCTTGACCGTTGGATGGCAATTCCTTGTAACTCCATTCGTCTCCACAAAGCACTGACTCGGACTCGCCGCCTGTCAAAACAAGAACCTCCGGATGATCCATATTGCTCCTTAGCTCGAACCGTTTCCAACCCCTCTGCACCTATTCGTCTGACTCTATTTTGAGCGGAGCCAAGGGATTCTCGCCGTGCGATTCCGTCAAATCTGTGACATCTCAGGGTGAAACATGCACTTGCGGAACCACATGGGAGCTTCTGAATCCGTATTGTGTGGTGGTGATGGGTGAGGATAAGACCAGCGGAGGGAACGTTAATTCTTGTAGGGATAGGAGCTGCTGGGAATTGACCTCCGGTGGCTGGCATGGCAAATGCTGACGAAGGATTTTACAACTGTGCTACTAAGGGCAGGCTTGATGAGCAAATTCAGCGTGAGATTCGTAGAAAAGGTGGTGCAATGAAGCGCGATGCACGGAACCTGCCACCAGGAAAAGCACAAGGCAGTCGCGTAGGAGTTTGAAAAGGTGGATTCTGAAGAGCAGCAAAACTTCTAACAAGCTATTGAAAACCGCTACTAGTTCTAGATATGGCTCTGCATAGATGCTGCCGAGAAATCAGCTCTTGAAAATGGAGGTGGCCCTTGAAAATGGAAATCCCTGCGGGGCGAGAGGAGTTCCCAAGGGACAGGTGCTTCCCCAGACCAGCCAAACTAGCTCCGGCGTCGGGTTTTGCGATGATAATGCAGGCTCGGATGCATTTGAAGATACCGAGGCGAAAGCCGAGGTGCTGGAACCTGGTTTGGGTTGTCCGTCATTAGCTTACAGGTGGTGGCTCGGACAAGAGGTTTGGCGATAATTGATGCTCCAGAAAGCCGAGGGTGCCAAGGAAGCACCCTGTCGGTGCTTATATCGGAGTCGTCGTTACGCATCGTGAAATAACAGACAGTTGAAGAATCATGTAGTATCATATACAAGAATAAACCAAACTCAATAGTTTCGTCACTACTTTACACCCACCCCATGAAAGGTTGAAAAAGTTGCCAGAGTAAAATTCACAAGGGCATATCCATGAATTATTACTTGTCCTTCTTGTCCTCCACAAACTCAATGTAGTCTTCCTCACCTCCCCAACCATCTGCACAGGGAAAACTCAGCAAACGTAAGTACTAGCAGTCGTACACCCCTTTTGCAGACAAGGCCATCCATGTAAACCTCCTCTGCCTCATCCCCAGGCGCAACCGCCTCCTCCGTCTTTCGGCGCTGCCGTATGCTCTCCTCACTGCGCATCGCAAATGACGTCTTGGCCACCACCATCTCTCTCCCACCACCCTTCATACCCCAACCACGTCAAACCCACTCTCCAACCACATCCTAACCACAACCCAGCAACCCAATCACTAACCGGTCCCTTGATCCATGTAGACCTCCTCTGCTTCATCCGCCGGGGGAGCCGGTTCCTCTGTCTTGCGGCGCTGCATGTTCTCCTCACTGCGCATTGAAAACGACGTCTTGGCCACCACCCAGAATCCAACCACTCCCAACCAATTCTAATCACTCCCAATCACTTCCCGACCACACCCACACCCACCGTTTCCTTGATCCATGTAAACCTCCTCTGCTTCATCCACAGCGGGAGCCACCTCCTCTGTCTTGCAGCGCTGCATGTTCTCCTCACTGCGCATCGCACCATCCCCCTTTCATACCACCATCCAGAACCCAGTCACTCCCAACCACTCCCAATCACTTCCCAACCACAACCCACCCACACCCACCGTTTCCTTGATCCATGTAGACTTCCTCTGCTTCATCCACTGGTGCAGCCGGCTCTTCTGTCTTGCGGCGCTGCATGCTCTCCTCACTGCGCATTGAAAACGATGTCTTGGCCACCACCTCATCCCGCTGCACCGCCGGCTGTGCAATGTCATACTCCTCCTCGTCGTCCTCCTCTAAGAGCTCCTCCTCCCTGGTGTGTGTGGGGCGGTGTGAGTGGGGTGCGTGTAGGGCGAGAGGGATGAGAGGGATGAGTGGGGAGATGGAGAGAGGGGTCTTGGCCACCACCTCATCCCGCTGCACCGCCGGCTGTGCAATGTCATACTCCTCCTCGTCCTCCTCTAAAAGCTCTTCTTCCCTGTTGTGAGTGGGGTGAGCAGGGAGAGACGGGAGAGCGGGGAGATGAGGGGCAACGTTTTGGCCACCACCTCGTCCCGCTGCACTGCCGGCTGCGCAATGTCATACTCTTCGTCCTCGTCCTCCTCTAACAGCTCCTCCTCCCTGCCGAGGCAGAAAAAAGGAGGGGGAGGAGTTGGAATGAGAGAGGGGAGATAGAGCAACACTGTCTTGGCCACCACCTCGTCCCGCTGCACTGCCGGCTGTGCAATGTCATACTCCTCCTCCTCGTCCTCCTCTAAGAGCTCTTCTTCCCTGCCAAGGCAGTCAGAGGGGTTCGGGGGAGTGGGGTGAGTACGGAGGGACAGGTGTGTGTTCACTGCAACGCTTGTCAGCACAGTGCCTTTTGGATTGACTCAAAATCCTGGAGGGACAGGTGCGTGCTTACGTCTATCCGAGTATTATTGGGCCGACCCCAAACCCATGAGTAATTCTGCAACGCTTTTCAATGCAGTGCCTTTTGATTAAATTCAAAAGCCTGGAGAGGAGGGAGGGAGGGTGGGTGCTTACGTGTATCCGAGTATTGTCGGGCTGATTCCAAACCCGTAAAGCACTTCTGCAACGCTTTTCAATGCAGCTGCATGGGATGGGAACGGAAAGGGAGGCCAGGCGGTGAAAACGGGAAACGGAAGGGAGGGGAGGGGAGAAAGAGAGGGCTTTTGGGTCAACTAAAAATGCCATGGGAACGGGAAAGGGAATCCAGGAGGTGAAAGCGGGAAAGGGAAGGGAGGGGAGGGGAGAAAGGGAGGGGTCCTCTGAAGGAACTCCCAAAAGCTCATAAAAGGAGACGACGCAAGGTGAGGAGTGGAGAGGACGTGAAGGGAGGAGGCGAGATGATGGGGGAAAGGAAGTGGATGACGATGGATGTGAGTGGGAGAAGGGAGAAGATGCAAGGGAAAAAAGTATCTTGTGTTCTCACCATCGCCTATGTACCACATGTTTTCCTTCACCACTTGCACCGTGCCCTCTAGTTTTGAGATGTCTCAAAACGGGAACACCAGGAAATCAAGAAGCGCCTAGGGCATGAGAGAGAGAACCCAAGCATTGAAGAGTACTGTCTCACCATCGCCTATGTACCACATGTTTTCCTTCACCACTTGCACCGTGCCCTCTAGCGAGATGGCACTCGCACCCAGATCCCCTGCGATCCACACGGCAAAGGGACAGATTGGAGCACACAAATTAAGACTGAGAATTTTACTTAATTCTTCTCTTTCACCACTTGCACCGTGCCCTCTAGCGAGATGGCACTCGCACCCAAATTCGCTGCAAGGAAATGACAACAAGACAGAATGGAACACGCAAGGTAAAACTGAGAAAGTTAATTCGTAAAGCATAAATAGTATGGGCACACTGTGACTGGGAAAACATGACAGGAGAAGGAAGTGGATGGGTGTTGAGGAGAGGAGGACAAGAAGACGGGAGAAGAATTGGATGATGGCAGGAGGAGGAGGAGTTGCACAATAGTGGTTACTCAGTCGTCAGCAGAAGGCTCTTTCTGAGGTGCCTCAGATGACTATTGAGTCGACTCAAAAGTCACCTATTTTGAGTGAGCTCGTATAGGAAGTGGAGGATGATGGCAGGAGGGGGGAGATAGAGCAGTGGTGGTACCTTGATCGTTGGCAGGAGGCTCATTGGAGTATATACCCAGGTAACTGTCTGCTGGAGGCTCGCTGGAATATAGTAATCCGCGTGAAATTCCTCTCTTTCCAAGTGACCTCTGTTGAGTGAACTAGGAAGAGGGACAGAAGAACAGTGGTGGTACCTTGATAGTCGGCAGGAGGTTCGTTGGCGTAGATATCCGGGTACTTGTCCGCTGGAGGCTCGCTGGAGTAGTAATCCGTCTGTTTCTCCTTCCAATCTGACGTCTCCCCTGCCGCTGCTGAACCCGCCCCTCCTCCGTACTTGGGCTGAACAGAGAAGCAGAAGAGGGAGAAATAGAAAGAAGCAGCATAGAGAGAGTAGTAATCCGTCTGTATTTCCTTCCAATCTGACGTCTCCCCTGCTGCTGCTGTCCCTGCTCCTCCTCCGTACTTGGGCTGAAGAGAGAAAGGAGAAGAAAGTGAAGCGGAAGAAAGAGGTTCGTTGGAGTATATATCCGGGTACTTGTCCGCTGGAGGAGGTTCGCTGGCGTAGTAATCCGTCTGTTTTTCCTTCCAATCTGACGTCTCCCCTGCCGCTGCTGAGCTTGCCCCTCCTCCGTACTTGGGCTGACAGGAAGCAAAAGAGAGAGAGCAGAAGCAGAGACGGAGATGAGGGGCACATTGGAGCCGACGTATGTGAGTGCCTTTTGAGGTGAGTCCAATGTCACTCCAAGGCTCTCCCCTACCGCTGCTGACCCTGCTCCCCCTCCGTACTTGGGCTGAACAGAGAAGCAGCAGAGGGAGAAAATAGAATGAAGAGAAGCAGGTGGGGAACCTCAGGGCCTTTTAAGGCCACTTCAATGTCAACTCAAAACTCTCCCCTACCGCCGCTGACCCTGCTCCTCCTCCGTACTTGGGCTGAAGAGAGAAGCAGCAGAAAGAGAAACGGGTAAGTCTCACTGGAACTGCTGGAAACTGCAACACCTGGTTGTTTGAGGCTCAGAGGCGCAGCACAGCAGTGCGCGGAGTTGAGACGCGCTGAGGTGAGACGCGCTGCGCTGAGTTGGCTGAGCTGAGATGCGCTGCGCTGCAATGGTGCGCTGAGGTGAGCCAGCTGCGCTGAGCGGAACTGAGCTGTGTTTAGTTGCGCTGAGCCGAGGTAATGCTCAAATGCGAGCATAGCGCGTTACATGATATCACGGAGGAGTGATGGGACACTGAACGTCACTGTGACGTCATGTGAGATACGATATTAACTATTGAGCGCGCACTGAAGTACCAAGGTGTTTTTAAGAATCCCCAAAACACCTTGGAACGAGCCAGATGATGTCATGGGTGAGTGGCGAGAGACTGAATGTCACCTCGACGTCATGTGAGAAGCGATATTGACAAATGAAGGCGCATGTAAGGCCGGCAAAACATACTACATGTGACCAAAAGGTCGTGCGTAGCATGCGAGCAATGAAGACTGATGTGGAACCGTTTTATTGGAAGATATTTGCGCGTACATCAACGTCGCGCGACGACATGATGGACGTCGTTGAACCAGGGCCGTCCTCCAGGCGCAAGAAGCACCATCCCAGGAATCACACAATGACACAACGTCGACCGACGACCTGATGGTCGTCGTTGAACCAATAACGGATTTTTTTACGTCGCTCAACTCTAGTTGAACCAAGAACGTCATCTGAAAGCAGGCGATTTTTCAGTCGACTCAAATTTCACCTGGTACGTGTGCAATGGAGTCGACTCACTGACGGCGCCGACGTCACCGAACATTTTCCTTGAAGTAGTGTGCTTACATAACTTTTGAGGCGCCTCAAAAGACGACACCGCAGTCATCGAACATTTTCCTTGAAGATATGCGCTTACATCACCGTCGAGTGACATGATGGTCGTCGTTGAATCGAGGACGGCCTCTGAAAGCTGACCAATGAAGGACAGTCGAACGAAGCACCGAAGAACGAAGCACCGTCAAGCGAAGCACCTGTTTTGCCTCTCTGTCAGCTATTTGCGAGAGTAGACAAGTCAACGTAAAGTCCCTTGAAATCGGACGGACCTAAAATAAATTCCGAACAGATGGCTGGCCTGTCTACTGATGCCTTCTGCAATGCTCGGACTAGTTGAGAAAGCCGAAATAAAACCCGTATTATTTGGCATTGCCTGACATAAATTAAAGCGCAAGCAAGAGCCTAGCATCTACGACACATGTATCCATAATAATGTCCTGTCGCAGGCTGCAAAAATATGTCGGACGCTGCTCATTCGCAGTGCGCCTGCGTGAAAGATGCTGTCCCTTAGCTCGATATAACCTATGCTAGTTGAGACTCCTAACTCAATAGTTCACTTTCACTCGAGCAATACCTACTTTCTCGTACTTGGTATCTCTCCGAGTTCCGAAGTTTGCGGAATAAAGTGGAGATGTGGAAACTTAGTGACTTTGAAAGAAACCGCCATAAATAGTTCACTTGAAATCCCTTCACCCCCACACAGAACTGGATGCCTGCAAGTTGGAATCCGTAGATTCCACGGGTGTGCGCATTATGTAATCTGCTACGGTTGAGATGGTTACGTCCGCTCGTAAAATGGTTCTATGTCATAAGAAACGGTTTGGTAGGTTTTTGCTAGTTGCTGTGTCCGGCTGAGTTTCCTGCAGTTGGCCGGTCTGGCGAACTCTGCTGGAGTCCTCCTTGCGGTTGCAAGCGGACCTTGGGGATCTCCGCTGCCTGTCCATGCGGAGGAAGGGGATCTCCGCTGCTTGGGTAGGGGGAGCCCTATATTTCAGCCATGTAATTCCTTGTAATTCGCGTTGTCCCTTTCTCCCTCCTTGATTTAGGGTTTCCAGGCTTGATAGGATCCACGCGAGGAGAGAGCGGGGGGGGGGGGAGAGGGGCGCTGGATGACACAAGCTCGTTATTTGTGAGGGTAGTTTCGCGCACAGGCAACACTGGAAACTAACAAAGGGGAACATATGCTTGGTGATGTTTCTTTCGTCACAACCGCTGATTCTCGCCGGTATGCGATGCTTCGTTATTATGCAGCGCATCTTTTGTGCTCGTTCGATCTCTTGATTTACGTTAAAAACTCGGCCATACCCAAATCCCAAGATTGACCACACCTGAAGCGCGATCGCCCTTCGCGGAAGCAGATTGGTTGGACTTGGACCTTGGCGGCGGGAATGAAGCTGAATGGATGAAGCCCAGCTTGTGACCCGCGAGCCGACCTGGCATGCCATCCATCCGTGCATTTCGCAAGAAAATTTGCTGACGAATCTGGCTGTTAGAGCGCGTTTGCACGCGGATAGAAATCTGACACCTGCCGTAAGAGCTGAAGAGACTTTTTTCACTTGACTGGGAATTGCCCCCACAATGTGCAATAACCGAATCGTTCCTGACCTCAAAGATTTATATTTAAAGGGTGCTTTTTACCGAGGCTCTCTACCAGCTGGCCTGGAAATCCCGTGCGTGGGACGCAGGTTTGGCTGGAACCGCGTTTCAACCCCACCAACTCCACCAGCCCAACTATAAATACCAGCTGGTTCTCCCCCCATTCATTCAGCAGCTCCCATTTCTCATTTTCCGAATCAGCCTTTTCCGCATGGCTTGGCCCCAGCAGCACTCCTCTCCTCAGGGGCTCTTCCCTCCCTTCAACTCAATTCCAGCCAACCAAGGCCCTCTTCTTCCATACTTAGCCGCTGGAGCAATTTCCAGCAATGTTCAAGCCCCCTTGCTTGACCAAAACCAATACCCGCGCTTCGGACCCAGATTAGGGTTTGCGCATCGACCAAGAGCACTCACGTGCGAATATTTGAAACTTGGATGGCAGCTAGGATGAACGGACCGCTCAACTGACTTACTAATTTGACATCCAAACCCTAATTCTTGGAACATAGCCCCTGCCGCTATGCCGATCGGAGCACCAGTCGCCATTGAGCCCCGCGGCTCAGTCGGCGGATCGCGCGGAGATTCCCACGCGAACGTTCATGTCCACGTGCCACGGGCTGATTCGCGGCTGCTGAGCCACGTGGCCTTCGAGGCGACAGATGACCTGGACCTTGCCCTTCAGTCGCTCCACGCGCGTCTCAAGCCACTTCTCGCGTCGGACAGCGAAGGCGACGTGCACAGCCAGTTGCAGGAAATGGTATCGGAAGGCGCGCAACAGCATGCCGACGTGGTCAACGGTCTCCTCTACGCTATCCTCACCGCGTCGCACAAAGCCGGACCGCCGCCGTCGCCGCCGTCGCACGCGGCTCCAGCCGCGGCCGTGCGATTGTTCGGAATCATGTGCTCCGTGACGCGCGATCATCACGCGTCGCTTCTAGCGACGCTTCAGCGATTAGCGAGCGACAAATGGAGTAAGCTCCAGGACCACGTGCGCGCGCAGGTCATTTGGATCCTCCGGCAGTTGGTTCAGCTAGCCGTTCAGGAAGCAGAAACGCTCTTTCTTTGCCTATTCCGTCAGGTCTCTGGCGGCGATCTCAGCGTCGGAAACGTGTGGTTAGCTCGGCAGTTACTCGACGTCCTCCGTACGAACACGCAGTGGCTTTACACTCTCCCGAATCTTCTCGCCCTCTCGTTATACACGTTCCTTAGGCTCCTACCGGACCATGCGGTTAGTAAGGCGCCGACCGTAGTAGAGCTGAAGCAGCAGGAGGTCGCGTTTTGCACGCAGCTGATTAGGGAGCGGTTTCAGGACTGCCTGGTGATTGGTCGCGACTTAGTGCGTCTGCTGCAGGATGTAGCGCTGATTCCGGAATTTGAGCCAATTTGGAGGGATTTGGTTCATAGACCGGAGACTATGGGCGCGCCAGGGTTTTCCGATTTAGCTGAGCTGTACGTCGTGCGGACGCCGACACGTTTCATCACGTCGCGAGTTACGCCCGAAATGGAGTCGCAGCTTCGCTTTCTTCTCGCACACGTGCGCATGGGCCACCAGCGGCGCTACCAGACGTGGTTTGCCACCCGGTTTCTCGCCGCCCCGGAGAGTGAATCCCTCGTGGCCGATTTGATTCGTTTCGTCTGCTGCTCGGTGCATCCGACCAATCAGGTGCTGCAATCCGACGTGGTGCCACGCTGGGCGATTGTGGGTTGGCTCCTCAAATGCTGCAGAAGCTGCCACATGGAGTCAAATGCCAAGCTGGCGCTCTTCTACGATTGGCTCTTCTTCATGCCCAAGACAGACAACATCATGAACATCGAACCGGCGATGCTGTGCATGGTCCATTCCCTTCCCAAATACGCCATTATGACCAACTCCCTTCTGGAATTCCTCTTCCTCCTCCTAGACCACTACGACGCGGCGCATAGAGACGTAATTCTCCGCGGAATTTCCGCCTCGATCGACATTCTGGTCGGCAAGGGAGTCGTGCATAGTCTCGAGCCGCTAGCCACAAGCGGCTTCATTCCGACGAAACTTCGTGAGCGGCTCCAGGCGCTTTTTCCCGCGCATTGTCGGCTCGACGCGTCTCCCCATCGGTACTTACCCCCCTCGCCCCTGCATGACCCGCACCACGCGGAAAGAGCTTCGGCGGCGGTAATACCTGGGGGAGGAGGAGGGGCAGTGGGGAGAGGGGGCCAAGCGCGGGGGAGCGGGGCTTTGGTGAAGTCTCCAAGCCCTTCACCCCCGCATTTGGCAGCGGAAAGGGACAGCATGGGGAATTTTGTTGGCAGTGGAGCGGGGATAAGGGCGGCGGAGGAGCATCGGGGGAAGGAAGGGCAGGTGGCGGAAACGGGGGAAATAGGCGCAGGCGTTGGCGCAAGCCGTCCAGTGGATGGTTCTTCTGCCGCCGCCGCCGCCGCCGCCGCCAGGAAGGAGCCGATTGACGCAAGCGGGTCCATCGCTGGCGCAGGGGCTGGGGAAGATGCGGAAATGGGGGAGGCTAGCGCTGCAGGGGAAGACCAGGCTGGCGGAAAAGGCCCTGGCGGAGCGGGGAAACGGAGGAAGTCTCCGGAGGGCGCTGAGATGGAACTAGGGGAGCGCGTGGGAGGGGAGAGCGAGGTGGCGGAGGGAGGGAGTGGTAAAAGCGAGCGGAAGAGGAAGAGGGAGGAGAAGGAAGAGGGGGAGGAGGAGGCGGTGGATGAAGGGGATGTGGAGGCTGGGGAGTTGGAGGGAGGGGAGGTGGTTGAGGAGGAAGGGAAAGGAGAGCAGAGCGAGGAGAGAGAGGGCATGGACGGGGATATGAAGGCCATAGAGGGAATGATAAAGGGTATGGAAGGAGCTGCGGCGGTAGGGGACAGGGCGAAGGTCATTGGAGGGTTTGAGGCGTTCCTGGTGGCTTTAAGAGGAGAGTACCCGGGGAGAGAGGGTGGCGGGCGGAAGGCGCAGGGGGGAACCGACGGGAACGTGCACGGGGAAGCTGAGGGGAATGCGTACGGGAAAGCGGAAGGCGGGCAGGAGAAGGAAAAAGAGGGCAAACGGGGAACGGTTGGGACGGCAGGGAGAGCGAGGGATGGGCGGCATGTGATGAAAGAGGAGCAGCAGGATGAGGAAGACGCGGGGTTGGACGAGGAACGATCTGACAGGAGCGTCGACTCGGATGTGACTACAGAGAGAGAGACTACAGAGGGGGAGACGATGAGTGATGCATGCGAGGATGGCAGGAAAGAGGAGGAAGCAACGGCGACAGCAGCAGAAGCAGCAGCCGACGGGGCAGGTGAAGCAGCCAGGAACGACAGCAGCAGCAGCAACCGACGGGGAGTCAAGGGAGTTAGGTCGAAGAGAGCTCGCGTAGCAGCGTCCGTAGATAAAGCAGCAGCAGGCGTATCGACAGCCGTAGCAGCAGCATCAGGTGCAGAATCCCTTCGTGAAGCATCACTAGAGGGATTAAATAGCAGCGCAGAAGACGCAGCTGCCAAGGTAGCTAGGCTATCAGCCATGTTTTTATCTAGAGACCCCAAAGTTTTTGAAGCTGAACGCCCAGTCAGCTCAGACACTTTCAGGTTTCCTTGGTTTAGGGAGCGTAGATTAGGTAGGAAGGAATGGGCGCTGATTTCCACTAGGGTTTCCCAGTGTCTCGCCAAAGTAGGCTCCGCTCTGTTCCCTTCCTTAGCCTCCCTGTCTCCTAGTCGGTTGAACGAGCTGCTGCTGCCGCTACCCCGCCTTCCTGCCACCGTGGGAGCTTTGGAAGGTGCTTCTAGGGACGGTGTCACTGGGAACGATGCTTTTGGGAATGAGGCTGCTACTGGGAAGGATGCTTCTGGCTGTGGTGTTTCTGAGGACGGTGCATCTGGGAACGGTGTATCTGCTGGTGCAGCTGGTGTGAAGGCGAGGCTTGGAACGCCATACCCGTTAGAAGGCGCCGCGTTATCAAACTGGACGTCAACGTTGATGGTTCTGCACGAGTATGTGGTGCAGAATGAGTGGTTGCGGAGAGAATGGAGGGCGGTTGGTGGTGGGGAGAATGGGGAAGAGAACGAGGGGGAGCAGAGAGAAGAGGCGAATGCGATGGACACTACAGGAGGAAAGAAGGGCCAGAGGAGTGGAAAAGGAAAAGAAGATGGGGAGGACGAGCAGGAAGGTGAGGGGAGTGACAAGAAAAATGATGAATATGGCGGGAGTGACTTGAACTTCTTGTTGCCAGTAGAGGAGCTGCTTATATCGTGGCATGATATGGGTAAGCCGGTTACTGCCTGGTTGCTCTGCGTGGGTGCAGCAGCAGCGGAGAAAGAGCAACTGAGTGAGGCCAATGCTCTTGCAGCAGCAGCAGCTAGGGTAACGAACGACAGAGAGAATACACCACCTGGTCTGGAAGTTGCCTCTGGCAGAGAAGAGAGTGGGGGGCAGCGAGGGGGCTCTAGGGGAAAGCCAGTGGCGGAATGTGTGGGGCAGCAGGGGGAGAAGGAAGGCTTGGGGAATGGAAACAAGAGGGTGTCAGCAGAGGTGGTTTTTGGTCTGTATGAGCGGCTGGCTGGGCTGTGCTGGGGGCGAGATGAGGAGGGGAGCAATGAGGAGGAGGATGCGAAGGATGAGGGAAGGGATGAGGGGAGGGATGAGGGGAGGGATGAAGGAAGAGATGATGGAAGCGGCATGGAGAAAGATGGAGGTGGAGATGGGGGGGATGGGCGTAAGGGCGGATTGGTGGGCAAGGGAAAGAAAGGAGGCATTGATGCAGGCAGGCAGGCTTTGTCAGCAGGAGCAGCAGCAGCAGGAGAAGAAGGAGCAGCTCCAGAGACCAAAGCAGAGAGAGAGACAGGAGCGGACAAAGTGACAGCAAGGTGCAACGGCGTGTTGCATCCCCTTGCTGCACCACACCCTCTCTCCCTTCACCACCACCACAACCATCACCACCACCATCACCACCACCATCCCCACTTCGGATATCCCAACCATCGGCATCTTCTGGCATCAGCAGTCCACATGGACTTGCAGCGGTGGATCTTATTGGACGGCTCAAACCTTCTCTTCCAACGTGTCTCCCACCAAGCCCTGTGCCTACTGCCCCATGCCACATCCGGCCACCCTCCCCTGCTGCACCTGCTGCTGTCTGCTGCTGATCCGCCTGCAATCGCTGCTCTGCAGTCTGCTCTTGTATTAGGAGAGCTCTCACTATTCAGGAAAAGGCCCTCCTTGATCCCTAGGAAGAGTGAAGCATTTGCAATTGGGAGGAGTAAGGAGGTGAGGGAATGTAACCAGCAACAGGAGCTCCTGGAAAAGCAGAGGAAGCAGCAGCAGCAGGCGTTCATGTTGGTGGTCGGGGACAGTTGGTCCTGGGACGGGCAGGAGCAGCAGTGGTTGTGGCAGTTGGCAGCTGCTGAGGCTGTTGGTTGGAGCAACACAAGTGAAGGGGTTGTGGGAGAGGAATCGGAGGACTTTGTGGATTCAGAGCAGCAGCAGCAGAAGGAGGCACAGCAGCAGGAGGAAGAGGTTCCCCTTCCGTTGCTTCTTCTACAAGCTAGTTCTGCTGCTGCTGCTGCTGCTGCTGCTCCCAGCAGCAATCCTTCTGCTGATACCAGCGACGTTCCCACCAGCAAGTCTGCTTCCTCTCCTACCAACCGCAGCACATGGGAAGGGCCAAGCTGTGAGGCACTCTCAGGTCTGGAGATGCTGCTGCTGCAAGCAACCCCATCCGACCCCCTCCTCTCTACACTCCTCTCCCTTCCTGCTGACCGCTTCGGCAGATTGCCTTGCTCTGTGCTTCGGGCATGGGCTTTGAAGGACCCGCATGGTTTGTGCTCTGTTTTGAGAGTTTATGGAATGGAAAAGGGAGCCGAGGAGCAGCAGAAAAATGTTTCGGAAGGGGGGAAGCTCATTCTTAGCAGTGGAAACGGAGGAACCTCGCCGAGGGGTAGTTTGTTGAGCTTGCTAACAGCTCTTGACATATTAGAGCAGCAGACTGACTGTAGGGGGGGAAAGGGGAAAGGGGCTTACAGGGAGCTCTCTAAGTGCATCACTGAGCTGCTGTCAAGCTGAATGTACAGTTGAGTTGTTATCAATATATATTTTACTGCGATTGATAAGCATGATTCAATACTCGTCAGGCCAGCAGAGCTGGTACATGTCTCTGCTGGGTTGATGAAATGCATGAGGGCTTGATGAATGTTTATTTACTCCCATACTCAAAATGTTGTCGAAATGTTTATTATAACTACATAAAGGCACAGTAAAGGCTATCAGCCGTTTCGAAACCCGAGAATGAAATGTGAAATTTGCTTTCCCCGCGAAATTCATGCCTCCATTCACACAACAAACATCAGTGTTGATATCGACGGTTGTCCGAAACCCCCCATCGCGCTACGTGGCACGTCCGGCCCTCACCAACCTCCTCCAATTTCTCCGCGCCTCGGATCTCTCATACGCGCTTCGTAATGTCGGCCTCCAATCCAATTTGCAACAATTCTCCGCCCAGAAGAACCCACACACCATTGCCACTTCCTCCCCTTCCCGTCTCTCCCAGGCAAGCCTCAACTCCCTCGACACAGCTCCGACAGAAAAGGGCACAATTTCTGCCTTGGGTCGGCAGGCACATAATATTTTCACCACACACCCGCCGTCACAGCCCAAGCCCAACCCGCCTTACGGGGCCCACGCTTGTGCCTCCGCAAGTGTCGCAGCAGACGTCACTGGCTGCCGCTGTTGTCGGTTGCTCAGCATCGTGACACGCACTTGATAGCCACGACTCGTGAAGGTGCCACAGGAAACCGTATGGAAATTTGTCAGGTCCCGTAGCAAGGCGAATGGTCAACAGATTCCAATACTTAGTCGTCCTTTCAGCCATCGTCCATTTATGTGCAGTAGACCTAGTTCTCCGTGGTTCTTGTCGTAGATCAGTAATCGCGCATCCCAATAGGCTTTCTGAGTCACTGAAGGAAGTGGAGTCACGTCTCAGTTCGCCATCTTTACCCCACCTCGTTTCACAGACTCACAGCTTGACAACTGACATAGACGTTCGCGTTCTCCATCCACCATCGGACGCTAGGTATGCGTTTTCCACTATAGCTAAAGCACCAGGAGCCACATCCAGAGGCAACCGAGTGGGAATCGCAAGTATAGAACCGTAAAGCTGGTCGCAGCATTAACAAGTGTCAATCTTGACTCAGCTGGTTGCACGCATTTCGTCGTCCCCCCACCTGGCAATGGCTGCTGGGCAAATTCATCTGCTCCTGTGGGCCGTACCTCTGCTGCTGCTTGCGTCGATCCCAGCCGCACGATTAGAGGAGACAGCAATCCGGCCGTTCCCTTCCGATGACGGTGCGCCCTCTACGAATCTAGCCATTCACACCCTCCCCCTTGTACAGGCGTTTTATTGTACTTCTCCACAGATTTCCTTGATAACCATTCATAGTCTTCCACAACCATTCCACTGACGCACGAGACTACTACTTGAGCGTTGATGAGGCTTTGACGTCTCACTAACCGGAGAAAGGAATTCCTCATGGTCCTAGGAATTTTGGGGAAGGGGCGCGATTCAAAGGGCAACTTACCCACACTGCCCGAACAAAGCTTTTTCTGTGCTTCCCTTTCTCCATCCCCTTTCTCCTTCTTGCTCATCCTCCTCACCCCCGACTCCTGCTAAAGTGTCCAGGTTACCCTTCCCCCCAGAAGCACTTTCGCATCAACACGGCGGCAAATTCACCCTCCTGTGGTGCAAGTTGAAACCGGCCTCCACCGCCCAACTTTCCCCTTCGGTGCCCATTCCCGTGTGTCCATTCTCAGCGAATCCTTCTCATTTCCCATCAGGCGCCCTTTCGCAGCAACACGGCCGCGGATTCACCCTCTCGAGCCGCCAGCTTTGAGACGTCTCAAAATCGAGTTTCCGAGTTTTGAGTTTTGAGACGTCTCAAAACACGTTAGCAGCAACAGGACCGCGGATTCACTCTGTTGAGGCGCCAGCTTACGTACAGGACGGGCGCCCAGGCAACCCCTTCGGCGCCCTTTGCTTGCCTTTGATCTCATTCCCTTATCCATTCTTTCTCTTCACTTATCCCCCATCAGACGCACTCTGGCAGCACACGGCCGCGAATTTACCTTCCTTCGGCGCCCTTCCCTTCCCTTCCCTTTCATCTCCACTCCCGTATCCATCCTTTCTCTCCACGCCTCACCCATCAGGCGCACTCTGGCAGCAACACGGCCGCGAATTTGCCCTGCTGAGGCGCCGGCTAACCAAGACAACCGCCGCCCAGGCAACTCCCTCGCCGTCCCCAGTCCCCCCTAAGAAGAAGAAAAAAGCGACACCGAGTCCGCCGAAGAATGGCAGCGGTAGCAGTAAGAACAGTTCGAGCAGCAGCAGCAGCAGCGCTAGCAGCAGCAGCAAGAGCAGCAAGAGCACGTCTCAAACGAAAAGCCCGCCGAAAGTTAAGAGCCCGCCTACGGTCCAGGGAGGATCAACGAAAAAGAGTCCGAGTAAGAGTCCTACCAAGAGCCCGAATACGAGCCCTACCAAGAGTCCAGGCAAAAGCCCCGCTAAGAGCCCCAGCAATAGCCCCGTTAAGAGTCCCAGCAATAGCCCCGTTAAGAGTCCCAGCAATAGCCCCGTTAAGAGTCCCGCAAAGAGCCCCGCTAAGAGCCCCAGCAAGAGCCCCGTTAAGAGCCCCGATAAGAGCCCCGCTAAGAGCCCCAACCAGAGCCCCGATAAGAGCCCTAGCAAGAGTCCGAGCAAGCCCAAGTCCCCACCTAAACCGGCCGAGACGAATGTGACCAAGAGCCCGAAGAGTCCTAAGAAGCCCAAGTCGCCCAAGAACCCAAAGCAACCGAAGCCCCCTACTCCGCCTCCTGCCCCTCCTACAAGTAAGTTTCTCTCTCTGTTAGTGCAGACCAGACGGTTGCTTCTTCCTTGCTGTTCCTGTTGCCTCACCGAGGAATTCATGATTTATTTCTCCTCGTCGCTGCAATCCTCAGTCCGTCTTCCCCTTCTGTTTCCTGCTGGTGATGTGTGAATGGCAGTCACGTGCGAGGCGCACAAGAACGAGCAACTAGTTATCATGGAAGGAAATCTCTTTTTCACAAATCAATTGGATAAGTGCGAAACGTCTTGTATCGGGGACGCGAATTGTCTCTACTACACCTTTTCGGGTCTGAGCTGCCAGCTGTTTACAGCAAACATGACCATCAAGCCAACCAAGACATGCTTCTCGAAGAAGTGCCAGTGGGCTAAGTGCCGAGACCCGGCAAGTGATGATTATTCGTCATAAGAGAGAGATAGAGTGGAGGGTGTGGGGTGAGATAGAGTGGAGGGTGTGGGGTGAGATAGAGTGGAGGGTGTGGGGTGAGAGAGAGTGGAGGGTGTGGGGTGAGAGAGAGTGGAGGGTGTGGGGTGAGATAGAATGGAGGGTGTGGGTTGAGGTAGAGTGGAGGGTGTGGAGTGAGAGAGAGTGGAGGGTGTGGGGTGAGAGAGAGTGGAGGGTTTGGGGAGAGAGAGAGTGGAGGGTGTGGGGTGAGAGAGACTGGAGGGTGTGGGGGGTGTACATACTGAGCCCCTGAATAATGTATACTGTAGGGAGTACCTACATGAAATAAACTATGACATCACATACCATGTTGCAACTATTGTAGTGGTTTCTGAGATATTTATGCTAATTACGTGAGTGCTGTCTTCAACATTGAGCAAACAACGAGCCAATAAACCCTTGCAATGAGTACATATATGGTTGAAGAAATACCAGTTTGAACAGTTCAATACAGCTCGTCATAGGTGCTTTGTTCTCTCTATGATAAATGATTTTGTCATTTGAAGGAGAAGTATTAGGATGTACAGAACTTTAATAATCGCAAAGCTGGTATGTATTCTGATATTATACCGCGCCGCGGAAAGAAATGTCGCATCCTTGTGTACAATGGGAGTCAAGACATGTTCCTCGCACCACGTTCGAGCCGCCTTATCAGCATGTCAAGATAACGACATTGACGACGTCAGTAACCCTGACGAATCAGAACCACGACACCGACGAAAAAGGAAACTACACAAGATGCCCAACCCCTGCGCGCGAATTTGCCCTGTACGCGGCGGAAACTCTGCACACGTGTATTTTGCGCCAGCCAGTTGCACCCCATGTACAAGCACCTCAACCAATACGAACCACAGAAATCAAAGTTTGACCGAAGAGACTGAAGTCAAAAGATCAACGGCGAGTTACAAAACTTTTTATAGGCCCTTTTTGCTAAGTGCGAATTGACGAAAGCCTAGCGAAATGCAAGAATCACTTAAGACCCCTCTTCACAAGGCAACCTTGGGTTAGTCAAACGGGCATCATGTGTACATGGTCGTACGAATTGCACGGCACTTGACAGGCGAAACAAGGAATTTCCACCTGTACTTGACAGACTCACTACCACTTCCTCCGCATATAATCAGGACGGCAAGCACACCCACCATGTTCCAGGCATTCATACTTTCCAGCAAGGAACCAAGTTCTTCGGAGCCAGGACATTGTCGCACCTCGCGACAATCCCTGTCGTACTCCGTTATTTGCATTCCCGTCCTGCTTGATTGCCTTGACAGTCCGTGAACGCCCAAAATTCTCCCTTTTACTACTTTTAGTTTGTCAACTATCGTTGACAAATGGCATCTGTTGCATTACATAACCTTCATCCTAGAATAGTACTACATTATAGTGCAGTATCGTTCCTGCCTCGCATACGACAGCTGCAAGCGGTCTTCCTTTACGTCCTGCTTCTGCTCTCGACAAGAACATTCATTACAGTCTCCGAGGGCTCGACCGTGTTCGAACAATCCCTAGCGTTTATCCAACGGTTGCGCGCCTCGGTTACAGTCCCCTCGCACGCGCCGAATACAGCAGCACCCTCTGTACAGTCACCGTCAGTAGAATCAACTGCCTCAGGCAGAGGCTCTGCCTCTCGATTCGGAACCGATTTCCGCCGGAATATATCGCGCTATCCCCCCGTGTGGGATGATGACTCGCATTCAAGGAAGCCTGAATGGGCGGGCGGCAGGAAGCGTGCACCAGTGCCGACGCTTCAGCCCGAATGGGAGCGGTTCGGAGTGTGCTCAGCCGGCAAGGGGCCGGTCCGCGTGACGATCACTCCACGGCAAATAGGAACGAAGTGGAAGGGATGGGGCACGTCGCTTGGATGGTGAGAATGTGATTTTCTTGTTCTGATTGGTAATTCCATGGATATGATAATGCGCAGAGATGATAATTGCAGCTCGACTCTGATCCACCTTCCATCTCTCCTCCAACCTTTTCCCTCTGGCCCAACCTGTCCCCCTCGCCTCTCACGCTCCCCATAGCCCCCGTCCCCCCACAGCGCTTGCTCCAGGCTGAGCAACTACATCGGCGGGTCCCCTTATCCACCATTCCTTCCCCTCCCCTCCATTCCCCCCCTCCCCCCAGGCTGGGCAACTACATAGGCGGGTTCCCCCGGGCGGCGATGGACCCTCTGCTGGACCTCATGTTCCTCCCCTCGGGCCTCAACCTCAATATAGGCGGCGGCTCCGTTCCACGGCACAGCCCTCAATTATATAGTGATTCCTTGATGCGCTGGCGGGCCATGCCGGGGTACTGGCCGGCGCAGGCAGCGGGGTTCAACTGGACGGCGGATTCAAGGCAGCAGGCGGTGCTGCTGGGAGCCAAGGCCCGCGGGGTGAACGTGTTCGAGGCGTTTTCCAACAGCCCGCCCTGGTGGATGACCGCAAGTAAAGACGTTGCGGGCGGGAAGAAGGCGTTTCAGACGAACCTGCTGCGAAAGTACGAGGGGCGGTTTGCGAGATACTTAGTCGAGGTTGTGGAAAGGTTTAAGACGGATCCAGCGTTGGGTAATATTGAGTTCGATACACTGGAGCCATTTAACGAGCCGTTAGAGGGGTACTGGATAAAGGGGATGGGGCAGGAGGGGTGTAACTTCAACGTTTCCGCAATGAGCCGGATCATTTCTAAAACTGTGCGACTGCTGCGGATGCAAAATCTCAAGACGAAGCTGGTGGGGTTGGACAGTTATCCGGGCTTCACGGCTGTCTGGTTACCACTTCTCCATGTGAAAGATGCCCTTCATCATATAAACGTTCACGGTTATACTCTGCCGGTGCCTAAAGATGGCCTGCCAGGGAATGGGAGTGTTTCTGCGGCTGAGAAGGCTTACTCCAGAATGAAGGTGCTTGCGAAGGCGCTAGGGAAGGAAGTATGGGTGTCAGAATCTGGGCCGTTGAACAAGGTGGGGAGCGCTTACGATCTCTCGCTCTACATGATGCGGAATGTGATCGAAACGGTGAACTTTCTAGAAGCGTCGGCTTACGTATACTGGCAGGTATTCGACCCGAATGAATCTTGGTCGCTGTGTGGGCTGAATTGGTCTTATCCGCCTGGGTATTCAGGCACGATAGAGCCTGCCACTAAGCTTAAGCGGTTTTGGATGTTCAAGCAGGTTACGGACCTTGCAAGGCCTGGGAGTCGACCGTTGGCAGTGCCCCGGGAATGTCGGCATACTGTAGCTGCGTTTTACAACAAGGGAAGTCGAACGGTAAGTGTGTTTATAGTGAATCAACGAGTTAAGGGTAGAGGGGTGAATGTGGGATTATCAAGGTTCAAGCTGAATGTGGGGGGGATGACCCAGGCTCTGATTAGAAGGACAACATATGGAGAGGACAATGCCGAAAGAAGTGTAGATATGCAGGGTTCAGCCAGGCTGTTTGTCCTGATTGAGGGCCAGAGCTTTCTGTCAGTCACATTTACACATGTGCAGATGACAAGATGGAGATCTGAGAAGATGGTCATGTGAGCTATTGTTTGTTGCAGTTGCTGCTCTGTATTAAATCGCTTGTACATTCGTCGTCCCGTTACAAGATGTGCGAACTATATTGTGTATCGCGATGTGAAAAATGGCCCTGGCAGTGGGACATTAGAGATTGTGACAACGTGTACCGAATGGCCAGCCAGTCAGCGAGCAGCATTATCCATGACAGCGCAACCCGGAAAATTTATCAGCGCTCGACGCCAGATTTTCTAGGCGAGTACGGGACGTACAGCTCAGCAGCGAAGAATGTCCAGAGCACAGCAGCGCACGAAAAGATGATCCGTTAGGAAAGCAAGGTTAGCCGTCACCCCTAGAGAGTGCACTTCATGCTTACGCGAAGTTCAATCTACTACACTCGATAATGCTGGTTGGAGCTGAATACATTTTGTTGATACTAGTTCCCTGATCCTGCTGGATTCTGGTCTAGGTTCCTCACATAGTTGTCAGTGGAGCTCTTGATCCCTACATTCTGGTCCGAAGAATCTCATTTCCGTAACTTCTTCTGCCGCATTATTTTAGCCTAGGTTGGCAGGTTAGGTCTGGTCTCGAACGTGTAGGCGATTAATCCCCGCGGTCGGGAAAGCCAAGAATACTCATCGTGCCAGTCACTGAACGTTAACTATTGGTCGATCGTAGCAAAATCGTTAAGCACTTTTAAGAGTTTTTAATGTTTAAATCGCAGTCGCCTGACGGTTAACTCGCCGGTAGAACCCGTTTCCCTAGTCCTAAGTTACCTTTTGACTCGACTCCCGTGTTAACCAGGATCAGGCGTCGTCGCAATGCAGTCACTCACAGCAGCACCGCATCCCACCACACTCCACCGCGGCTCCCGCCTCCTACACTCCGTTCCCCACACTCCCCTCCCCATCTGTCCCTCCTCCCCATGGACCCCCCCTTCTCCTCTCTGGTCGCCTCTTAAGCTGCCACGTGTCCTATCCCCAAGCCTCCGAGCCGCGTCTCGAGGCGCATCGAATGTGGCCGTTAGAGCGTCCGGCGACGACGGCGGCGGAAGCGGCGCGTCGTCGTCTACCCGACGGTCCGCGGCGCGGCGGTCACGGCAATACTCTTCTTCCGTGCAAGAAGCGTCAGGAGGGCGGCGCGGGAGTGCTTCTAACGCGGGAGTTGAAATCGACACGGAGTTAATAGGCATCGGCGCGATGCTACTGGCGGTCGGCGCGGGAATCTGGGGAGTTTCGCGGTTCCTAGCGCGTGGCGGGATCGGCAGTAGCGGGGATAGTGACGAGGAAGAGGAGGGTGCGGGTAGCAAGAGTTCGTCGTTTAGTGCGGGTGACGACAAGGAGAAGCAGCGCAAGTGGCGGCAGCAGTCGATGGCGAAAGTGAAGGAGTTGGCGCAGCAGCTGCGGTCATTCAGGACCGTCGATCTCAGCGGTACGTTTAAGGGCCGTTGATCTTACTTATCGTTGCCCTGCATTTCGTCGCACCTGCATTTCGTCGTATCTGCATTTTTTATCGCGTGGTAAAGAAAACGAGGCTGTTTCTTTATCGCACAGGGGTTTAGTCAGGAAGCTAGGCAGGAGTGTGGGTACGGCAAGTCATTAATTCCAACTTTTGCCCTCCCTTCCCCCCACCCCTTCCCCCTCCCCCCTTGCCCTCCGCCACTGCAGGCAAGAGTCTGGGCGACGAGGGGTTCAAGTACCTTGCGGAATCCCCCTTCCCCTGGCCTCCTTGCGCTCATGCATTGCCCCCTTCCGCCCACACACACCCCCCTTCCCCTGCTCCCCCATTCTTCCTTCACCCCCGTCCCCCTTCTTCCACTGGAGGCAAGAGTCTGGGCGACGAGGGGTTCAAGTACCTCGCGTAATTCCCCTTTATCTGGTCTCATTCCGCCCATGCATTGCCCCCATGCTCCCCCCATCCCCCCCCGCTCCGCCACTGCAGGCAAGAGTCTGGGCGACGAGGGGTTCAAATACCTCGCAGAATCTCTCGCCTTCAACAATGTGAGCTAATTCTATATATTCATATCCCCGTTATAAAGTGATCTCTTGCATTTTTGGAATCTTGAATAGCTTGAGCTTCTACCAGTGACCCTGTTCATGTGTGAGCCTGTAGCCTCAGAACTAGGCATAGCCAAGAGGGAGATGAAACTGGCAGCCATTATGGCGTAGAACCGGGGCCCGGGGCCAAGGCGTTCAGCCCTCTCAGGGAATTCCACGAGTTTTGAGTCAACTCAAAAGCCTCAGAACTAGACATAGCCAAGAGGGGGATGAAACTGGCAGCCAATATGGCGTAGAACACCATAGGGGACGAGGGCGCCACGGTGCCCGGGGCCCGGGGCCCAGGGCCAAGGCGTTCAGCCCTCTCAGGGAATTCCACGAGTTTTGAGTCAACTCAAAAGCCTCAGAACTAGACATAGCCAAGAGGGGGATGAAACTGGCAGCCAATATGGCGTAGAACACCATAGGGGACGAGGGCGCCACGGTGCCCGGGGCCCGGGGCCCAGGGCCAAGGCGTTCAGCCTCTCGGGGAATTCCAGGAGTTTTGAGTCGACTCAAAAGTCACCTTGAACTAGGCATAGCCAAGAGGGGGATGAGACTGGCAGCCATTATGGTGCAGAACCGGGGCCCGGGGCCAGGCGATCAGCCGTCTCGGGGAACACCATAGGGGACGAGGGCGCCAAGGTGCTGGCAGGCATCATGGAGCAGAACCGCGGCGTGCACTCCCCTCTCTCACCTCTCCCTTCTCCATCCCCATCCCCACCCCATCCCATCCCGATTCCTGTTCCGATCCCCATCCCCTTCCTCAACAGAGTGTGGAGAGTGCGGATTTTTCCAACAATGGCATTGGTCCTGAAGGAGTGAAGGCTCTCACAGAAGCTCTGGCCACGAACGCGTATCTCAAGACGCTCAACCTCTCACCTGTCCCTTCCGCATCCCCATCCCCATCCCCATCCCCTTCCCCTGCCCACTACCCGGTCAACAGAGTGTTGAGAGTGTGGACTTTTCCAACAATGGCATTGGCCCCGAGGGAGTCAAAGCCCTGACGGAAGCTCTGGCCAACAACTCGTGTCTCAAGACGCCCTTTTCCCCCATCCTCCTGGCCCGTTCAACCTTCCCTGTTTTCCCTTCCCACCCCCACAGAGTGTTGAAAGTGTGGATTTCTCCAACAACGGCATCGACCCCGAGGGGGTCAAAGCCCTCACAGAAGCTCTAGCCACGAACGCGTATCTCAAGACGCTCAACCTCTCTCCCCACCCACCCCCCACTACCCGGTCAACAGAGTGTTGAAAGCGTGGATTTCTCAAACAATGTTATCGGCCCGGAGGGAGTGAAGGCCCTGACGGAAGCTCTGGCCACCAATGCGTATCTCAAGACGCTCAACCTCTCTCCCCTATCCTTCTGAACAGAGTGTTGAGAGTGTGGACTTTTCTAACAATGCCATCGGCCCGGAGGGAGTGAAAGCCCTGACGGAAGCTCTAGCCACGAACACGTATCTCAAGACGCTCAACCTCTCGGGGAACACAATCGGGGACGAGGGCGCTAAAGTTCTAGCGGGTATCATGGAGCAGAACCGGGGCGAATGTTGACCCCTCTCTCACCCCTCGTTTCCCCTTCCCCTTCCGCTTCCCCATCCCGGTCCCTTCCCTGATCAGAGTGTTGAGAGTGTGGATTTCTCCAACAATGGGATAGGTCCAGAGGGGGTCAAAGCCCTCACAGAAGCTCTGGCCACGAACGCGTATCTCAAGACGCTCAACCTCTCAACCTCTCTCCCCACCCACCCCCCCCACTACCCGGTCAACAGAGTGTTGAGAGTGTGGACTTTTCAAACAACGGCATCGGCCCAGAAGGAGTGAAGGCCCTGACGGAAGCTCTGGCCACGAACGCGTATCTCAAGACGCTCAACCTCTCTCCTCCCCCGTCCCCCCCCACCCTCTCAGAGTGTTGAAAGCGTTGATTTCTCCAACAACGGGATTGGCCCAGAGGGAGTCAAGGCCCTGACGGAAGCTCTGGCCACGAATGCGTATCTCAAGACGCTCAACCTTTCGGGGAACACCATTGGGGACGAGGGCGCTAAAGTCCTCGCGGGGATCATGGAGCAGAACCGCGGCGTGCAGACGCTGCAGCTGAGCAGCAACGGGATCGGCGACGAGGGCATGCGTGCACTAGCGGAGATGGTGAAGAAGAACGAAGCGATTGTGTGTCTGGAAATGAACAACAATGGCATCGAGTACGAGGTATGATGTGGGGTGTTGCAGCAGCAACGGGATCGGCGACGAGGGCATGCGTGCACTAGCGGAGATGGTGAAGAAGAACGAAGCGATTGTGTGTCTGGAAATGAACAACAATGGCATCGAGTACGAGGTATGATGTGGGGTGTGGGATGTTGGGTGTTGCAGCAGCAACGGGATCGGGGACGAGGGCATGCGGGCATTAGCGGAGATGGTGAAGAAGAACGAAGCGATCGTTTGTTTGGAGATGAACAACAACGGGATCGAGTACGAGGTATGGTGTGGTTGGGATGGGTACAGGGCGGTTTGAGAGTTGTGATGTGAAGGCAGTGGGTGCTGCAGCTGAGCAGCAACGGGATCGGCGACGAGGGCATGCGGGCATTAGCCGAGATGGTGAAGAGGAACGAAGCGATTGTGTGCCTTGAGATGAACAACAACGGGATTGAGTACGAGGTACGGTGGGGTGGGACATGTGGGCACTGGGTGTTGCAGCAACGGATGAGGGCATGTGTGCTCTGGCAGATATGGTGAAGAAGAACGAGGCGATCGTTTGCCTTGCTCGCCTCCCTCGTCCCTCTCCTCTCTCAGCCCTCCTCCCCTCGCTCACCTGGTCACCTCCCCTTCCTCCCCTCTTCCCCTCCTCGCCCACACGCCACACCAGGGCTGTGCTGCTCTCGCTGATGCTCTCACCAGCACCAAGTCCCTGCGCTCGCTGCACCTCAAGTGAGTGTGTGTGGGTGTGTGTGAAAATGCGCGCGCGTGCATGTGTGTATGTGAATGTGTGAGTGCGTGAGTGTGTGTATTGCTGCTCTCGCTGATGCGCTCACCAGCACCAAGTCCCTGCGCTCGCTGCACCTCAAGTGAGTCGGGGAGTGTGTGAGTGGGGGGGGGCACGTGCGTGCATGTGTGCATGTGAATGTGTGTATTGCTGCTCTCGCTGATGCTCTCACCAGCACCAAGTCTCTACGCTCGCTGCACCTCAAGTGAGTGTGTGGGGCCTGGGAGTGTGTGAGTGCGTGAGTGCTTTCCCCTCGGCCACACACCACACCACATCAGGGCTGTGCTGCTCTCGCTGATGCGCTCACCAGCACCAAGTCCCTGCGCTCGCTGCACCTCAAGTGAGTGTATGGGGCGTGTGAGTGTATTGTTGTGTGAGGCTGAGTGTGCGTAGGTGCCAAGTCCCTGCGATCAGTACACCTCAAGTGAGTGGGGGAGTGAGCGGGTGAGTGGGGGAGTGAGCGGGTGAGTGGGCGAGTGAGTGGGTGAGTGTGAGTGGGTGAGTGTGCGTGGGTGAGTGTGTGTGGGTGAGTGTGCGTGGGTGAGTGTGCGTGGGTGAGTGTGTGTGGGTGAGTGTGCGTGGGTGAGTGTGTGCGGGTGAGTGTGCGTGGGTAAGTGTGCATGGGTGAGTGGGAGTGGATGAGTGGGAGTGGTTGTGAGTGTGAGTGGGTGAGTGTGCATGGGTGAGTGTGAGTGGGTGTGAGTGTGCACGGGTTAGTGTGTATGGGTGAGTGTGTCGTTCTGTCTCATTTTTCTCTGCTTCTCTACTTTGGCAACTATGCAGGCACGCTGGGTGCGCCGGCCTTGGCCAAGGGACTTCAGGAGAAAACCCTATTACGCATCTCCAATCTTTCCTTTCTCCCCTTCTCCATTCCCTCGTTTTCCCTCCTTGTCCCCGTGGTCACGAACCGACAGTGGCAACTACGCAGGCACGCTGGGTGCGTCAGCCTTGGCCAAGGGCCTTCAGGAGAACAAACTTGCTCTCCCCCCTGACCCGCATTCTCCCTCTGTCTCATTTTTCTCTGCTTCCCGACAGTGGCAACTACGCAGGCACGCTGGGTGCGTCTGCCTTGGCCAAGGGCCTTCAGGAGAACAAGTCACTCAGGGTGAGCAGTCGTGATCCTTAGGTTGGTTCTCTAGGAGGGAGGTAAATATCAAACTTTAAATCGATTCTGGTTGCACAAGGTTTTCCTATAGGCTCCAGGGCCTTCCATTCTCTTGATCCTTTTGCTAAGCGTTTTCTCAGAAGCCCAGGGATCCTTGATCCCTGGGCTCCAGGGCCTTCTATTTTCGTCACTCCACTGCTTCGCTCCTCCCTCGTGTAGCGAGGGTGTTTTTGAGACGTCTCAAAACCACCCTCGCTACACACGGCTATAGGCTCCAGGGCCTTCTATGTTCGTCACTCCACTGCTCCGCTCCTCCCTCCTCTCCTCCTCCCTCCTCCCCTCCTCCTCCCGCCCTCCTCCGCTCCTCCCCTTCCCACCCCCCACCCCACCCTACCCCCTCCCCCACCCCCCCAGGAGTTGCGTTCAACGGGAATGGGGTGGGGGATGAAGGAGCGCGAGTGTTGGCACCGGGACTGCTGGCACACAAGGGCAAGCTGGTCACCATCGACCTCAGCAACTACTCCCCGTTCCCACTTCCCCTTCACCCCTCCTCCCCTTCGCACAAGGGCAAGCTGGTCACCATCGACCTCAGCAACAACTCCCCGTTCCCACTTCCCCTTCACCCCTCCTCCCCTTCGCACAAGGGCAAGCTGGTCACCATCGACCTCAGCAACAACTCCCCGTTCCCACTTCCCCTTCACCCCTCCTCCCCTTCGCACAAGGGCAAGCTGGTCACCATCGACCTCAGCAACAACTCCCCGTTCCCACTTCCCCTTCACCCCTCCTCCCCTTCGCACAAGGGCAAGCTGGTCACCATCGACCTCAGCAACAACTCCCCGTTCCCACTTCCCCTTCACCCCTCCTCCCCTTCGCACAAGGGCAAGCTGGTCACCATCGACCTCAGCAACAACAGCATGGGCGCTAAGGGCACTCCACTCCCCTCCTCTCCGTTTCCTCCCTTCCCTCTACCCCAGGAGTTGCATTTCAATGGCAAGGGGGTGGGGGACGAGGGAGCGCGAGTGCTGGCGTCGGGGCTGCTGGCGCACAAGGGAAAGCTCGTGACCATCGACCTCCCCTACCCCCCTGCTCCCTTCCTCTCCTCCTCCCCCTGGCGCGTGTTTTAGCGTCGGGGCTGCTGGCACACAAGGGCAAGCTGGCGACCATCGACCTCAGCTTTGAGAGAAGTCTCACCCCCCTTCCCCCACTCCCCCACACCACACCCCCCCAGGAGCTGCATTTCAACGGCAACGGGGTGGGAGATGAGGGCGCGCGAGTGTTGGCATCAGGCCTGCTGGCGCACAAGGGAAAGCTGGTGACCATCGACCTCAGCAACAACAGCATGGGCTCCAAGGGGGCGGCTCATATTGCTGAAGTGATTAAAAAAAGTCGCAGCCTGCAGTGGCTGAACCTCTATATGAACGACTTTGGAGACAAGGTGGGTTGGTGGGAGATGATTGGGTGGTAGGGAATGGCAGCAGCAGCAGTAGTGGCAACAGCATGGGATCTAAGGGCGCGGCTCACATCGCTGAAGTGATCAAGAAGAGCCGCAGCCTGCAGTGGCTGAACCTCTATATGAACGACTTTGGCGACAAGGTGGGTGGGTGGGTGGGTGTTGATTGGGTGGGAGGGAATGGCACCAGCAGCAGTAGTGGCAACAGCATGGGTGTTAAGGGCGCGGCTCACATCGCTGAAGTGATCAAGAAGAGCCGTAGCAGCCTGCAGTGGCTGAATCTCTATATGAACGACTTTGGGGACAAGGTGGGTGGTGGTGGCAGATAGGGGGGGTGTATGGGTGGAGAACTGACGGCAGCAACACCAGCATGGGAGCTAAGGGCGCGGCTCACATTGCTGACGTGAGCCGCAGCCTGCAGTGGCTGAACCTTTATATGAACGACTTCGGGGACACGGTGGGTGCTTGACTGATTGGTATGGTGGGTGTGTGTTGTGGTTGGGAGGGAGGGGAGAAGTTTGGGGAGTCAAGGTTCTTGAATGCAGTGTGCAACTGCCTGCAGCCCGCATCCTGCAGGCTGGGTCCATATGTCTTTTGAGTCGGCTCAAAAGTCACTGCAGCGCGCAACTGCCTGCAGCCCGCATCCTGCAGCCTGCAGGCTGGGTCCATATGTCCAATCAGAGAATGTTTTATGAGGCGCCTCAAAAGTTGTGCAACTGCCTGCAGGCTGTAGGCTGGGTCCATATGTCCAATCAGAGTATGTTGTACATAACTGTTTGGAGTCTGTCGTCCTTCTGTCCTGGTTGTGTGGCAGGGAGCGGAGAGAATAGCGGATGCTCTCAAGAGGAACAAGTCGATTGCCACGATTGACTTGGTGAGTGAGGGAATGAGTGAGGTGCATGTTGTTTGCACTCAAAGGGGGGAACAAGTCATTGCCACCATTGACCTGGTGGGTGAGTGTGCTGTGGGCTGTGGGCTGTGTGCTGTGTGCTGTGTGCTGTGTGCTGTGTGCTGTGTGCTGTGTGCTGTGTGCTGTGTGCTGTGTGCTGTGTGATGTGTGCTGTGTGCTGTGTGCTGTGTGCTGTGTGCTGTGTGCTGTGTGCTGTGTGCTGTGTGATGTGTGCTGTGTGCTGTGTGCTGTGTGCTGTGTGCTGTGTGCTGTGTGCTGTGTGCTGTGTGCTGTGTGCTGTGTGCTGTGTGCTGTGTGCTGTGTGCTGTCTGATGTGTGCTGTGTGCTGTGTGCTGTGTGCTGTGTGCTGTGTGCTGTGTGCTGTGTGCTGTGTGCTGTGTGCTGTGTGCTGTGTGCTGTGTGCTGTGTGCTGTGTGCTGTGTGCTGTGTGCTGTGTGCTGTGTGCTGTGTGATGTGTGATGTGTGCTGTGTGCTGTGTGCTGTGTGCTGTGTGCTGTGTGCTGTGTGCTGTGTGCTGTGTGCTGTGTGCTGTGTGCTGTGTGCTGTGTGCTGTGTGCTGTGTGCTGTGTGATGTGTGCTGTGTGCTGTGTGCTGTGTGCTGTGTGCTGTGTGCTGTGTGCTGTGTGCTGTGTGCTGTGTGCTGTGTGCTGTGTGCTGTGTGCTGTGTGCTGTGTGCTGTGTGCTGTGTGCTGTGTGCTGTGTGCTGTGTGATGTGTGCTGTGTGCTGTGTGCTGTGTGCTGTGTGCTGTGTGCTGTGTGCTGTGTGCTGTGTGCTGTGTGCTGTGTGCTGTGTGCTGTGTGCTGTGTGATGTGTGATGTGTGCTGTGTGCTGTGTGCTGTGTGCTGTGTGCTGTGTGCTGTGTGCTGTGTGCTGTGTGCTGTGTGCTGTGTGCTGTGTGCTGTGTGCTGTGTGCTGTGTGCTGTGTGCTGTGTGATGTGTGCTGTGTGCTGTGTGCTGTGTGCTGTGTGCTGTGTGCTGTGTGCTGTGTGCTGTGTGCTGTGTGCTGTGTGCTGTGTGCTGTGTGATGTGTGCTGTGTGCTGTGTGCTGTGTGCTGTGTGCTGTGTGCTGTGTGCTGTGTGCTGTGTGCTGTGTGCTGTCTGATGTGTGCTGTGTGCTGTGTGCTGTGTGCTGTGTGCTGTGTGCTGTGTGCTGTGTGCTGTGTGCTGTGTGCTGTGTGCTGTGTGCTGTGTGCTGTGTGCTGTGTGCTGTGTGCTGTGTGCTGTGTGATGTGTGATGTGTGCTGTGTGCTGTGTGCTGTGTGCTGTGTGCTGTGTGCTGTGTGCTGTGTGCTGTGTGATGTGTGCTGTGTGCTGTGTGCTGTGTGCTGTGTGCTGTGTGCTGTGTGCTGTGTGCTGTGTGCTGTGCTGTGTGCTGTGTGCTGGTGTTTTTGCATGTGTGAGTGCATGCTTGCGTGCATGCACGTGCAGTGCATGTTGTTTTCCCTCGAGAGTAACAAGTCCATTAAAGCTGTTGACGTGCGTCCCCCCATTCTCCTATCCCCTCCTTCCCTTCTCCAGGGAGGCAACAACATTCATGCGGAGGGCATCGCGGCCATCTGAGGGGATTTCTCATTTGACTGCAATGTCGCTTATTCCCACCCCCCCCTCCACTCCACACCCACACCCCCCCCGCTTCTCCTCCTTCCTTCCAGGGAGGCAACAACATCCATGCGGAGGGCATTGCGGCCATCTGTGACGCACTGAAAGAAAACTCCACCATCACCACTGTAAGTTGCACCTGCTGCCACTCTGTCATTCTCCCTCTCTCCCACTCTCCCTCTCTCCCTCTCGGCCACTCTGCCACTCTGCCACGCATCACCGTCACCGCTGTGAGTCGACTCTAAAGCACTTGCAGACACGGTCAAGCTCCCTCCTTCTCACTCCCTTCTCATAACTTCGTCACTGTTTCCCCACTCCCGCTACTCCCATTCCTCTTGCAGCTAGAGCAACCCCATTGGTCCAGAGTGTGCCGGCAGACGCAGTGAAATTACCTCCTTTCCACCTCCTCTTCATCAATTCATGTCGTCTTCTTTCCGCCCCCGTTTCTCCCCGTGCTCCCATTCCTGTTACAGCTGGAGCTGGTATGCAACCCCATTGGTCCAGAGTGTGCCGAGGCACTGGCAGACACCATCAAGCTCCCTCCTTCCCACCCCCTCTTCATCACTTCCCGTTTGGTGCTCTGCCTCTCACTCCTCTTGCAGCTGGAGCTTGGGTTGGGTACAACCCCATCGGGCCAGAGGGCGTCAAGGCACTGGCATTGACAGACACACTCAAACAGCAAACAATGAGTTTTCTTCTTCCCACTCCATCTCTTCAGCACTTCCCGCCGGTTACTCCTCCTCCCATCCCTCTTACAGCTGGAGCTGGGATACAACCCCATCGGTCCAGAGGGCGCCGAGGCTCTGGCAGACACGGTCAAGTTCCCTCCATCCCAACCTCACTGCATCTCTTCACGCGCTCATCATTCCATATCTTCCCGTTTGGTGCTCTGCCTCCCATTCCTTCTGCAGCTGGAGCTGGGATACAACCCCATCGGCCCAGAGGGCGCCAAGGCTCTGGCAGACACGGTGAAGTTCCATGGGAACGTGGAGACACTGCGACTGGGGTGGTGCAAGGTGAGAGTTGTTGTGGGGTTAGGATGGCAAAGGGGAGGTGTGTGCAGCCCTGGTCAAGGCACTGGCAGGCAGACACAGTGAAATTCGATGGGAACGTGGAGACCCTGAGGCTGGGGTGGTGCAAGGTGAGAAGAGGGATGCGATTATGAAAGTTAAGGGGCAGGTATTGCTTGGTTTGTGCGCCCTGGCCAAGGCACTGACTGGCAGACACGGTCAAGTTCCATGGGAACGTGGAGACGCTGCGACTGGGATGGTGCAAGGTGAGGGTGAATGAGACTGTACTGCTGCACACAACGAAGGGGGGGATTCCCCCCCACCCCAAGCTACTGTATGCGGCTTTTGCTGTCTTTACATCCCCTCCACACCCATCTTCTCTCATCCATCCACTCTCATCCTCGCATTCCCCTGTTACCCCCATCCGAGCCTTCTCCCGTCCTCCAGTTTTGAGGCGCCTCAAAACTAGATTCCCCTGTTAGTTACCCCCATCCGAGCCTTCTCCCATCCTCCTGCCGGCATGTTCGTTTATATACTCATCCCAGATTGGAGTGAAAGGAGCAAACCATTTTTATGGTTGATGCGCTCAAATACAAACCATTTTCCCTGCTCCCATGCATCTACTCCCGTGCACTCATTCCCCTGCATACTTCCACACCCGGCCCCCCTGCTCTCATTTGTTCAGATCGGAGTGAAGGGAGCGGAATACATGGCTGACGCGCTCAAATACAACAGCACCATCAACACTCTTGACCTCAGGGCCAACGCGCTGGGGGATGAGGTGAGCTCTATGGCTGATGGCTGTTCACACAGCAACCAAGAGGGGCAATGAGCATGCACGTGCACTGTCAATCAAATACAACAGCACCATCAACACTCTTGACCTCAGGGCCAACGCTCTGGGGGATGAGGTGAGCTGCCCTGTTGCCAATCCATGCAGCAACCAAGGGGGATAGATAATGATCAGGCAATTGCACTCGCGCTCAAATACAACAGCGCCATCAACACGCTTGATCTCAGGGCCAACGCTCTGGGGGATGAGGTGAGTTCTTGCTCTGATGGTTGTTTATGCAGCAACCAAGCGGGTAATGAACAAGGGCGCTGACATCAAATACAACAGCACCATTAACACTCTTGACCTCAGGGCCAACGCTCTCGGGGACGAGGTGAGTTGCGCTGATGACAACCCATGCAGCAATCAAGGGGGATGATGAGTGGGCATGTGCACTCGCAATCACTTACAACAGCACCAACCTCCGTGACCGCAGGAACTCAACCTCAATCTCTCTCCCCCCCTCTCGCTTCCAACAGGGCGCGGCCATCTTGGCTCTGAGTCTCCGCGTAGTGATCGAGCAGCTCTCCTCGCTGGACCTGGGCTTTAACGAGATCCGCCACCGCGGGCTCTCAACCTCAATCTTGCTCCCCCCCCCCCTCTCTCTTCCAATAGGGCGCAGCCGTCTTGGCTCTGAGTCTGCGGGTGGTGAACGAGCAGCTTTCCTCACTGGACCTGGGCTCCCCCGTCCCCTGCATGCACATCCACTCGTTAGGGCACGGCGATTGAAGAGGCACTCAATGCTCAGCCCTCTCTCTTTCTTACTCAACCTCACACCACCAGGGCGCGGCCATCCTGGCTTTAAGTCTCCGCGTGGTGAACGAGCAGCTCTCCTCGTTGGACCTGGGCTTTAACGAGATCCGCGACCGCGGGGCCTACGCCCTGGCAGAGGCGCTCAAGGCGAATGGGGAGGCGGCAGTCGAGACTCTCAACCTTTCGAGCAACTACATCACCAAATACGGCCAGGTGGGATGTTTGTGGGTTTGATGTTTCTTCTAGTAAAGTTGAAGGGTTTAGGGTTGTGTGTGGGCATACGCCCTGGCAGAGGCGCTCAAAGCAAATGGGGAGGCGGCAGTGGAGACACTCAACCTCTCCAGCAACTACATCACCAAATACGGCCAGGCAAAGTCTTTCAACCTTTTGTTTCTTTAGTAATCTTATCATGATTACCATTATGCTCATTATTGTTACGTTTATTGTGATAATTATTATTATTGTTGTTGTTTCCATTATTATTTATGTTATCATTATTATTCCTCTGATCTGGCAACTGCCCTGCCCGTCCATCCATTGGGGGAACCTGGTGCGTGGGATGAATGACAGAAGGTTAACATCTAATGGTGATGGCACTTGCAGGGCTGCTGCTATCCACCCACTCACTTCCTCTTCCCATTCCCTCTGTGCTTCTCTCCCTGGTTGCTCTGAGCGAGGCCAAGGACCTGGTGAGCGAGATGAATGACGGCAAGGAGGTGAACATCTACTGGTGATGGCACTGGCCGGGCTGTTGCCATCCCACTCATTCCCTCTTCCCTACCATTCCCCTGTATGCATGTGTGTGTGGTCGGCTGTGTGCCTCTTTCCCCAGGTTGCTCTGAGCGAGGCCAAGGACCTGGTGAGTGAGATGAATGGCGGCAAGGAGGTGAACATCTACTGGTGATGCCTCTGGGAGGGCTGCTTCTATCCATCCGTCCACTCATTCCCTCCGTTCCCATTCCCCTCTGTCCCTCTTTTCCACAGGTTTCTCTGAGCGAGGCCAAGGACCTGGTGGTGAGTGAGCAATACTTACCAGTGGTTCATTCCCTCTTTCCTCCGGTTTCCCTCTGTGCGTGTATCAAATCCCTCCCAGGTTGCACTGAGCGAGGCCAAGGACCTGGTGGTGAGTGAGCAATACTTACCAGTGGTTCATTCCCTCTTTCCTCCGGTTTCCCTCTGTGCGTGTATCAAATCCCTCCCAGGTTGCACTGAGCAAGGCCAAGGACCTGGTGGTGAGTGAGCAAGGCGGGCAGTTTTTACCAGTGGCTCCGTCTCTCCTTCCCATTCCCCTCTGGGTATGCTTTGTCCTGTCCTGTCCGTATGTCCCCCAGGTTGCTTTGAGCGAGGCCAAGGACCTGGTGAGTGAGATGAATGACGGCAAGGAGGTCAACATCTACTGGTAACTGGTCATGCCACTGATGGTGCTGATACCAACGGACCGATGGCACTGATGCCAATGGACTGATACCCCTCGGCGAGCCGTGGCTATTCATCGACTCATCTCCTCTGATGATGCCAATGTTTCAATAGCACGGAAGGCAAGGATGAGACTGGGCAAAATAGGGCAGCAGGGTGACATGCGGAAACCGCATGATCACTGTCATAGTGTGATGTGAACATGGAGTCAACGTTTCTGATGGTGCTGCTAGGAATATGAGACGAGAGGTGGCTGTTTGTGATTCTACAGTAGTTTATGCCAACACCATTTGGGAATAATAGATTCTGAAACCAGCATCGATGAGATTGTACTGTACCTGTGATGATACGCACACTGATGCTGTGTTAAGTGAGATGGGTAGGAAGGGAGGGAGGTTGTGATCAAAACGGCTCTTATGGTTTGCATTTAGAGGCGAGCTGAAATGAAGGTCATGTGTGGGTGGAGTGCTCGTGATTGAAAGGCTGTGCTACATGCAATATAATAGTGATACAAACAAGTCAGAACATCCATCTTGTTCTCTGTACATTGGTGAATGTGACTGAAACGAAGGTCTGGCCCTCAACCAGAACTGGCACCTTGGGTTTACCCTGTATAGCCACAGTGCTTTCTGCATTGTCCTCTGCATATGTGGTTCTCCTGATGAGAGCCTGAGTCGCCCCCCCCCACATTCAGCTTGTACCTAGATAACCTCACATTGACCACCTTATCCCTCACCTGCTGATTCACTATAAACACACTCACCGTCCGCTTCTCCTTACTGTAGAACGCAGCTACAGTGTGCCGACACGCCATCGGCACCATTAAAGGCCGGCTCCCTGGCCTTACCAGATCCGTAAACTGCTTAAACATCCAGTACCTTTTAAGCATGGTGGGAGGGTCTACTGTACCTGTATATCCTGGCGGATAATACCAGTTCAGACCGATCAGTGACCATGTGTCGTTTGGATCGAAAATCTGCCAGTAGACATACGCGGAGATCCCGAGAATGTTCACTGTCTCGATCACGTTCCGCATCATGTAGAGCGAGAGATCGTACGCGTTGCCAAACTTGTTCAACGGCCCAGATTCCGACACCCAGATCTCCTTCCCTAGCGATTTCGCGAGCACCTTCATCGCGACGTAACGAGCGGCGTAGGTTTTCTCAGCGACAGAAGCAGTCATGTTCACGACCTGCTGTATCGGCAGTGTGTAACCATGAACGTTTACCCTTAGTAAAAAAATCTTCCCCACGAGCAGTGGGAACCACAGAGCTGTCATGCCCGGAAAGCTGTCCACACCGGCGAGTTTGGTCTTGAGTTTCTTCTCCCGAAGCAGTCGCAGAGTTTTGAAAATGATACGGGTCATTTCGACCACGTTGAAATTGCACCCCTCCTGCCCCATCCCCTTTAGCCAGTGCCCCTCTAACGCCTCGTTGAACGGCTCCAGTGTATCAAACTCGATATTCCCTAAAGCCGGATCCGTCTTAAACCTTTCAACCACCTCCACCAAATATTTCGCAAACTTCCCCTCGTGCTTCGGCAGCAGATTCGTCTGAAACGTCTTCTTCCCGCCCGCAACGTCTTTACTCGCGGTCATCCACCAGGGCGGGCTGTTGGAAAACGCCTCGAACACGCTCACCCCGCGGGCCTTGGCGCCCAGCAGCACCGCCTGCTGCCTTGAATCCGCCGTCCAGTTGAACCCCGCTGCCTGCGCCGGCCAGTACCCCGGCATGGCCCGCCAGCGCAGCAGCGCGTCCGAGTGGAGCTGCGGGCTGTACTGCGGGAGCGAGCCGCCGCCTATATTGAATCGCACTATATTGAGGTTGAGGCCCGAGGGGAGGAACATGAGGTCCAGCAGAGGGTCCATCGCCGCCTGGGGGAACCCGCCGATGTAGTTGCCCAGCCTGGGGGAAAAGGGGGGGGAGGGGGTAAATGGAGGGGAGGGGAAGGAAAAATGGTGAATGGGGAAACCCGCCTGGGGAGCGGAAGGAGGGGAAGGCGGATGTGGTGGGAGGGGGGACGGGGGTAAAGGGGGGAGGGCGGTTGGAAGGGGTTGGGGTTCGTGTTGCGTCACTTGAAGGTTACAACTTCGGCATAAAATCACCATCCAGTAAACGCACGATTCTAACAACCAGCAGCACCAAATTCTCACCATGCGAGCGACGTGCCCCATCCCTTCCACTTGGTCCCGATCTGTCGCGGAGTGATCGTCACGTGGAACGGCCCTTTACCGCCCGAGCACACTCCGAACCGCTCCCACGCCGGCTCGAGCGTCGGCGCTGGCGGTCTGGCCTTCGGACCTGCCGCCGATGCTGACGTGTTCACTAACGAAGTATCGTGCCACGCGATGGGGTATCGCGTGAAATTCCATAGTTCGGGTTCAGGTGCAGGGGAAGGGGAAGGTGACTGTACAGGAGGTGTCTCTACGGGAGGTGATTGTACAGGAGGTGGCTCGACAGGAGGTGGGGGAGGTGTGGCTGTGTCCTGTGCGTTCGCGTGGTTCGAGGGTAGTAGGTTTCGGAAAAACGCGACGACTTGGTCGATTATCGACGACCCTTCAGCGACTGTAGCTGAAGCTCCTATTAGGAGCAGTAGCAGTACGAAGGCTGTGTTGAACGATCTTGACGGGGATGTAGCTACTCGTGGATGCAGGTGACGGGAGTCACTAGAGGGCATTGTCAACACCGCGTTGACGAAAAACAACACCGGTTTGGCAGAGAATCGCGGCGAGGATCACGGGCTAGACGATGCGATCAGATTCGGTCTAGAGCCAGGTCAGCAGCATTTCCGTTGGAGCGATAACAATAAGCGGGATGCACGGACGGATGGAGCCAGACTGAAGGAGGGCGATGGAAGGAATCTGCTATGTGATAGTCGCGAGGTGCGACGAGGACCCGCCGGATACCGCGTGTTGCTTCGAACCAACTCGCCGAGGCTGTACCTAGAGTTGCGTAAACAAATATGGCAACGAGCGGAGAACATAGCAAATTATAAATTAGCCGAGGAAACAACTGGTTTGTCGGTTGAATGTTGACCATGCTCGCTTCAGCCCAGGAACGGACCTCGGGATTGCCCCCTGCCCCCGTCCGGCAGGGGTGAGAGATACGAGTCACTGGAAGGGGGGACGCGGAGCACTGAGGGTATGTCGAGCAGAAATGATAGGGGTAGCGAGGGAAGCGAGGTGCGGGGAGGGAACCCATGTTGTCCGCGCGCCGTTCCCCGCGTGGTTTGCTTGTGTATGGGTATGTGGCGCATTGGAAAAAATCCACCACGGCGGGAATGCGCTAAAGGGGAACATTTTCCCCCATTTGAGGGCAAGAGGGGGAGCGTGGGATGTTCGGGTTCGGGTGGTTGTGTGGAACGGGATTGACACATCCGCGCACGGCAATGTCACGGGAAGAGGACGAAACGGGCATTTTCGAGGCGAGGCGCGATGAGGCTGGTTTGGCACCATGATGGCTGGGTGATTAGCCGAAGAGCCGAACCTGTCTTTCGTAAACCTAAATTTGACGGTTCGATGGACAGTCATTCGAGATCTTATGTCTCGTTGCATCCCAAATTCTGGTAAAGTACGCATCCGCGGTCCCACCCAGACTAGCCCTACGAAGCTTTGTTCCCCTCATATCAAGCGCGTTGGTCTGTCCCCTTTGGCTCGAAAGCTGGTACGGAACCGAAGGTCTCTGGTCTGGCGAGAAGTCGGTGGGACTCTGTCAACCCAATCACCACGAAGCTGAACGTGTCAAGCCACACTGCTAGCCGTCACCAGCAGTAGTAAAATGACTTGCCTTCCTGCAGTGGACCGCGAAGACCCTGGCGAATGTGTGTACATGAAATTCTTTGGGTTTTCAGCTTAGCGGGGACAGGTATCTGGACCCTTCCGCTTTCAGGGAACGGACAGCGCTATCTGCGCACAGTTTCCGCAAAAGTCTGGGCTAGAGGGGGAGGGTTATTGTTCAGGTTAGGGAGTCGAGCTCTCAATGAGCCACGTGGTTAGTCCTACACAGCTCGCTCACTGTTCATCTTCAATCTCAGATTCTGCAGCGCAGGCTTGTCTTTTATACCGAATCCAGCCCACGTTCGGGGTAGCTCGTCAGCCAACTGTTCCCAAAGCTGTGTGGCCGTTGTTTTTTTTAGTTTTTGTCCAAATTACATTGCACCCGAAACCCTGAGAAAAAGTGCACCCTACCTGACCGAAACAAATTAAACCCAATCGGGAAGGGGTGCGACTCGGGAGGCATCAACCCTAACAAGAAGGAGGGTCCCGTGTTTAGGGTTGATTCCTCCCTAAAATGCGTCCGAGGGAGGCATCAACCCTAAACACCATGCCACAAGGTGTTTAGGGTTGATGCCTCCCTGACCGGATGCCTTCCCGACTGGGGTTTATTTTTTTTGCTCGCGGGTCCGTTGGGGTATTTTGAGTGTAATATATTGAGTAAAAACGACAAACCAGAGCAGTGGGGAATCTGTGATTGAACACCTACAGTGAGCTCTCTGTGAAAATTGGGACACGTGGCTCATTGAGAGCTCGACTCCCTAATCTGAACAATAACTCTCCCCCCCTAGCCCAGCCTTTAGCGGAAACTGTGCGCAGAAAGCGCTACCCCTAACCTGAAAGCGGAGGGTTCGGGAAACCCCTCCCTGCTAAGCTGAAAACCCAAATTCTTTCACCTAAGCCTAAATAGCTGGTCAGATTTTGGTTCGGGGTAGGTGTTTTGACAGATCTTGATGGTTCGGTAGGATGCACACTTCACCAAAAACAATTGTCAACCGCCAAGGCATGTCGCCGTCGCCGACAAAACTGACTCCTGGGGGTCATTTGGCTCGTGAATAGACGCCCAAGCGTCCCCTAACCGTCAGAGTGACGTCTATCCGTTGTCATATCACCTCACCTCTTCACCTAATGTAACCGCGTACAAAAACATTCGTTCTTGCTATTTCTTCCTTTGAACATGGGTGAACGTTACAGATAAGAAAGATTGGCCTTCTACAACAAGATCAACCCCAGCTTTTGACGAGAGCTTCTTTGTAGTGACTGCATTATCATCTGCCCAGGTTGTCCTGCAAATAATTGCCTCAGATTGTCCCCCCGCATTCAACTTGAACCCAGAGAGCCTCACAACAAACCTAGCACTCTCTGCCCTTTGAATCACTATACACAGACTCACTGACCTTTTCTCCTTGCTGTAGAAAGCAGCTACAGTGTGTTGGCACTTACTTGGCACCACCAAGGGTCGACTCCCAGGCCTCACCAGATCTGTGAACTGCTTGAGCATCCAGAACCGCTTCAGCAACACAGGAGGGTCAAATGGGCCTGTGTAACCAGGCGGGTGCTCCCAGTTTATCCTAATCACCGACCATTTGTCACTCCCGCCATAAATCTGCCCGTAAACAAATGCAGAAGCTTCCAGGATGTTGACCGATTCAATGATGTTTCGCATCATGTAGAGCGAAAGGTCGTAGTCGTTACCCTGCCTGAATAACGGGCCCGATTCAGATACCCACACTTCCTTCCGGAGAGATTTAGCCAGCCTCTCCATTTGGGTGTAACGCGCTCTTGCTACCGATCTAGCCTGTGCAGTTGTCAGGTTCAAGTATTTTTGTAACCAGAGAGAGTAACCGTGCACGTTGATCCTGTGCAGGAGTGTATTTCCAAGGACCAATGGTAACCCTATGCTGGTTAGAGCCACGTTGCTGTCCACTCCAACCAGCTTTGTCTTGACCTTCCTTTTCCGCAGAGCCAGCCAAGTCTTAAGAAGAACTCTTCATCTCAGGTGGGTTGAAGTTGCATCCTTCCTGCTCCATTCCAGCCACCCATTGTCCCTCCAGCCCTTCATTAAACGGCTCTAGCGTATCGAATTCGACGTTCCCCAGCGCCGGGTTTTTCGCAAACCCTTCGACAACTTTTACGAGGTATTTGGCAAACTTCCCCTCATACCTTCTCAGCAGGTTCGTCCTCCACTTGTTCTTTGCCCCTGAGACGTCTTTACTCGCGGTCATCCACCAGGGCGGGCTGTTGGAAAACGCCTCGAACACGCTAACCCCGCGGGCCTTGGCTCCCAGCAGCACCGCCTGCTGCCGTGAATCCGCCGTCCAGTTGAACCCCGCTGCTTGCGCCGGCCAGTACCCCGGCATGGCCCGCCAACGCATCAAGGAATCACTATATAATTGAGGGCTGTGCCGTGGAACCGAGCCGCCGCCTATATTGAATCGCACTATATTGAGGTTGAGGCCCGAGGGGAGGAACATGAGGTCCAGCAGAGGGTCCATCGCCGCCTGGGGGAACCCCCCGATGTAGTTGCCCAGCCTGGGGGGAGGGGAGGGGGGAGATTCGGGTTGAAGGAGAGCGTGGGGGGGACTCGCCGATGTAGTTACCCAGCCTGGGGGGTGGAAGGAGGGGAAGGGTAAGGTAGGCGGAAGGGGGAGGTGGGGAAAAGGGAGATGTGGGAAGAAGGGAGAGGTGGGGTTAAGGGGGTTGCCCAGCCTGGGGGGAGAAGGAGGGAGTTTGGGGGGGGGAAGGAAAAGGATAAACGGGCCCGCCGATGTAGTTGCCCAGCCTGGGGGGTTGGGGGGAGGGGAAGGAAAATTGATAAATGGGGGAACCCGCCGATGCAGTTGCCCGGCCTGGGGGTGGGGGGAGCCGGGGGGAGGGGAGGGGGCGGGAAAGTGGGGGGTTGGGGTGGGGGGGAGGGTAGGGGGGAAGTTGGTGGGGGGAGGGGAAAAGGGAAAGGGTGGATAAAGTGATTCAGGTTGTATCAAAATTTGATAATATCACGCTCTTGCATCAACTGTTCGTCTTCGTTCGCCAACCCATGTTATCACTTTGAGATCTCACCATGCGAGCGACATGCCCCATCCCTTCCACTTAGTTCCGATCTGACGTGGAGTGATCGTCACGCGGAACGGTCCCTTACCGCCCGAGCACACTCCGATCTCCCACGCCGGCTGAAGCGTCGGAGCTGGCGGCCTGCTTTTAATACTCTTGCTTGCTGATGCGGAACGGGAGGCGTTTAAACATGTGGAATCATGGCATGCAGTGAAATCTTGAAAAAAAGGAGGTATAGGCCCAGATGCAGGCTCGGGACCAGGTTCGGATGCAGGTGATGAAGGGTCGGAACTGGGTGCGTTCGCTGCGTCAGGGAAAGGTGACTGTACACGAGATGAGGAGAGTGACGGTGACTGTAGGGGTGGCTGCACTGGAAGCGATTGTGAATAAGGGGACTGTATGGGAATGTGTTGTAAGAGGTATCGAGCGATTTGTTTCTGCGGTAATGGGAACAGTATCAAATGAACTCGGTCTGTTGCTGCTGTGACTGGCAGAAGATCTGACAGTGTGGGAAATGGCGGACAGCAGCACCAACAGCTGCAGGACTTGCACGTTCAAAGCAGCATCACTGCTCATAGTAGCTATATATTAGTACTAATTAACACGATATTTCGTCGCTGCGGGGAGAGCGAGGCACGACTAGCGCTTTTTGCTGGTGTTGACTCATTACTGAACCTACTACTGAAGGTTTAATATACCAGCACACTAGCATCGTTTTTCCTTGTCGGGAACCTGCACTCGAATTTCTAGTTTCTTATTTTCATACTAGAACGCTGCAGCCTTTTTCGTTCAGCCCTGTACCTGCAGTCTTCTTTGTTCGATTATTTTTAGAGACTTTCCGCTCACTCTGACCTGTTCGAATATTTTCGGCAATGCAGAGTAATTCGAGGCTGAGAACAAACATACGAGAGCCACAAACTTCGCATCACCTTGGCTAGGCGATCAAGAAAATGCTTTTTGTTATTCAAGGGCCCTGTTCAGCTGCACTAAAAATGCGAGCCAACATAACAAAAACACCACAGCCGTGGTGGGTTAGTGGGTGGTCACCGCGTTACTGTACCACCGACCTTCGCAGTCGAACCCTGTGTGCCTGACTGAACTGAAACCGCTTCGCGAAATGGAGTGGCAAGCCAAAATCGGTGGAACACCGTTCGTGAAATCGTGATGGATATTTTAGGAGTGTACATAGGTGTGATCCTTCCAGCAAACTCGGCAAGCACTGAACCGTCAAATTATTGTTGCTTGTTCCATCGAACGGCCAACTGAGGTTCACACTTGATCGGAGACCTCAAATGTGCCAGTCTACTGGGTAACATTGGGCTCTCCCCGCCTCTTCTCCACCACTCGCTTCGCTTCCCCCCATCATATCTTCTTTCTTGGCATTCTCACTTCGCTTCCCCCCATCATATCTTCGTGGCATTCCCAAAGCCGCTTCGGGTTCTGCCCTAGCCCTGGTAACACTCCCCAAAGTTAGGACCAAAGTGGGGTATCCCTCCCAATCAGTCGTTTACTACGATGTCTCAAAAGTACACTGCACATCAAATCGTTCATCTGACGCGGCAGTTCTTAGTCAGTTATCCGCATTCTGCTCCTTATGTCGCCAAAAACCGAGTACAAAGGTGCAGTTCACCCCAGTTCAGGTTTTTAAGTGGGTGAGTTACATCGCAGCAATGCGGTGACATCAACCCGAAGCCCACCTGGGCTCATCCTGACGAGTCTAAATCACGCCTCGCGGCGTGGATAGTAGGCACCATAGACCGTCGTGCTTCGGACCAACTCAGTCCGTCTGTGTACCTCCGTGGAAACATCTCTTATTACCGCTCCAATGGCATTTTCCCTGACTCAGCCTGTCACAAGCTAAACTTCAAGCTCAGAAATTTGTGACGGTGATCTGATGTCGAACCAGCCCGACTGACGACTAAATCTTCATGCCGTTCAGCCGTGATCTCTCCGCGATGCACTGCTTCGATCTATCATAAGTTATTTTCCATTCTTGTGTTTTATATATTCTAATCAGTGTAACGTTGACAATGCCCACTAATTGCTTACGTCACCTACATTCAGGAACGGTTGCATCCCCGCCTAGGTCTCTCAACACAGCTTTCAAACCCCTCCTGGTTTTGCTCGTAATAGGAATTACAGTCGCTGACGGCCGAATGGTAGCGTCTATCCGACGGTTATCCCTCTCAAACTATTCTAACGTTCCCGATGCAGTCACACCTTCTGTATGCTCACCTCCCGTACAGTCACCTCCCCCTGCCTCCGCACCTGGACCCGAAGCCTGGAATATCACGTGGTACCCTATCGCTGGGGATGATAACGCATATGTAAATACGTCATCAAGGGATGCAGGAACTAAAATCAGACCACCAGCCCCAACCCTAGAGCCGGCGTGGGAGCGGTTTGGAGTGTGCTCGGGTGGTAAGGGACCGTTCAACGTGACCATCACTCCACGGCAGATCGGAACGAAGTGGAAGGGATGGGGCACCTCGTTGGGATGGTGAGGTGATTGTAATGGCAATGTGTGGTTTTCTATATATTGTTCCAGAGGATGAGACTCCCAGTCACACGCTTTCTCCTCCCCACTCAACTTCTCCCTCTCCCTATAACCCCTTTAACCCCACCTCTCCCTTCTTGCCACATCTCTCTTTCCCCCACCTCCCTCTTCCTACCTTGCCCTTCCCCTACTTCCACCCCCAGGCTGGGCAACTACGTCGGCGGGTTCCCCCATTCACCATGTCTCCGTCGCCTCCCCTTCATTCCATCCCCTTCCCCCCCCCTCACCCCAGGCTGGGCAACTACATCGGCGGGTTCCCCCATTCACCATGTCTCCGTCGCCTCCCCTCCATTCCCCTTTTCCCCCCAGGCTGGGCAACTACATCGGCGGGTTCCCCCAGGCGGCGATGGACCCTCTGCTGGACCTCATGTTCCTCCCCTCGGGCCTCAACCTCAATATAGTGCGATTCAATATAGGCGGCGGCTCCCTCCCGCGGTACAGCCCTCAGCTATACACTGATTCTTCCATACGTTGGCGGGCCATGCCGGGGTACTGGCCGGCGCAGGCAGCGGGGTTCAACTGGACGGCAGATTCAAGGCAGCAGGCGGTGCTGCTGGGAGCCAAGGCCCGCGGGGTGAGCGAGTTCGAGGCGTTTTCCAACAGCCCGCCCTGGTGGATGACTGAGAGCAAAGACGTTTCAGGGGCAAAGATGATCTGGAGGACGAACCTGCTGAGAAGGTACGAGGGGAAGTTTTCCAAATACCTCGTAAAAGTTGTGGAAGGGTTTGCAAAAATCCCGGCGCTGGGGAACATTGAATTCGATACGCTAGAGCCGTTTAATGAAGGGCTGGAGGGGCAATGGGTGGCTGGGATGGAGCAGGAAGGGTGTAACTTCAACCCACCTGAGATGAGCCGAGTTCTTCTCAAGACATGGCTGGCTCTGCGGAAAAGGAAGCTCAAGACAAAGCTGGTTGGTGTTGACAGCAACGCGGTTTTAACCAGCATAGGGTTACCACTGGTCCTTGGGAACACCCTCCTGCACAGGATCAACGTGCACGGTTACCCTCTGCCGTTACGCATGTACCTGAACGTGACAACTGCGCAGGCTAAATTGTCAACAACTGCGCGTTACACCCAGATGAAGCGGCTTGCCAGATCTCTCCAGAAGGAAGTGTGGGTGTCTGAGTCAGGTCCGTTACTCAGGGATGGTAGTGCCTACGACCTTTCGCTCTACATGATGCGAAACATCATTGAATCAGTCAACATCCTGGAAGCTTCTGCCTATAATTATTGGCAAATATACGACAGCAGTGACAAGTGGTCGGTGATCAGGATAAACTGGAACCACCCTCCTGGTTACACAGGACCTTTTGACGCTCCTGTGTTGCAGAAACGGTTTTGGATGGTCAAGCAGTTCACAGATCTGGTGAGGCCTGGGAGCCTGCCGTTGGTGGTGCCGCGGAAGTGCCAACACACTGTAGCTGCTTTCTACAGGACGGAGAAACGGACAGTGAGTGTGTTTATAGTGATTCAGAGGGCAGAGGATGCTAGGTTTTATGTGAGGCTGACTGGGTTCAAGCTGAATGTGGCGGGACAATCAGAGGCTGTTCTTCGCAGGACCACGTGGGCAGATGATATTGTAGTCAGTTCTGAAAATATAGCTTCTAAACCGAGAGTAGTAATTGATGTGGAAGGTCAGTCTTTCTTATTTGTAACATTCACTCATGTTCTGGAGAAGTAGTAGCGGGGGCTAATGTCCTGACTCCCGAGCACCAGCATACCGTATGTCTATTATTAGGGTACATTCCGCTGTAGAATATGTCCCAATCGATGTGTCCCAATCGATTGAGACGCGTACGTACAGCATATGCTGCCAGGTGTCGGAGTGCCGTGCCGCCCGTGGTTGTCGCCGAATGTAGTTATCATTGGGTGGCGTGCATTACGCAACAATCGCGGGCTAATTGCAACAAACCCCATCAATCGCACGCGGTGCCAAATGTCATCTCATGCAGCATGTATCTGGACGACATTTTGCGTGACCCTCTATCCCCTGGGTCGCATATAATTGTCGCGCATATGAGCAGAGTCGTAATACTTCGATCGATTGGGACATGCAGAATCGAGAAATTTGAGCGCGACTCGGCAAAATTGTGATTGGGACACATCGATTGGGACACATTCCACAGCGGACAATCAACAAAGAGGGACAATCAACCCTTAGCCTACACCACGCCTTCCTACCATGTATGGTCTGTCTCTGAGGAAGGGACAACCAAACTTTTTAGCCTACACCACACCTACCTACCAAGCCAAATCATATTCTCCTAACGTTGGTAAAATGTACGGAGACAAAGCTTTGCCCCTCTATAGTGATGCTCGCTGTACCGCCTGTGATCACCTCGCTTTGCACCATGTTATACACCCAAGATGTCCGCCGAACTATCGCCTTCGTGATCCCCCTCGAGTTTATCCGGAACCCCTGCAGATTCACCGATACCTGTTTCGGCTCCGCCTTTTGATTCACTATAAACAGACTCACTACAGAGTCCGCCTCGTTGAAAAACCCAGCGATGCCGTGAGAGCACTCCGCGGGGATTGTAAGCGGCTGGCTTCCTGGCTTCGCGAGACTCGTCAGCATCTTGAATATATACCATCGCTTAGACCGCTTCGGGTTTTTCACTGTACCTTTATACCCGGCAGGGTAATTCCACGGGAAGTGGATCATTGTCCAGCGAGGATCAGAATCGTACGTCAGCCAGTACACGTACGCAGATGCTTGCAGTATATTGACGGTCTCGATCAAGTTTCGCGCCATGTACAGTGACAGGTCGAACGGTTGTCCGAATCGCCCCATTGGTCCGGACTCGCTTACCCAAACCTCCTTCCCCATCCCCTTGGCTATATCGCGCATTTTACTGTACGTCTGGGTGGTGTAGCTGACCGGATCCTGATTACTCGGGGCCGGGTCCATGTACCCATGAACGTTGATCCGCTTCACTTCATTCATCCTCGCTATAGAGTCGATCGCCGAAACCGTGCCCTCCGTCCAGCTATCAAACGCAGCGACTTTCGTCTGGAGCCCTTTCTTCTTCAAAGCGTCTAAAGTAGCCCACAGCACGCGGGTTATAGCGGGGACGTCGAAATTACACCCCTCCTGCCCGTTCCCCGCAGTCCAGAAATTTTCAAGCGGCTCGTTAAACGGCTCCAGGGTATCAAAAGTCAGATTCCAAGCCGGGTCTTTTGCGAACTTCTCCACCACTGTAGTGAGGTAATCCACAAATTTTCCTTCGTACTGCGGCTGCAGGTTCGGCTGGTTCTTCTCCGACGCGCCTGCCACGTCACCCGACACAGTCATCCACCACGGCGGGCTGTTCGAAAACGCCTCGAAAATATTCGCCCCGCGCTCCCTCGCGCCGAACAGAACATTCCTTTGCCGTTGATCCGCGTCCCAATCGTACGGCCCAGACTCCGCCGGCCAATACCCGGGCATGGCCTTCCAGCTGCTCGTCACATCCTTAGAAAACTGCGGACTTAGCGTTTCATTGTGCCCTCCGCCTATGTTGTACCGGACGATATTTAGGCCGAGCCCTTTTTTAGGGTGGAAGACTAGGTCGAGCAGTGTATCCATGCGATCCTTGGGGAAACCCCCTATGTAGTTGCCTTGCCTGGCGGAACAAGGGGAGACATTGCATTCAGGGGCGAATGTGAGCATTGTGGCTTCTTAGGAATGAGATTCGGAGCATAGAGGGTAAGTAGGGAGGATGGGTGAGAAATGCGGGAGTAATCTGGCAAATGACGGAATGGGGGGGAGAGAGCGGAAGGGATAGGGGGAAAGGAAGAGGGGGGGCTGCCCGAAGCCAGCAAAGAAAGAGAGTGGAGGGCGATCCTGAGATCATGAAAATGGACTTACCAAGCCAGAGACGTGCCCCATCCCTTCCACGTTGTCCCGATAAACGAGGGAGTGATGTTCAAGCTGATTGGCCCGGGGACGCTACAGATGTCGAACAGCTCTCCGACCGGCTGTAGCGACGGCGGCGGGGAGAGCGACCTGGATTCGTCAACGGAAAACAGCCGGACGCTGCGGTTGCGCCGCTCGCGCCGCATACGCGCGTGGATGGTGACTTCGTCGAGCGAGTATCGCCCCGCTGCGCCCGCTGTTGATGCCGGGCGGATGCTGTCGCGATGCAGCGCGCGCGCGTGGGCGGCGCGGAAGGAGGCACTCAATAACGCGGACACTATGAACAGCAATGGCAGTGGGGGGACTCTCCGCCTATTATGAGCCGCCCCGGTGCTACTTGCCATGCTGGAGATGCAGTAGAGATTTAGGGTAGAACCCTGACGACAGTTTTTCTGTTTTCCTGAAGCACTGGGGTGGGGGGTGAGGGAATCCGAGCACATGCTTGAGGCTACAGGAAAGTGCTAGCACATTCAAAACTCGTCTTGCCGTAGGTCGGGAGGTTTACTTCCAGACTAACCAGAATTCAACAACGAATCATGTTGTAAGCTCTTGGCGATTTATAAACGGCGATCAGCCAGTGTTCTACACGCCATATTTGAGTCAAATCGAGGGAATAGTTTGCATGGGGGAGTGGGCGCCTCAATTTCGCGCGCGAGGCTCGATGATACCTTGCGGATTCGATCGAGGCTGCTTGAAGATGAAAGTGGAACGGGGGACACAGAAAGTACCGACTGCATTCCAAAATTGGGCTCATGCTCCCTCCCCTCACGCAGTTCGTATGTTGGGCTCGAAGCGCGACATTTTCCAATTTTGGTGGCATTGGTCGGCAATCTTTTCCCAAGCACATGGCGCGCGCAATTCCTCGAGACATTGCGCCACTTTGGTCTGAAGGCGCGGTTCGTCTCGTCACCTGTCGTCCTACCCAGCTGTCTGTTGACCAGCCCCCAAGCGGACCTTGCTCCAACGATTATCTGCGACAGCATTTTCCAGGAAGTTGACGGTCTTCGAATCGCAAAACGAATTAACGTGTCGCAAAGCTACATCGTACAGCTCTAAAGGTCGTAAATAGGTCATCCTGGACGTTTGAGGCTGAGTGCGATTGGGACTCGAATGTCACATTGAAGCGATGCGAGCTCATGCGACTCCACAGACATGCAATTTCGCTCACTCTTCAACGGGGATATTCCAAATGAAACCGCGAGCATTTTCGTTAGCAAAAACGTCAAAGAGAGCAACCAAGTTGACTGTAATTGATTCTCAGAGCCTTTCTTCCCATGTTGTTCATAATCGCGAAGACACAACAGCGAGCCCAGTAACTCCTCAAGACCCTACCAACCAACCCCAAGCAAGGTTCACATGAAGCCTGCCTGCGCCACACACCTCCGCATTTTCTGCATTTTTTTGCTTTTTCTCCACCCACGTTCTCGAACAGATTTGGTACTAAAACACCTGGGCACTGATGATTTACGTTGGTTCAAGCGATACTATGTGTAGACCCCGGTCACCCTCGACTATGGTTTCCAGAGAAAAAGGCGCGCGCCTGGCAACTAATCATAACTCTTACCATCGTCCGCCGCCTAAGTATGGCTCCCGTAGTAGGATTCGGCGGAAACGAGCCGTCAACGAGAATCTTCCGCACTCAATTCGCCAGCGAGTTTCCAGCCTGCTCGTTCTTTCTTTTCTCTTCGCATTAGCCCCCTCCCTCACTCTCTGCCAAAAGATCGACTCGACCAGCAGTTTAGCGGACCTTGCGGAAGGGTCCGTATCCCCTCCTGTCCCTTCCTCTATTCCTGATTCTTCCGCCCCAAGCTCAGCGCCTTATGCCGATATAGATGGACTCGCCGCCGACAACACAGGTAGTAACGGAGTTGACAATAGCGAGTATTGGTCACCCGCTCCCGCTTCCTTACCCGCGGAAAAAACGGAGCACTTGGGATCTGCGTCTCCGCCGTCGTACACATGGTCGGAAAGCAGTGGTTCGCTAAGCAGTGGCGCGATAGTAGCTACAGTGCTTGGAGTTGTTTTTGGAATATTTATGTTGGTAGTTGTGATTTGGGTGGCTGTGGTTCGTGCCAGGAACCACGAGCGAGCTCGTGCCGTGTCCAGGGGGAACTTCGGGGACGTGGACCTTTAGCTGCTGTATATATTGCTC